ATATTGTTCAGTGTACTTAAAATTTTACAATTAGATTTGTATAATGTTTATATTTTTCTAGAATACATCACTATTTACAAAAGTACGATTAGGAACACCTTTTTTTTTTTTGAAGTACCATTTTTATTTTCCTAAGACTAATAATACACTGGGATTGGGAATTTCTCAGTTAAGTGTTTTGCTGAAGTTGTTTTAATGGATACTCAGAAGAGTTTTGCAGATTTGTCCATTGCTTTTGTTCTTAAGTTATTTTTCACATTTGTCTGTATCCACCTTCTGAAGACACACAAGTGTTTACTGTCACGGTTTCCCAGCATTATTTCTTAATATTTGAGTGTTGACGCATTTTTGTACCATCCCCCTTTTGTACCATCTCTGCTCACATAGATTATGCAGGCTTTGAAGAGGAAGAGATGCAGAAGAGAATTGAATTTGTATCTTGTATGCCTACATAATTCAAAGTGTCTTAGAACGTTGAATAGTGTTGATTTATTAGTTGGCTGGTAAAGGTAGCATTAATTATGTTAAATTTGTTCAACTACTAAAAGTCTCAGGCAATAGGACAAATGAGTGTCATCATTTTTATTGTGTGGCATACCTGGAGCTAAAATTCAAACGTTTTACTCAACAAAATCATGCTAGAGTAACTGATCAATTGGTTAAATTGGTTGAAGAACCAAGTGAACACAGAGAAAACTCATCCAGACAAGTAGACCCAGCACAGCAAAACTTTGCCTGAAAGATAAGACAAGCTTTAAGACCAAAGCTAAGTCTAAGAAAATCTAAGTGGAAAAAAAAACTGCAAGTTCAGATCCAGTAGTGAGTGATGTGGTACAACTGGAGGAGTTAGTTATTTGCTTCATGAATTTGTCAAAAGTGAATACTAATAAAGTGGGAGGCTTCACTAAATGAGGGGGTAAATAAGATTTAAGTTCATCAGAAGTGTGTGTATTGTGTGACCATACTAAGCTTCTGGGTGTAAGTAAAGATGCTGGCTATTTTACAACTTTTTATTTTATTGTGTTAGGTAAAGTACATTTTGGGGATAAATGTTTCTCAGTGCATTAATGTCTTTAAATTCAGGTTGTATTGGGCATATTTTACAACTATTTATTTTTAAATAACATTTAGGGTGTGTTTTCCCCCATTTTGTTTGCTCTCTATCTTACCTCATCAAACTCTTTAAGGTTTAATTGAATATACTCATGTTAAGTGCAATGGCACTAGTTTTATTCAAAATCCCACATGGGCGTAATGCTTTGAGGCCTTGATTCCTACGTGTTCATTATACATAATGAGCCTTGTCACCTGTCTCAGCAATAAAGGATCTGACCCTATGTCAAGGAAATCTAAGGTGCAATTATTAAGGCCACATCTACTCTTCATCACTTGCCATGGCTGAAGCTCCACACTTCAGTCCGTTCTGTTTGGTGTCAACCATGGGGATGCTCCAGAAACACTCTTGGCTAACCATGAGCCCCACAGGTGTCCAAGGAACCTTAATTGGTCTATTGCAGGGTTCATGTTTATACCATCATTACAGTTTTCTTTGTCACATGAATAAGCTTTCAAGCTCAGCTTGAAATAATCAAGTTATTTCACCCATCTCCCTGGGTTTATAAAAGCCTAGTTCATAAAAACCCTAGTCTAATTATTTCAGATGAGAATTATAAACAGAAACAAAAGCCAGAAAACAGGCAGTCCTTTGGGACTTTTGACCCCCAGAGTGATCATCTCACTAAAATCATATGAGACTTTTTGCTATAGAGGTCCCTGAGGGAGATAAGAAATAACACAATTAACTTTTCTCATCCATAGAAGCTTTTACACCATGAGTGATAAGGCAATAGGCAATAAGTAGTTAAATACATAGCAGGTTTTCTTAACAGAAATTAATTACATCAAAACGTGCCAGAGGATTTATATGTTTACTTATACCGGGTAATAACTTACATAGTTCTTAACTATTCCTATCTTCAGGCCCCCTTTGGATAAATTAACTAGGTGCTCTAAAGAATATTGTTGTCTTTTCACACACATATTTTCAACTTAGAGACAAAATGGAATTTCAAATATATCTCAGAAAGAGAGGTAGTTTGTTGGAGACAGTTTCCCTCACTTGTTCTCTCTCCAGCTATGTTTTGATAACTTGGAGTCAAGAGTAATTTGTGAAGGCATGTTAAGCAGAGAGTTAGCATGAATTACCATTTATTAAAACTAAAAGTAATTTTCAGTTAGCAGCATCCTCTTCCTGATAGCCAGATCAATCAAATATGTTACACTTCCTCTCGTTGATCATTCAAAGAGCACTTAAGCATGTGTATTTACAGACAGGCATTACTACAGTCAGCCCATTTTGATTTAATAGTTCCTCAGTCATAGGTACTTTATACTGTCATGCCCTGGATCACAACTCACTAAAGAAGACTGCACAATTGAAAAGTATTTATTTTACTTTGTACAAAATGACTTGACCTATGTTTATTGAACACAAGTATTCTTTTTAAAAAAGATAATTAAAATCATTTATGTCAGTCACCCCTCTATAAACAGCAAGATTGCAAGTTTGCTAGTATTTTTTCCTTAATACTGAGTTTTCACTTCTTTTGTCAGGCTACCAGCAAATATTTTAAAGCAATTTTCTTGATATTTGGAAATCAGTATTTCTATTGGTTTTCCACCTATGTTGATTTACTTAGTTTTTTTAGAGACAGGGTCTTGTTCTGTCGCCCAGGCTAGAGTGCAGTGGCGTGATCATAGCTAACCATGGCTTCAAACTCCTGGTCTCAAGCGATCCTCCAACCTCAGCCTCCCAAGTAGTTGGGACTTCAGGCGCTCACTACCATGCCTGGCTAATGTTTTAATTTGTTTTTATTTTTGTAGAGATAGGAGACTCACCATCTTGCCCAGGCTGGTCTGGAACTCCTGGGTTGAGGCTATCCTCCCACCTTGGCCTTTCAAAGTGTTGGGATTACAGGTGTGAGCCACCATGCCCGGCCTTGGTTTACTTTTAAACTCAGAGACTATATCTCAGAAACACTATAATCACCAAAAAATTTAAAAAATACAATACAGGTGATCTTCTAAAGCAAGAATTTATATTAAGCTTATTTCAGGTGGCAAATCAGATTTTACTAATGATGTTTAAGAACAACAATCTTGGTTCAGTCAGCTTGAAATACAAAGTATCTAAATAATCAAATCAGTCACCTATCCTGATATGACTACTCATTCAACTCTTCTGCTGTGCAGAAGCCAATTACCCAAAACCATGCCAGTGAATTTATGTGCTCAATCAGCCTAGGAAGTGATTTGCATAGTTCTTAACCAACATGTCAGATATTTGGGTTGAAAATCATATCATACTGCCATAGAAGCACTGGCTAGAAATAAATCAGGAATCATTTGCCCTTAATTAACATGCCAGGTTCGAACCAACTTTATTTATTTACACTCTCCTCTCTCAGTGAATGCTCTAGTTGCCACTTTGTCCAACTTTCAAAAATATCTCAGAGAGGATTTGAGATTTCTATTTTGCTAGAGAGACATACTTGGTCAGATTCAACATTTATCAACTCTCTTTCATGGAGAGAATTTGCTGGGGGCTTTTCCTTACAATTTCTAAGTCAAGTATCTTCTGCTTCTGTAAACTACTTCACTTAACTGAAATTTATAACGAATCATTCCTGCCATTTGGAATGTGGTAGTTTTGCATCATCTGTTTCTAAGTGGTTGTTTCCAATGTTGCTGACTGTATCTGTGGAGCTTGTTGTACAACCTTTACATAACCAGGTTTGTAGAACAGCTGAGTGAACTGTTCTTTGACATTTTATTTTTTTAATTGTCTTATGAATATTATAAAACTTAGAAACGTTTGATTATCTAATTTTTCTTTTATTGTATTTGATTATGTCACTCTATTTAAAATAAAAGCACTTTGGTGAAAGGATAATTTCTATGCATTTATTTCATTATGTGTCACAGCTCCTGAAAAAGTTTGCCTTTTTTTGTATTGTTTTAGGGAGCTATAACAGAGACCTTTATTTTCAAAAATAATGCTCGAAAAAAGGGAAAGAACATTCTTTCAGTCTATGTAAATAGCACTGATCTATATGGCAAAGAATCTTCTTAAGCAAAATTCATGCTAGAAGCATAAAACTAGATGCTGTAAGCAGTTTTAAAGAAATCCAAATACAGATTACATAATGATTGATTTAACCAAACAACTAGGACTAGAATTTTTAAATGTATAAAATACACATGAGAAAAAAATATAAGTATTATATTAGGGCTCACTCTCCTTTGACTTGACAGAATTTAGTTCCATAAACTAAAGATACTATGTTAAGCTATTGTTCTATGCCCCAGCACAGGTTACTCGTAGGCTCTGTGATATAAAATGAATATATTAAGTCTGTTGGATAGTTAAGTAGATGTTAATGAAACAGCAAGTCAATATGATTACATAAATAATAATAAAGTGCTTAAGTGGTCAGGAAATACTTGTTAAGAATACAGTGCTTTAGCTGAGCTACCTCTGTAAAATTTACAAGAAATGGTGAAACATAAATCATGTTTGCAATAAAGTTCAGAGTAGGAGGGAGCTAACAAACCATTGGAATGAACGCAGTGGTTCTTAACCTAGAAATAAAGCAAGGCTAGACTGAAAAGAGTCCACGAAATCTCTGAACTACTATACACAAATATAGATGCATATGCAGCTGCACATCTTTCTAGGGAATTAACATTTCAAAAAGGTCCATGAAGCTCTCCCCATACACACTAAAACACACACACAGACACACACACACACACACACACATCTCTCACAGGGTAACACCCTCTGTGGAACAGCTTTTTTAATTACTCTGTGGAAAAAACACTAATATTATAAACATACGCCTATAGAACCAGTAGTTAAGTAATGTTTAATGTATCTAAATAAGCTCAGTAGCTTCTTTTCATTGAACATGATTATTTATAAGAAAACATGCAAGAGATTAAGAAACCATATTTATTTCTTCTTTGGTACAACCAGAGATGTTACCTCAAACCTTTAAAATAAATAATCTCATCAATAAAATTTGTGAATGCCAGAGTATTAAAATTATTTCTTTGCTTTCACATAGAAGCAGTCAAAATATTAACAGGTTTGGGGTACAGTACATACAGTTCAACAAAAGTTCAGGCTGAAGAAGAAAACCAATACGTGACATAAGGAAATCATTTTGGGCGATGTAGCCCTTTCTTACTCCAGAGACAGCACATCGATGGGATTTTAAGCACCAATTCTATTGAATGTAGTGGGGTTTTTTTCATAACTAGTCTAGTAATCCTCTATATAACTGAAACAATAATCTGAGAACAACATCTAAATGAAAATAACTACTGCAACTGAGGTAAACCAAACAGTTGTTTTTGTTTATTGGCACAGTGGCCCACGATAAGACACATAGGTATAGCACACTAAAGCTCAAGATCCTGGGAACAGGAGTATAAATTTACTCAAGGGAGGTGTTTGGTTTTCTTTCTTTTTTTTTTTTTTTAAACTGATGACTCTGCTGTCTTCCCTCCAAGGGAAAGGAAAGAGAACTTACTGAATAGCACCGTTCTTCTAAATGTGATTGTCAAGTAGGACTTCCGTAATCATGCTGAAGGTAATACATTGGAATCATGCTGAAGGTAATCATCTTTGCCCCAGCTTTGGGTGGTGTTTCTCCCCCAAGCTCCTTCACCAGGCGTGGTTCATGCAGAGAGTCATGCAGCACTAAGCCTTTCACGGGTCAGGCCCTTTGCTAAATGCTCGCTGACCAGCCTGCATGGTGCAGGAGGCTGGCTCACAGAAACCGGGAAGCCCAGGAGGTCCCGGGGGTCCAGGCACGCCAGGAATTCCTGCCACCCCGGGGGGGCCTCGTTCACCATCTCGGCCATTTCTCCCATAGCTGGCAGGGCCTGGGTCACCTGAAACACACAGAAGATTGCACATGTGAGCAGGAGAATCCTTATCGATGCAAACTGGCAGAGGGCACTGGACCCTCACAGCTCAGCAGTGCTGAGATAAGGGGCTTAACAAACGCTTTTGGAAACCATGGATGATGACTGGTGGTGATTGGTGATGAAGATGATGATGATGGTGATGATGATGATAAGATCCCTTCCTTGGACTTGGGTTTTCTTGGAAATAAAAAGTAGAAAGAGACCTTAGTCTCCAACCCACATTTCCATCAATAGAGCGGCACTGTGCACCATGAGCCTCCAGCCACAGGTGTCTATTGAGCACTGAAATGTGATGAGGCCAAATGGAGATGAACTAAGTATCAAACACACCTGGATTTTAAAGACTTCATATGAATAAAAATGTAAAATCGTTCATTAAAAAGTTTTGTGCCTATTACATGATGAAATGATCTCTTGCACACAGTGGGTTAAGTAAACTATATTGTTAAAACTAATGTCACCTGATTATTTTTACCTTTTTCATGTGGCCACTTGATTTAAAATCATACATGCAACTCACATTTGTGGCTCACATTGTATTTCTTTTGAATGCAAGTAGCAGTATTCCTTACTTCTAATAGTTGAGCAACATCTGGGCAGGGAGAAGTATAGTTTAGTGGTTAAAAACACAGGTTTTAGAGACAAATAGCTTTACATTCCAGCCCTATCATTTATGAATAATGTGACATTAGCAAGTCGCTAATCTTTCAGTTTCTTCATCTACAAGATGCTATAATGTCTTCTTAATAATTAAATTCAGGCCAGGTGCAGTGGCTCACGCCTGTAATCCCAGCACTTTGGGAGGCCAAGGTGGGCGGATCACCTGAGGTCAGGAGTTCGAGACCAGCCTGGCCAAAATGGTGAAACCTCATCTCTACTAAAAATATGAAAAAATCAGCCAGGCATGGTGGTGTATGCCTGTAGTCCCACCTACTTGGGAGGTTGAGGCAGGAGAATTACTTGCACCCGGGAGGCAGAGGTTGCAGTGAGCCGAGATCGCGCCACTGCACTCCAGCCTGGGTAACAGAACAAGACTTCATCTTAAAAATAAAAATAACAATAATAACAATTAAATTCTACAATTGAAAGCACCTGATACATAGGAGCTATTATTATAATTATTGAGATATTATTGATTAATATCTTTTAGAAGGCTGTGCCATGTGCCCTACAAAATTTCATATTTTTCTCATGAAGGGTGACCCCAACATGAACTTTGCCATAGCAGGTTCTTTGGGGGACATTTCTTGCTTGTCTTCCTTTTGTCGTGTTTAAGGGTTGTACGTTGCCCTCAATGGGGCACACTCTCTGAGGCACAGCACCCCATAACAAAGAGGAATGTCTGCTGAATGTTTACCCCAATGCACCAGCAGCACTTTCACACAATCATTGCAAAAGTGGTGATGAGAAATCGTGTAAAACAAATTGTGTATGCCAAAATAATATAGGGATCCTCATTCCATCTCAGCCATCTTAACTTGGTCTTTCAGCCAAAAAGCTGGAAGCCAAATCCACATGTTCAACTACATATTTGCTTATATTTGGTTACTTTCCTTCTTTCTCTGTGGTTTTTACTTTTCTTTTTCTATTTGAGTAGTCTTATTACATGTCTTTTGTTGGTCTTACTATAGGAATATGGTCTTATTCAGTGGTCTTATTACATATATCTCACATACTTTTAGAAAGAAGGTAGGTCAGAGATCTCGTTTTACGTAACATCTCATTCTTCCTCTGCTGCATACACTTCGATCCACACAAAGCAATGTCATAGGGCAATATATTAATAAGTTTTAAGGGGGAATAATTATCTTTGAATAATTATCCATCTCGAAGCTATAGATAAACAGAGATATAAGTCATTTTCCCTAATTTACCCCATACACTTTCATTCAACTATACCTAGTTAGTATGAAGCAAACCATTATGTGTTTTCTTTTAATGATGAGGCCCCTGAGAAAGCGTCTCCCTAATCCCCAGCATCTGTAGATAAAGCTGTAGCAGAACGATGCCTTCAGCAGCACCTGTTAAGATCCTTAACACCAGATGCAGTTAAAGGTGAAGTTGGTTTTTTTTAAGGTTTAAACGATGAGCCAGATCTAAATCTGATTTTCATGCACCTTATCAGTAGGAATGTCCCCACTGAGACATACCAGGTGTGCCTTAAAATCAAATCAAGTTTAGGAGAAGGAAATGCCCAGAGAAGAGGTAGAAAACCAAATGAGCACAGGGGCTGGGATGGTCACTTAGACCAGGGGTGGGCAAACTTCAGCTCATGAGCTAAATCCTGGTTTTGTAAATAGTTTTATTAGAACACAACCATGGCCATTTGTTTACATATTGTCTGTGGCTGCTTTGGCATACCAGGGCAGAGTTGAGTAGCTGCAATATGGTGCCCATAGCCAAATAATCTGATCCTTCACAAATAAAGTTTGCTGATCCCTGATGTGATAAAGAAATGAGCCTGGATTAAGAAATTCCCCCACTGTTTTTATGAGATGGAAACGTAAAGGACAAATGCAATGAAATTTGGCCACTAATATTCCACATAAGTGTTGGGGAGACCAAAGGGAGGAGTGAGGCCTGTGGTGAGCTGGAAAGTGGATGCAGGCAGCAGCTCTTCTCCAGCTAACAGCTGCCATCGGGGAATACAGGCCAGTGTTGCCAGAACTTCTGATAATTTTTAAGAGAAGCCAGGAAGCTGAGTTTTTAAATAAATATCTCCCAATGTTTAAATGTTAGCAACCAATTCAATTTTTTTTCAACATTTGTAGAGCCAACCAAAAACCTTAAGTTTAAGAGAATTCATTCTCTAATACACAAACAATATTAAAAAGCAGAAGGATAGCTTTTTAGATTTTCACATTTGGTTCCCCATCAACACACTCCAGGAGAAGTTTTTCTTTTTCTTTTTTACCTTGCTGAGTTTATTCCAAATTTCTGCTTATCATCTGAGGGAAGGGTTGATGAAGCCATCCTGTCTACCCTTGATTTATTTTATGAAACGTGCATCTCATCCAATTCTGCCTTTGCCAAATGCAGCAATTTACCACTTTGGAGCTTTGGATGATGTCATCATCATCATCACCAACGCGTAATGAGAATGCTTTCTCGTTTCCATGTGCCATACACTATGCTCATTACTGAGCCCATTTTTCTCATGTATAAACTGAGAGTTAGGAAGATCAAATAATTGTCCATAGTCATATAGCTAGAAATGAAGACCCTTAGCCACTGCACTAATCTAACTGCATTTTCCCACCTATTGATTTTTTAACTCTGTGGAAGGGTGTGGAGGTGTGTGGCAGGGTGTGTGTGTGTGTGTTGTCATTGTTTTGTGTGTGTTTGTTTGTTTTTAATTCCTTGGGCCTGAGTTGACCAGGAAGTAGACAGAGGCACAAAAACAAAGAGCAGTATTGATTTTTGCAGAGCTCTAATGATCATAAGAAACTAAGATATTTTTCTGAGGTTTTGCCCTGTAGAAATACCAGAGATAAAACAGCCTTAACAAAGCAGATTGTCAGGCTCTGGAGAGTCCTGACCCAGGGCCTTTGCTCTCATGGATGTTCTGAACTATGTGGGAGCCTCAGTTGGGTGACACTATGTCCACAGTCCACATCACTCAAAAAGTGAAGCTGACTCATAATAACTGTTCACAAAGTGGGCATAAATGGTTAGTCCAGCAGCTGCATTAATGAGTATCTACCAACTGCTTTGTAACTCTTTAGAAAGAGAAAGCGTGGATCTAAAGTGTTATTCTGCTCTGCCTGCCTCATGTGTGTGATACTTACACTAACTGCCTAATGATTACATGGTGTTCTGAAATGTCAAGGACCTATAAAAATGTTGAATGTTCCCAATACAAAGAAATGATAAATGTTTGAGATGATGGATAGACTAATTACCCTAATCTGGTCATTATATAATATTTCCATTGAAACATCACTATGTACCCCATAAATATGTGTAACTATTATATGTCAATTAAAATAAAATATTTAGAAATGTTATTGCCAAACATTTCATGGTTTTTTTTAAAATTATTATTATTTATTTAAGAAATGAGTATCTATATCATTCTCTATAAAACCACTAGAGGGTAGTCAAGTTACACTGTCGGAAGCCAATCCTGGCTGGCTCATTCTGGAGGCAGCCCCTTACCTAATACATGCTATGGAATAAAAGGGACTGTGTATACAGTAAAAAAAATAAAATAAAATAAAGTGAATAATTTTCATATTAAATAGGGTATTTCATAATTAATCCACTGGTTATGTAGACTTTTTGTATGTACCAGGACTTTCTTATATTTCTTGAGCTTAATGTTGTGGTATTTGACAAAGCAGTATATGTTTAAGGAATTGTAAATTGGTTTATGTAAGGCCCAGCAACCAAATAAAACAGCTGCAGCAATGGAAATTGAATAATTAGGTACTGAAAAACTTGGCCCAGAACTGAATGTGTGCGTGTGTATTTTTCCACTCAATAGTCTCAAGCAAAGCTCACCTTTCTGCAGACTTTGCACAAGAAAAACAAATATTCTTACAATCTAGTATAGCCCAGCACAAAGCCAGCTATAACTTCCATGTCCAAGAGGCAAAAAGCATCTCAGCTCACAAGTCACCTTCCTGGTGTTCACATTCAAATGATTTGTCATTTAATGTATGTTTTGCCCCAGTGAGTGCACAAAGAGGAAATCAGGACTCATAATTATTAATAAATATGTTCCTTTAAAATCCTCAGAGTGACAAGGAACTAGTCCCAAATGGGCAAGTTTGGTGGCAGCAGACAGAGAGAGACCTGTAAGACAACCAACCAAGCAATAACACTGGCTGACCTGTGGCACAAAACTGAAGGTGGGGGAGACTAAAGTTCCAGGGATTGCTAATGTGATCCACGTAGCTCTGCAAGAGAGGCAGAGAAGGAAGCAAGACACCCAGCAGTTATGGGACATGCCCAATTCACATGTCTAGGTTACAAAGAAAAACTAATCGTATGATTGGACAGACAGCCAATCATTCTGTCCACTTTGTGAACACAGACTCAGGAAGCATGAATATGTCTTGTTATTACCTGAGAGACTTTTGTCAGGACATGAATTTAAGAGTCTGTATTTTCTCAAATATATTATGAAAAAGGAAGCAACAATAATAATAGTTAAATTTGCAGAGTGTCTGTTTGCCATATGCCAGGCTTTACATGTTCCAAGAGCTTTACATGTATTAACATGTGCATATATGCTCTAAATACAAGGTAGGCATGATGATTTCCATTCACAGAAGAGTAAACTGAAGCACTTCGAGGTAAAAGAATAGTGCATAAGCCCCTGGCAGCCTGGCTCCGTGTCTGCACTTCTTAAATATTTGCCCAGCCTACTCCTGGCTGTGAGAAACAAACTAGATTGTGTATGTGTACTTTTTAAACAACAAAGCACTGTAGCCAAAATAATCATCAATGTAATGGTTATAATAATAACCTGTGTTCCATAACAAGCAATGTAGCATTATGTCTCTACAGGGCATGTAATACTTAACACTGAACAAACAGAGATAGAGCATTGGAGAGGGGAGACAGGGAATTAAAACTGTCCAGAAAGAATACAGGAACTCTAACAACTGATAGAAAATGATGATATTAGTTACATCGTAAAAAAAATATGTTAAATGCCTTAGCACAAAGAATGATCCAACTATCTTTTTTTTATTCAGGAGAATTTGAGCCCCAAATCCAACAATAGAAACAACAAAGAAGGTTGCAGAATATGCTGTTCTGCAGGTTCTTTCTTTTTTTTTTTTAGGCTCTTTCTTTTAGGTAAGATGTGTATTTATCTAGAAGGTTCCAGACAAATCCCTGCACAGAATCTGGTTGAAGGTCCCTCAGGCCTTAAAGTCGTATTAATAATATGTTTGTGAGAGATCAGAAATCACATTCCTAGACACATTCAAGCTCTACCAGGAAATAAAAAGCAGTCTAGCCTCAGTGGACAATTAACCAGTGAAATGATGTACTGCTACCCAGTACTTTGCATTTGTGATTTGGAGTTGAAGTAGACTTTCATGGAGAGAAAGTCTGAGGCATCGGGGCGGTGCTGATTTAGAGAAGAGTAATATATTACTGCTGATCAAGAGCAAGAGAAAAAAGCTGCAAGGGCTCAACTGGGGCCCAGCTTTGCCCTCAGCTCTCCTTGATCCACCTTAAAAAGCAAAAAGTGGACTTGCTTTATTAATAATAGTACCAACAGCCAACATTTCTTGAGCGCCTACTGTAGCCAGGAACTGTCTTAAGCAATTTACATGGATTGAGTTTCTTTATTTCTCAGAAATACACTATCAGAGAGGTGTCCTTGTTATCACTGTTTTACAAATGGGAGAACTGAGGTGCAGAGAAATTAAGTAACATGCCCAATGTCATAAAGTTAGTTAGTGGCAGAGTCAAAATGTGAACCTGGGATGTCTGAATTGTAGAAGCCACTCTTCAAACAGCCCACTTTCGGGTACTAGCTTTAAGGGAGGAATGACCCAAAAAGCTCTTGTCAGGAACTTGACTGACTTGAGCATACGCACGGTGTCAACAAGAGAACATGGGCCGACCTTGAAACCCAAGCCCTCAGCTGGTGCTTTCACCTGCAAGCTACACGAGGACACTGCGCCAAAGCGCAGAAAACGACCCAGCAGCAGACCCCTCTTCTCTGGCATCTGTGCTTTTGAAAGTTAGCCTATATTCCTGAAAAATAATCTGGAACTCAGATTTTTCACTAAACAATGTCAGATATCCTCTCAATTAAAAGGTAGCAAAAGTCTAAAAAAGGAAGGCTACTGAGGTTGAGACATGAGTAACCATAACAAGGAAATCAAGAAAGAAGAGTAAGCTGGGAGGTGAGAAGGATGAGAGACAATCAGAGCTGATGGGGAGAGATCAGAGGAGGGCGACGATTTTGGAGGTGATCCTAGGAAAAGAGGGGCAAGGACCGACCAAAGGAAGAAAGGAAAAGGAAAACAGAAAGGACAGTTATTAAGAGTCCCCTGGAAAAGGGAGTGCACAAAATGTTTTAACAATTCAGATTTAAGATCAAATCCAAGATCAGCTGAAATTAATCATTTTGTTTATAAGTGATCCCAGGGAGGGCTGCAGATGATGATCTTGTCCTACCTCACAATTTGCTTACACGTGGATGGTCTGATGTTCTAAAAAGCAATCAGGGAAGCCCCTCAGGCTGGGCACCCCGTTTGCGCCCCCATCAACTCGGCTCCTGAAAATGGTTTACTGCAGGTGGGAGATAATGTGCTCCTGACAGTCTGGGACACAGCACACATGGAGCTGATCTTCCTCCATCTTCTCATCTTTACATTGAAAATGTGGCTTACCAATAGATTTTTTTCAAAGTAAGAATCCCTAGAAACCAGAATACTTTTTCAATAAAGGAAAATGTTGCCAATAGTGCAAGTCACTGGTTCAAGAACTGTTAAGTGATTTGTCAATAAAATGAGAAAAGAAGTTATTAGGCTATCTCATAAATATATAGATAGTTAAGTAAATTGTGATGATAATATGTTATCAGCCTCAAAACTTCCTATTCCTACCACTGGTGACAGAGACAAACACCTTTAGTAAATTCTATTTCCTTTTCCTCTCCTCTAAACACCAATCAATGAATCCAAGCTTTACCACATATTAAAATCTTCTCTAAATCCCATTTAAGCCAGATTTTCCCTTCATTTCTAATCATAAATCTTCCATTTCCAATTATAAAAATTTATCAATTTGTGAAAACATTCTGACGAGCCCATGAATCAGTTTTAGAAAGGCAGTGTTTGAGTTATCTCCACACATTCATGTTTTTTAAAAAAAATATTTTAATGAGAACGCAATCCCCAGAAGCAATGAAATGGATAATTGGAAAGCAATGATGTTTTTGGCTACAATTATAGCTGTGATTAAATACATCAGCCTCTGGCAGAATTTGAAAATTGTAATTTCTTTTCCTAAACTTCCCTAAACCAAGTTTCCCCAAACCATTGTGGAAGCAAATATCATCTCAATTCTCCTCAGCAACAGAGCCCTAGGGCTTTGGGGGCCTTCCTAAGCCACTGCCTCGACACAATAAGAGAGCGTTTGCTGGAAAGTTGAGCATCATTCATGCCATTAAACTGAACTGGCTTTTGGCCCTGCTATGCTGCCTCTGTGCTTGGGCTTGTAAGTCATTTCTCAAGGGATGAGTGTGTTCCAGCCTGGACTCTGGTGACAGGGTAGCCAGTGTATAAAGAGAACAGAAGGCCCAGTGACAGACTCTGGGCCCTTCACACAGGGGCTACCCTGTCACCTCAGTTGACGCAGCTATGATGTGTGGCTTGCGTGTGGCTCTTAGTGGTTATGAGTAGGAATGTTCAGTTTTGTATTTTCTTTCTTTATTTCTTTCTTTTTTTTTTTTTGTGGATGTGGGGTTTTGGAGAGTGTTTGTAAGGGGAGCTTTTAAAATAAAATTTCGGTTACTTTTTGTGCAAGAGATTAAAAACTGGTTAATTTTCCTACTGCTCTGGCATTTTAGATTAAAAAAAAAAAGGAAACTATCACCTGCTTTAGAAATAGATAGGATCCAATGTATTTAGAATTTTATAACAAGTGCATTGTGCCTGGACCTTGACACTATTTTTCTTGAAGCATTTAAGGAAATTAGTATTTCAAGTCCTGATATCTATTTTCTGACAAAGAATACAGATATGATTTACAGATCATTCTTTACTAAAGCTGGTCTTGAAAAATCTATGCTAGCCATTCTGAATAATTAATATGCTTAAGTGATCAAATAAAAATTATTTTAAAAGTTTATTCAATTCAGGCCGTCGACTTGCTACCAATTTGGCTACCTCCTCCTCTCAGCTATACAGCACACTTACCTGGGAGACCTACAGCTCCAGGCAAACCTTTGGGACCTCTTCCTGGAGGGCCACGCTCCCCCTTTTCTCCCAAGTCACCTGCATTACATTAAAGAAATGTTATTTTTCTGCATATCTATAAAAATAAACTTCTGTATCTTTAAACTTTAAGCAAATCTAAAATTCAGAAACCAAAAGGTCATGAAACTGCCATAAACTAGATTGTAGTGAGTATGCAGCAAGGCAAACATCAAGTTCATCCTATTAATAGATCTAAGGGGGGAAAATCAAATTATTATATTCACAGATACTGGAATGACATTTGACTTAATTGAACACACATTCTTGATAAAACATTCAATAAAATAAGAACCAATGGCCACTTCCTAAACATGAAAAATAAATCTATCTTAACCCAAAAGTTAGCATAATGCATAATGGAAAACACAAGAATTAGTTCCACTACAATCAGAACAATATAAAGACACCTACTTTATCACTATTATATAACATTTGGTTTGAGGAATTAAAACTATCTCTATTTTCAGGAGATATGAATATATATCTTAAAACTCTAGAAAGTTAACTCAAAAACTACTACAAACAGTAGCATTCAGTCAACTAGCAGGGTACAAAATTAATAAATGGAAATTATAATTTTATATATATTAACACAACCAGTAATAAGACATAGTAAAGGCCGGGCGCGGTGGCTCACGCCTGTAATCCCAGCACTTTGGGAGGCCGAGGCGGGCGGATCACAAGGTCAGGAGATCGAGACCATGGTGAAACCCCGTCTCTACTAAAAAAATACAAAAAATTAGCCGGGCACGGTTGTGGGCGCCTGTAGTCCCAGCTACTCGGGAGGCTGAGGCAGGAGAATGGCGTGAACCCAGGAGGCGGAGCTTGCAGTGAGCCGAGATCGCGCCACTGCACTCCAGCCTGGGCGACAGAGCGAGACTCCGTCTCAAAAAAAAAAAAAAAAAATAAGACATAGTAGAAAAGACACCATTTATAATAACAATTAAAATATTAAACAACGATGAATAAAACTAATCAGAAATAGGCAAGTCCAGCATGACAAAAGGTTTAACATTTCTAAAGGACACCAGAAGACTTGAAAATCATTCTTAAATAGAAATGACATCATCATAAAATGTTGCCAGTTCTCCCCAAGCTGAATTTTCATCATGATCTTATTAAAAATACAAACCCATTTTTTATCAGAAAAGAAGATCCTAAAGTTTATGTAGAAAACACATAAGCCAGAGTAAGCCACAAAACTCCATAAAGAAAAGCAACATGAAGGGAATTAATTTGACCAGATATTAAATCAACTAAAATGTGTGGTGTTGGTCTCTGAATACACAGACCAGTGAAACAGAATAGAAAGCCCAAAAAGTAGGCCCAAATACATACAGGATTTGGGTTTATAATGAAGGTGGTGTCTTAAAGTTGAACAATTCAGTAAATGGAATTGGAAGACGTGAGTAAAGAAAAGTTAGATCTATACCTCACACCCTATTCCAGGATAAAATACAAATGGATCAAGTATTTAAGTGTAAGTTAAGAATCAAAAGATAACAAGGGAGAATTATGACCTCAGATTGGCCTTTTTATTAAGATGCAAAATATGTAAAGTTCCTAAAATCAATACAAAAAGGCCAACAACATAACAGCAAAAAAAATAAATAAATAACCAAAATACATGAGCAGGCATGTCACTAAAAGGAAGTAAAAATGGCTCTTAAAAATATGAAAAATTCCCTGACTTCACTCTCATAACAAAATAAATGCAAATTGTTAAAAAAAAAAAAAAAGAAAAGGATGCTATTTTAACCTATAAGATCGGCAAAAATTCCAAAGTTCAATTAAACATATACTAGCAAGTCTGTGGAAAATGCACTGTCATGAATTGCTGATAAGAGTATAAATTTGGACAATCCCATTGGAGGGTAATTTGACAATAGCTATCAAAATTTTTTACCCAGCAGTTCTACTTCTAGGAATTTATCATAGACATACAGACGGAGTATATGCTGCTATTTTATACAAAAATGAAATACCTACAATGGGGTTCACTGTGGCCCTGCTATAACAGCAGAAGGTTCGAAACGATCTCTGTCCATGAAAAGGTTAAATACATTACAGAACTTCCACACAACAGAACACTATGCAGCAGTGAAGAAATAGCCAGGAAGCTCTTTGGAATGGTCTCCATGTCATACTGTTCAGTGAAAAAGGCAAGTTCCAGAACACTTGCTAAAGAACAATATGATTCATTTTTAAAAGGATGTAGAAAAAATACATATTCATGTATCCTTATATAGAATTGCTTATAAGGATATGTAAGAAAAGAATAGTATTGATTACCTAGTGGGAAGGAGAAAGGAAATTAGGCAGATAGGAGGCAGGGATGCGAGAGAAACTTCACTAAATATTTTTTTTACACGTTGTTAATTTTTGGAACTGTATAAATTTAGTATTATGAAATATAAATTAATCAATCTTAAAAACATAAAGTGTGTTGTCACAGTGTCTACATTTCACTACTGACTCATTGTTTATGGGGAACATACTTTGGATTGCAATGAACCATGTGAATTTGCAAGACATTTACAAGACAGTTGATTGAAATTGGGGATTTAGCGGGGACGGAACAAAGTCACATTAATTATCCCAGCCCCTAAAGATACCAAACCCAGCAACTTGGCTCATTAACAAAATGCATTGTTGCCTTAGTTAACTGGTCCTAAATGGCGTCTGCTGCTCTTTGCTGAAGGCATTATCCCATTATTCCGGTAGTACAGTAGTATATCATTATTCTATTATGCTGTTAGAAAATGCAATGGCACCTTGCAATAAATTCTATCCAGACCATTTTTTCCCAAACATTTGTATCAACTTAGCCTCACTCAATATTAAGTCAAATTTGTTCTAATTTTAAAAACAAAGTCATGTACACAACAAAAATAGAAAAAATATCTGTATAACCGTCTGCACTCAGATAGTCAAAGATCTCTAATTCTGAAGTGAATATTTAGTCACCATACTTTGATTTTAGCTGTGAATGTCTTTACGTGAATGTTTTTATGATCAACTACATTTCACCACATTTCAAAACAATTTAAATTTATATAAATACTATGAAGGATTGAACTCAGGTTGAACTCATATTTATATAAGCTAGTTTTTTTTAACACTCATCATCAATATGGAATATTAGGAAGATATGACAATTAACATCTTATAAACTAATGGCATAAGCATTCTTGTTAACTTGGTAATTCGAGTGTCGTATCACTATAATTCTGGAGGCTGGAAATGAGAACAGACTCTCTAAATGTGCCACATTTTCTGAAGACATGAGATGAACATTATAAATTAAAGTGTGGCTTTTACACTGATAGTAAAAGCTAAACTTGTTTGTACATTTTAGCATGAAGCCACACCAACTTTTAATGTTGCTTCAAGGAATAAGACCAGTGTCTTTCTTGTGATTATGTCTTTGGTTATCAGTCAGAGAAAAACAAGTTTTAAGATGAGCTCCAAAACAGAGCCCATTTGGCAAACTGCCACGCCACAGCAAACCCGGCATACAGGTTGGTTCCATCGACAAGGTTAATCTACTACTTCAAACCCTAGTCATGTCTTCTTTTGAGATGTACAAAAACCAGCTCAGCGAACTAAAGGTCCAGCTGTGTTATCCTCCTCAGTCAAAAAATATGCATAAAGAGCTTGTAAAATAAGCTTTAGATAATGTACAGAGAAAAATACACAGCTTGAGCAGAAAAACAGCTCATTATAAATGAGTGGAAATTCTCATTGCTCTATAGTTGCTATTTATTTCATTTATTCACGAGCTATCATTGATGCTCTATCTCCATGTAAACAGATTATCACTGAGAAAGGTGTTAGTCATAATCATGACACGTGTGTTTTCTCAGACTTTCATTTACATATTGCAGTGTCTGTTTGATTCACACTAAAATATCTAAAAATATACAGCCTTACTCAAAGGGACTTAAAATTAATCAACACTGTGAATATTTTAAACTAATATTTATGACACAAAAGACCAATGTAATACCAAGCAAAGTGAACATAAGGCCAGTTAGATATCTCTCAGGTTTTGAGCCTGGGCCCTAACATTTTTGTATAGTATTGTATAAAGCATGTCAGTGAAAAACAGAAAAATTATAGACATAACCTAAGCTTTGACTATGATTTGAGGCATATTTCTACTAGCTCTTATTGAAAATGTTCTACTGTGTTCTTCAGAGTATTTTCTAGGAGAAAAACAGTGACTAAGACATAGGCTGAACTGTTCAAGCATTCATAATAAAACTTGTTTGTTATTTATGTAGCAGTTTCTCTGGAAAAAGGCTCTCAAAGTGGCTAGATGGTAGAGCAAGATTCATACCATCCCTTCTTTACCAGGGATGGGGAAAAAAGCCAACAAGCAATACTGAAATACATCTCTCCTCTAACTGACTGAAAATTTAAGTTTCAAAATGGTGGAATGTTTATTCTCAGGGAAATTTCAGCTGTTACCCTTTGGATATTACAAAGCTATATGTTTTCTAATAAATACTACTGTTAATGTATGTGGTGGGACAAGAAGAATCTAATCCAGCTGCCTAAAATCATACATTTCCAAAAGTATGACAGTGTTAATTGATTTTAAAAATTTAATTACCCCTCCCTACCTCCACCCCAAATTCTCCGAAGTTAAACTGAGAGAAGACACTGCTTTAAAGGAATCTGATAACGAGAAAGGGATGGAGAAAAAAAATCCTTTGGAAAAGAGAAAAGAATTATATCACTTCATGTTATAGATTATGTCATGAATACTGAAGAAAAATTAAGGGGAAATACCTCATATGATCAAGCTATGCTTGACGAATGAACTTAGTGCTACAGACATTTTCCAGGTTCCAAATATAGAAATTTATTTTTCTTTCTTTCAAACTGAGGTTCATCTGCTAGAGCCAACCCAAGCCAACCTAGCCACAAGTCACTGTTGCTAAATCTTCCCCAAACAATTCACCATTGTTTCCAGTGGTTCTCAACCCTGGCTGCACAGTCAAATCACCTGGAGAATATTTTCAAATCCCAATGCCCAGGCCAATAAAATCAGCATCTCTGGGAATGGGATCCAGACATCAGTGGTTTTAAGCTCCTCAGGCAATTCCAGTGTGCAGGCAAGGCTGACAAAGGCAGCTTTAGACTGTCTTAGCTTAGCAAGTGACATTGGCATTTTCATTTTTTAAAGAAGAGTTCTGTGACTGGCTCAAACACAGTTAAGCTCTGCCCCAAGGAGACTTCCTGTTAACCAAAGAAAATAGGGCTGTGATGTCTGTAGGCCCCATAACGCATTCCCTTTCAGTAGGAAAATGGGCAATTGCTCCACACCAGGTGCCGCAGAACCCCCAGGAGGGCCTGTTAAACTAGACAGCTAGACCTCAAGCCCAGAGTTTCTGATTCAGTGGACCCAGCATGGACCAGAGAATCTGCTTTCCTAACAAGGTCCCTGGTGACACCGCTGCTCCGGGGACAGCTCTTTCAGAACCACTACCCTAAAGTGAACTCAGGAAAGTCTGAGTCATCATGATCCAGCCACTTCAGCACAACAGATCCAACGAAGTCAACAATCTACCTAAGGCTGTAGAGTTTCTTAGAAATTATTTACAGAGTGAATTGAGACTAACCATAGAGAGAGCACCTAAGGCATGAGCTCCTGAACTAGTAAAGCAGGACAAACATGAATAGGTACGTGACTCTTTCAAAGAAAGTGCTCAGTTCTCTTTAAGAAAAACTCTACCCTCAGTCTGCACTCTATTTGATTTTGTCTAGCCTCCCAAAGCTTTGAAATCATGCCAGCCTTATAAGAGGTCTCAGTTAGACCCCATTTTTTTTAACATGAAGCTCTGAACACACCAAAAAAAAAGTAATTAAATAAATTGTTCCAGCTGAAGGTCTAGTTAGCCAACTGCATCAGCAATTCATTTATAGATCCAAAAAGGCGGCTTGCTTGCCCTCTGACCATTCATACCATAATATTTATCCCTAATTGGAGCACCGCAGTACTTAAAAAAGAAAACAAAAATCCCTCTCTTGTTTCTGATGCCATGTCTTTCTGAAGTTCCCCAGAAAGATGTCAGTCACTCATCATGACATAGAAACTACTCACTTTATTTAGTCCTCTCTGTAAAGTATCTAGGGCATATACACTCCAAGCTGATGTACTTACTCCCCTCAACTACCAGACTCCAAATGAGGCAGCCAGTTCTTCCACCAGTCCTGCTGAGTACCTAACACACTCATAGCCCCGTTCTTCTGCAAAATACTGGATGCAAGGGCTTAACTTGCTTTGAATAAAAATGGAAGGAACAAACTATCTTACGTACTAAAGAAGAAATTACATTAGATTGTATTTCAGAGCTGAAAAAAATCCCATCAAAACTAAATATCCAATGTGATATTTTAAAATAGGAGGAAGCTCCAATTCATGTTTTTCTTATGTCCTATTAACACATTTTGTTAGTTTAAATAACAAATACAAACATCCTAAGCATGGTTGCCATGTTAGAGGAGCTCAACAATGACTTCAAGGTCTTAAAAAAAAAAAAAAAAAAAAAAAAAAAAAGCTGAATGATCATTTACCAGATCCCATAATCTTTGTTTTGAACCATGATTGAGGTAGAGTGTAATCGAAAAAGATCAGTACTAAAAGACACAGGACTTTAATTCTAGTATTTGGTCTACTGTTGTGGTATAGCAGGGACAAGAGAATATTATATAACAGTTTTTGAATCTTCACCATCACTGTTGTAAAAGAGAATAATACATCTTATCTCACTGGATATTCAGAAATTGGTAAAACATAAATTCCTTGAGCTTGATACAGATTATACATCTGAAAAAGGTTGTATTCTTTGGTTCCACGTGGGCAAGATGACTTACCTTTAGGTCCCCTCAAACCAAGGGCACCAGGGGGCCCTTTAATGCCCGGAAGGCCACGCATTCCCATCTGGCCTGGGAACCCATTCTCTCCAGGAGGGCCAGGGGGACCAGGAGGACCAGGCATTCCAGGGAGCCCAGAGGCACCCGAGTCTGGACGCTTAAGACTAGCAGCCATCTCAGCAAAATGCTCTGAAAGAGAATAAACAAAACAACCCAGAAGTGTCAGAAACATAAAAGTTATTCTAATGAAAAGAGAAGTATTCCAGATGACTTTTTTCTAAATGTGTCACCAGATCTTCAAAACTGGTGGTAAGACATGAATAAAGTTGGATAATTTCTCTGTGGGCTTTCTGCCAGGAAGCTTTGCTGGTGCTGTTTGATGCAGCTCTCCCTGGATATATTTGGTCCTGTTGTTCTGAGACAGAGTCAGGGCGCAGGAATGGAGGTAGCAGGGACCGGGATTTACAAAAATCTTCAACTAAGGCTTTGGGGTGAATGGTGTTCTGGAAGGATGTCGTCTGAATACCAGCTGGGTATCTGAAAACCCAGGATGGGAAGACAAATGAGTTTCTTAACATAGGTGGAAGCAGATATCCAGACAGTTTTTAAAAGCCAAAGACATCGTCCAGAACTAATATTCAGACACCATTTGAGACCTCGCCTCATGTTCTTAGTTTGAAGATATTATATAAACTGAAATATCCCCAGGAGTCACAGCCTCTTATAAATCCTCCTTCTCAGAAGTTTTTTCCATGCTTGAAATAGACAGCAAACATTAAAAATAACTTGTTTCTTGGGAATGGTCAGAGTTAGTCTTAAAAATTAATAACTGTGTGGGCTTTTCCAGGAACCATTAAATAGATTCTGAATCACCCACGAAAGCCATGGCCTACAAGAAAATCTCCCCATGAAAACATTCTAAGGGAAATATTCTCATGTAATGTTTTTTAAACTTAGAGGGTAAAGGAGAAAATGAAATGGAAACAAATTTCTACCCAACATTTTTAAATTGTTTAAATGTGAGTATTCTAAATTTGCTTGTATAAGAAGAGTTTGCATCGAATCATAATTTTTTAGATATGTAATGTTTAAAATTAAAATAGACGTTCGGGACAAAATGTCTGCAATGAAGAGACCTATATTGCTTTTCAAATATAGAAGTGAATATTTCGTTCCCATTTGGTTCTGGAAAACTTCTCAAGTCTCCTAGACAAACTAGACTGTCTAGTGAGCATACAAAAGAGTATCTCTTCATGACAAAGTTAGCTACACCAGAATACTATCACTAACTGTAGGCTTCAATGTGACAGAACTCCTCAGCGATAGGGTGCTTTTGTACATCTTCATTTTCTGTGTGTTTTTGTAACTAGACCAATTCTGAAACAAATAACAATTGCCATAGTTACAGATACATTTTGACAAGGGTTAACAAGTATGAAAATGTGTCATAATTTTGGTAAATGCTGGTTATTGATTTTTTTTTTACATATGTGTACATGGATGGAGATAATGTCCTTACGCTTCTTATGGGCATGGAGTCAGTCATGTACTTCTCACAAAACGTAGAAAAAGCCTAGGTCAATGCTAGGTACACACTAAGTGGTAGGGTCTTAAGGAGGGGAGAGACAACTAAGAATTTGTGTTCCAAAGGAAAAAAGTGTGTGTGTGTGTGTGTGTGTGTGTGCACTTTGTTATAAATTAACCCCCATGGCAAAAAAAAAAAAAGGGGGGGGCAGGATAACCAGAAGGGTAATATTTTACATTGAGGCTATGGACTATATACTATTGTGGATGCCAATAGTTGGATAAAACAGAATTGGCATTAATATTACCCTAAATATCCTGTCTTTAAGGCATACCAAAAGTCACTCTTGTTTACCCTTGCATATCTGCAAGAATAAAATCTTAAGAAACAAGAGTTGATGGTGGAAAAAGTCAAACCATTGTGATTTATTTACCTTGTATGACTCTCATGCAAACCTGCTTAATGTGCTGATCTGTCGGTGCTCTACCCTGCGACAGAAAAGAAAAAAAGGCAGATTATGCACAAAATCATAAAGAGAACATTGTTAAGTTGTAAACTGACAGACTCTGCAAGGAGCCAGGTGGCTGGATTTACAAGAGAACTTGCTGAGAAGCTGATGCCTAGAACAGCCCTGCTGCAGTGGGATGGAGCCTCCAAAGGGAAACCACAGAAGCTGCCCACCACTCACCGGAGGGCCCTGGACACCAGGCAGGCCGGTGGCACCCTGTTCTCCCTGCACGCCCCGGGGTCCAGGTGGTCCTCTTGGTCCTTCCACTCCAGGAAGCCCCCGACTTCCCTCAGGCCCTCTCAAGCCAGGCTCCCCAGGATTACCTGCCTGGAACACAATTGCACACTATCAAACCAGGGCTAAGCATAAAGAATGTGCCTGCTTCATACTCATACAAACACTTACATGAAATTTGGGGCTTCCTGCATTCTGCATCCTAACAGGTGTTCTTTCAGAGGTTACAAAACCTTCACCGCAAGGTGAAGACACATAATGCCACACAACTTACACATCCTAGTATACCTGATGTAAATGACGAGTTGATGGGTGCTGACGAGTTGATGGTTGCAGCACACCAACATGGCACAAGTATACATATGTAACAAACCTCCACGTTATGCACATGTACCCTAGAACTCAAAGTATAATAATAAAAAAAAAAAAAAGGAAAAAGAAAAAAAAAAAAGAAATCTAGTTCAAGTTAACTTTCAAAATATCTTTCTTTTGGCTGGGTGCGGTGGCTTACACTGATAATCCCAGCACTTGTGGGAGGCCGATGCGGGCGGATCACAAGGTCAGGAGTTTGAAACCAGGCAAGCCAATATGGTGAAACCCCATCTCTACTAAAAATACAAAAATTAGCCGGGCATGGTGGTGCACAACTGTTGTCCCACCTACTTGGGAAGCTGAGGCAGGAGAATCGCTTCAACCCAGGAGATGGAGGTTGCAGGGAGCAGAGATTGCGCCACTGCACTCCAGCCCGGGTGACCTAGTGAGACTCTGTCTCAAAATAATAATAATAATAATCATCATCATCATCATCATCTTTCTTTTGGGGATAATTATTCTTGCAAAATGTTTATTGGAATACTACTTTTTTAAAAAAACTACATACTTTAAGTCACTTCATACTTTAAGTCACTCTCTAAGAGTAACTTAGTTTTCAATAAGCTTGTTAACATTTCCTGGCTACACAAAAGCCCCTGCATTCCTACAAAATATGTTACTTTGCATATCAATAATGCAGCAAGCATAAAATAAAGATATTTCCAAGAACATAAGTTATTTAGCCCTTATAACTTTTTTTTTTAGAGAATGTGAAGATGCCATGTATATCCAGGAATTACTAAACTAAATCAATGCATTTAAAATACCGCATTTAAAATGCTGCATTTAAAATACTTGACCAGGCCGGGCGCGGTGGCTCATGCCTGTAATCCCAGAACTTTGGGAGGCCGAGGCGGGCAGATCATGAGGTCAGGAGATCCAGACCATCCTGGCTAACATGGTGAAACCCCGTCTCTACTAAAAATACAAAAAATTAGCAGGGCGTAGTGGTGGGTGCCTGTAGTCCCAGCTACTTGGGAGGCTGAGGCAGGAGAATGATGTGAACCTGGGAGGCGGAGTTTGCAGTGAGCCCAGATCATGCCACTGCACTCCAGCCTGGGTGACAGAGCAAAACTCCGTCTCAAAAAAAAAAAAAAAAAAAAAAATCTTGACCAAAGAAAGTTACAACTTATCTAAGTATCAAGGAAGTTAAAAAAATCTAAATATTAAAGAAGTTAAAAGTAAACCATGTGTTTCCTTAGCATAAAAGCAAACACAAGTTAGATTTTTTTTTTCAGCTGAAAGCAGACCACTAAAAGCATTCAAAAGAATCATCTAAGATAAATGTTTTAAAAGAGACCAAATTAATTCACTTTTTGTTAAACTAAAAATTTGTTAAATTCTTTTGGTAGAATTTGTGGCAGAATAGCTCTAATGTACTGCAGCTGTTCAGAATAAGAATGAGAAGATAAAAGAACACAAGGTAGCAAGGGAATGCTAGTGTTCAAGATATGAATGTTTGTAAAGCAATTTAATCCTGCTTCTTTTTCATATGCATCGTTTATCTAGAAAACCTGGCTCTTTCAAACAAATACTTTAAACTGAAGAAGGTGATGAAGCAATGCTTTTACTAGACACATCCAAATAAAGCTCAGCAAATGTGCTTTTCCAATTTCTCTTTATGCAAAAGAAATTGATATTCATCTAAGTCAACTTGCCAAAATAGTTTCTATGAAGAAATTATGGTTTAAAAGACTTCCTGAAAGACTGTCAGCAGGACAAGGAAAAGGTATCCTATATAGAAGGCTGCAACATTGTCAGGTGCCTAGGGTGCAAAACTGTAACAACTTCTTTTTTTTTTTTTTTTTTTTTTTTTTTTTTTTTTTTGAGATGGAGTTTTGCTCTTGTTGCCCAGGCTGGAGTGCAATAGCGCGATCTTGGCTCACTGCAACCTCCACCTCCCAGGTTCAAGCAATTCTCCTGCCTCAGCCTCCCGAGTAGCTAGGATTACAGGTGTGTGCCACCACACCTGGCTAATTTTTTGTATTTTTAGTAGAGATGAGGTTTCTCCGTGTTGGCCAGGCTGGTCTCAAACTCCTGACCTTGGATGATCCACCCATCTCGGCCTCCCAAAGTGCTGGGATTACAGGCATCAGCCACCGTGCGTGGCCAACAACTTCTAAAAGAACCCGGAAGAGACGACAAAATGAACTCAGAAATATACTGAAGAACTGACAGAAAACAAAGGAGACCACAATGGAGTGTATAATCCTGCTGGTAGTGACTGAAATACTGCTACAATAAGAGATGGGAACTTCCTAATGAAGAGATTAAGGGCCAATATGGCCAGGACCCTGGGTCTTTGGGAAAGAATTCCTCAACTGAGGAGTGGTATACTGAACCAGAAATCAGGTTACAGACATCGCCTACTTCACAACTTTGTTTATGCTGAAATCAATGAAGAAAGTGAAAGTCTTTGTGTTAGTAACAATTTCCCCGGATTCTGGGACAGTAGACTTCAATTTCACTCATATTACCTGGGCAGTGTCAGGTAAGACACAGGTGGGGAAGGAGATGAATCAAGGGCTAATTCCTAATATTATATGCAAATTTGAATGCAATTAATTTATTCTTGTCACTGCACGGTTCATTAACTTTTCTTTTGTTACAGCTTGAATTCTTTCTATTGAACATTACCATTTCTAGATAGTGAAGTAGGATTTCTATTACTAAACTCAATCAAGGTTTACTCTAAATTTTTCTCAACCTTCGACCATTTCTATTAAAAATTCTTAGGCATAAAAATGTTACTTGAAACTTGAGACATGGTTTTTAGAGGCAGGTAAATTAATACAAAGTAACAATATTCATCTCTGTCGTTTGCAAACAGCCCAAGGCTAGGCATTGTGGCCAAGTCTGATTGGGTCCTCCTGGAGAAAGTGAAGCTGAGGATAGATCTAAGTGCTTAAGTAGGAGGTAGCTAAGAGGAAGAGGAGACCAGAACAAGGTGTTAAACAGCATGTAAAAAGAACTGTAAATGGATGAAGTTCTAGGTATGTAGGAGATGAGGTTTTATCTTTTTTCAAAATCTAGATGACATTGGCTGCCATGAGGATAATATGTTGGACAGGGACAGAGAAGGGTTGAGGAGATTCCAGAAACAGGAAGGACTTGGAAACTGATGGAAGCTGGCGGTAGTGGCATTTGAGATTGAGATCTGAGCTTCATCTTTTCTCCTCATACTTTCTTAAATTCCTAATGGTTTTAGATGTGAATTCATTTCCAATTAGTAAGTCATCTCAGGTTTCCTACTAAGTGATTCTATAATTCTGAATACATCTAATCTCTAAGGACACCAGTTTAGTTTCTATAAAATGACAAAAATGAACAAGATCATTTTCTACTTCTAATAATTCTCTGTTATATTTTCTTATGCATTATTCCTCTATCTTACTTCCCCATCTAGAACACATCAGAGATTAAGACAATTACTGAAATATTTTTCAATGGTATAACTGCCAATGAAATTTAGTTATACTGTTGACACCAAAAGCACAAGTCAGTTCTTTAAAAATGACCCATTTGGAGAGGACATTAGAGTATTACCATGTAACACTTATTGAGTCATTTACAATATGGGGGAAAAAAAAAAACACTTCCTTTCGAGTAGTTAGTTCAAAAGGTAAATCCATTTACACAGTTATGAGGTATTTTTCTATTGGATTAATCCATTACGTAAGGGACAAATTTAGACATTTATTTCCATGAAAGTAAGTCCTTTAAGAGTTGAATGTTGGCTGGATGTGGTGGCTCACACCTGTAATCCCAGCACTTTGGGAGGTTGAGGTGGGCGGATCACCTGAGGTAAGGAATTCAAGACCAGTCTGACCAACATGGTGAAACCCCATCTCTACTAAAAATACAAAAATTAGCCAGGCATAGTGGTGCATGCCTGTAATCCCAGCTACTTGGGAGGCTAAGGCAGGAGAATCGCTTGAACCTGGGAGGTGGAGGTTGCAGTGAGCCTAGATCACACCATCGCACTCCAGCCTGGGCGACAGAGCGAGACTCCGTCTCAAAAAAAAAAAAAAAAAGAATTGAATGTTATGTAATGATTTCATAAAGCTGAGCATTATATATTCTACAGCTTTATTAATAGTTTTAATTTTTTATACCATTACTGTTCACCATACTCACAGATCCCTTTGGGCCAGGTAATCCTATATCTCCCTAAATCAATAAAAGAAATTTATGTTAGAACAACGTGTTTGCATTTGATAATTTCCTGAAAAAACTTTAAAAGTTACTGTGCTACTAAAATATAGAAAACCATGAACAGATTAACTCTGGCACTGCAAAAAAAAATTAGACTCCAATTTTGGATTCTAATCTCAGCTCTACTGCTTAACTCTGTAACCCTCTGTAAGCTATGTAAGCTATGTAACCTCCCAGCCTTTGGCTAATTTATCTGTTAAATAAAAGGGTTGAATCAGAGCTTTCCAGGGTTTCATCCAGATCTCAAATGCTAGGTGTCGAGAATTAAAAATATGGAAGGCAAAAGATATTAAAATAGCATTCTCTTATAAAACACAACAGACATTTGGACCTGACGACTTCATTTTTGTAATTCAAACAATATTTAAAAGTCATCCCCAAAAGTCTACTAAACCAAATATGCATGATTTTATGCTTTAAAAAAAAAAAACCTTGAAAATTTCCTACCACTAATGCTAGAGATAAATTCAGCTCGTGTTGGCATATCAGCTTACCTCCACTACAAAACAATGATTTAAAACATCACGTGACCCTATAAAATGAACAATTTTAGCAGAAGATGAAACCGGAATAATCCTCTTATGAATTTACTTAATAGTTGGGAAGCTTTGACTAATTTAGATGTTACATTTATATTAGCTCTAAATCCTGAAAATAAGAATAAAACAACATTACTAGAATTTTTTTCCTGCCCTACAAGCTCTCTGAAACTGTTTTCTGTAAAATCTATTACACTACCCCAAAAGACCAAAACATAAGCTTCCACATTAAGTCACATTAGTCTGTGTCAAAACCATAATGATGAGCCTGCAAACCAAGCAGCTCCAGCAGTGGAGAGAACTTGTTCTCATTTGTATTCCTTTCCTGGAGATTAGGCAGCAGCCTCCTCTGGAGATGGAGGTCACTTCTTCGGAGGGTTTTAGACTACAGAGATTACCCTTGGTCAGATTTGTGAGTCACAGTTTTCTAACCATAATAAAACTTGAATATTGTTTTCATGATAGAGCACTATTATTCATAGACTTTCTATAGTCATGTAAGAATCACCTTGAATGTCTAGACATAAAGCCACAGAGGATTCACCATCTGTAAGGGAACACTTTTATTCTCCAAAAGTTTAAAGCCAGATCTATCAATTTGGCAGTGTTTCCTCTCTGCTTTACTTGATCTTGGCTTCAGTCTTGGGAGACTTTTGTTAACTGATAGGAGAAACATCATAACCTTTAAAGAAGGCAGTGAGGGTAACAGTGTCCAGAAAATAAGAATTTATATATATACACACACACTTCTAACACAGTTCAAAATTAGTAAGGCTTCATCATTAACCAGAAAAAAAAAATCTTACAAGTTCCCCTCTTTCTCCTGTTTCACCTTCTTCACCAGAGGCACCCTAAAAATTAAGATAAAAGGTTACATTTTAAAATTCTTAGTCCCATTGCCCAATTTTAACCAGTCAACATTGATAAGCATTCATAAGTGCCCACAGTGTTCCCAGAATCATGCAGAAATACAAAATGCTCTCAGCGGCTTTCCAATCTAGCTGTCAGTGGCTAGTCCCAATCAGAAAATAGCCTGGGGAAAGCCAGAAGGTGAGGCTGAGTTTCAGCTAGAATGAAGGATAAATGACCATATTCAACAATTTTATCATTAGCCCTTGAAATAGGGCTTTCACAGTAGAAGAAGAACCCAGAGAAAGGACTGAGTCTAATTCATACAAACAGTTTATTTGCTGAGGTCTTGATCAAGAAAAACCTAAAACATTCTAATGTGGCTGTGGAAGGCTCCATCAGACATGAATAAACCAGTTCCGTGAGCCAGAGACAGAGCCACCCTCCTCAAAGGAAAGACAGTGTGCAGTCCTGGAGGCAGAGCCATAATTAGCTCCAGCTTGTTAAAATAGTAAACAATTGCCGCGGACCAAACTCAACACCAGGTTTCACTCACTATGAACACATTGAGAAAAACTGTTAGCCTCCATGGTTTTATTAACATCCATAAACCAGCCATTCCCCCTTGCTTGTGAAATGGTGCATATCAAACATTGCATTTTATACCAATTAAATAATAGGACTGACCTGTTCACCCTTTGGACCCGGTTCACCGACTACACCCTGTAATAAATAAAATATAATACTTTTTCAGTATTTTCAACTGTTTATATAATTTCAAGTGAACCTTATTGGGTGGGCGGATAAGCACAAGTACGGATAATGTGATGGGAGAGGACGTTCCCACTCCCCACCACCCAACAAGAATCAGGACCAAAACATAAGTTTCCACCTTAGGTCACAATTTTCCAAGAGTCTCTGGAACTTGGGGCATTCTCTGATCACATCCTCATAAAATTTGACTAGTGTAAATGTAAATTGAGGGCTAAATAGAAAGTGTGTACAACGGAAATTTTTACTTTTCTCAGGTTTTCTTTCCTTCTGTTAAATTATATTAATAGACTTTGCTTCTTAATCTCAACTCTGAGTAATTTAAAATACCTTTCTTGATAGCTCTTTATGATAAATTCTAGAAAATTCTCCACGGGGCCAAAAGCAAGCTTTGTTTCTCAACATGGTAGAAATCACTCTTCCAAATAAAGAACTTTCTGGAGTGCTGGAGCTCTTACCCTGTCACCTTTCATTCCAGGAAGTCCAGGGGGCCCAGGCAAGCCAGGGAGGCCAGGGCTACCCAGAGAACCCTGGAAAACAAACACAAAGTCCCCGGTGTTACTGTCACTGCAACACTGAAAGCACGGAAGGCAGAAACAACCTTGGGTGTGTTGACTTGTGTCTAAAATAAACGTGCTGCAGTGGGTTGAACTCTGCTTCTTGGGTTTGCCTCTCTTTCATATTCTCAGGAGAAGAGGGAGGGGCCAATGCTCTCCCAGCCTTCACTCCACCCTGAGGTCCTCAGTTCCCCTTGCACTCCTTGGCAACAGTGGGCTCTTTCAGTCAAGCCCCCGCCACCCCCACTGCCTGCAATGGCGCAGCTGCTCCTCTCGCTGTGTAAACAAGCACTGCACAAGAAGTAAAAGGCACCATTCACTCTGTTTTCTGCCATTCCAAGGACAACGAGAGGCCAAATGTAGCACTTCACATCTCTCCAGGTTTAAAAATGGATGCTACAAACCACACGGATTAAAACACCCTCTGAGGGTATCCTACCTGTAATTTGAAATTTCCGCTTTACATTGTCCACATATTCACATAACAAGAGAAAGCAAGTACAGGTAATTCAATTGTAAATTGTTTTCTCCTTTTGCTTATTTTTAAAAATGTATTGTGTTTCGTAGAAGGCAAATAAAGGAAACTTTTTTACTTACCAGTTTACCTGGTAGGCCTGGGGATCCCACTGGTCCTAATTCTCCTCTACTGCCCTGTAAAAACACAAACATTGTCAACTGGATGTTTTGCCAAAATTCAAATGCTTAGTTACTATGTAAATAAAATAACATCCTACCTAGGTTTTTTCCCTTCAGCTGAAGGCACAGGCCATCATACATAGTGCCTACAGCATCCTGTGTTCATCTTGCATTGAATGATTCGAATGCTCTTTACTGTGATTACAGATGTTTAGAAACGACAGCTGATACATGTATATGAAATGGCAATTAGTCGCTTTCAACATCTAAAGCACATCCTAACTTGTATTATGGTTATTTGTGCCCATGTTTTAAGCCCTCACTTCGATTATGTGTTCTTGAGGGATTGCTATATATTAATTTGGAATTCTGCACAGTGCCTAGAACACAGAATACATTTTCAGGTCTACAGAACATTTCAAAGCAACATCTGGCAAATGATCTTAAACCTCAACAGAGTGAAAAAAGAAACACAGAATAGATATGTTTGCCTTTAAATTACTACTGCAGCTTCAAAAAGACACAGATGGTAAAAATTTGTAAAGTTTCTGAGTAAAACTTTTTTTCTTCTACTCATTTTTGTTCTAAACATATCTTAAAAGATTAAACAGACTTCCGAAAGTAGAATTTATAACGAAGATACACCAAAAGTAATTTTATTTTGTGAACCCACTTCAATTTTTCATTTGAAACTCTAAGCTTTCAAATTTTTATTTGAAACACTAAACTTTTTTGATCTATTGAGAAAAAGAAACACATGAACTTTTCAACTTTTTTCCCTGAGAACTTCATATAATTTTATGCAATCTGACAATCTGACAAAAGCTCATTTTATTTCTTAATTTTTTTGTTTGTTTATTTGTTTGAGACAGAGTCTCGCTCTGTTGCCCAGGCTGGAGTACAATGGTGCAATCTTGGCTCACTGCAACCTCCATCTCCCAGGTTCAAGCAAGTCTCCTGCCTCAGCCTCCTGAGTAGCTGGGAGTACAGGCACATGCCACCACTCCCCAATAATTTTTGTATTTTTAGTAGAGATGGGGTTTTGCCATGTTGGCCAGGCTGGTCTTGAATTCTTCATCTCAGGTGATCCGCCCACCTCAGTCTCCCAACGTGCTGGGATTACAGGCATGAGCCACTGCGCCCGACTAGCTCATTTTATTTCTAACGCATGTTCAACTAAGCTGAACACTGACATTATTGGATAAATAATCACATTTCCTGGAAGGTATATACAAAACTCAAAGGAGTCCTTCAAGTTAATTTTTCTGTAAAATGACAACTCCATATTCATGTTTACTATTTATAAATGCTTCTGATAAGATTCTTCTGACTCATGCTATTTATTCATATTTAAGTTTAACAAAGTGTCAAGATCCATAAACCTTCTGAATTTTGAATTTCTCTAAAGGATTAAGAACTATTTGCCAATTCACAACAATCTAGCAATTAGTATTAGCAATAATTTCATGGTAGTCATTTCATATGACTTACAAGTGATTTAAACTAAATGTTCTTAAACATTTTTCAGCAACTTTGTATAAATAACCTGTGTCTGGTATATGACTTTGGGATGATGCATTGGTCCTTAACCTCATGACCAGTTTGCAAGCCAGAGGCAGTGCCCCATGAGGGTGGATGCTGGGAGAATGTGAGTCTAGATGAGAACTAGCCCCTGTGATAGATTCCTCTATCCATCTATAAATATAAAAATTGGGTTCTACCCCATCTTTGCAACTTCAAAGTTCCAGATAGATTTTCTTCATCATATCTGCTCTGTTGGCATTTTGAAATAATTTCTCAAGTGCATCATGATTGACATCATAAATATCACTGGGCTCATGTGACTTTAATTCACAGAACAATTAACAGTAATTGGTGGGGAAAAGTTAATATCAGAAGGGGAAAGCTCAGTTCTTGGCACATTCTCAAGTATTCATTTCTAAATAAATGAACCGTTATGCTATCTTATCCAAAACAAAGATGATTATTGTACATTTTTTTCTCTTCCACAAACAAAAGGGCTAAATTAAAATAAGAGACTGTATAATCTTTGATTTATTTGGGGGAGGATTAATTATCTTTCCAGTGAATAACAAAGATTTTCTCTGCTGGACTCTTATTTTCTCTGTCTTTTCTAAGTTCTTATTGTAGCTTATAAGTGCTTTCCAATCAGTGGCAGACCCTTGGTAATATATATGAATGAACAGCTCAGAGACCCACATACACAGCCTGCTCTGCTGAACTTGTGTACCCATAAGAGCCCAGCATACGTAGCACGGAGGGAAGAATCAGTAAAATTGTGAGCATTTACTCCCCTGTTACTGCACAAATGGACAGCATGTGGTTCCTCATTTTTATTTCACTTCTATCTTATACATCCTTGGCCATTCTAAATGCAGGTGATTTTACAGAAATCACCTCACTGTGAAAAACGATAATGTTTATTTTCCCAAGAGTGACCAAACAGTTACAAACAAGGTGTTAGGGCAAGATTTTCTGATACCCATTCATGTGATTTCTTTGTCTTCTAAGAACATGCATACTCTTTCTCTAAGTTCTGGAGTTTCATCTACTAAGCTAAGATGAACATAAATAATCAAGATATAAACAGTTATCTCTGAAAACACAGACTAAACACATTCCTCAGGGAGTAATTACGCATGTGGGAGTTATTTATATCCTGCTGCTCAAGGTCATCGCCAAGCTCTGATTGTAAAAATTCAAAAAGTTGCAACCTCAGGTGTAAATGGGTTACCCATGGCACTGGTAACCACAAGTGTGCTAAATAAATGCTAAAACTCTTAGTCTTCAACAGCCATGGTGATAACTGTATTCTCAGATATGGGCAAAGAGGGTGGTAGGAAAAGGCCATTCTTCCCAGTTGCTAATATTTATAAACCCCATGACAACAAGAGTTCCAATTTATAATAAAAGAATCAGAAGAAACTGGAATAGAGGAAAAATCCTACCATTAAAAATGATGAATTGGCTGGGCACGGTGGCTCACACCTGTAATCCCAGCACTTTGGGAGGCCGAGGCGGGTGGATCACTTGAGATCAGGAGTTCGAGACCAGCCTGACCAACATGGTGAAACCCCATCTCTACTAAACACACAAAAATTAGCTTGGCATGGTGGCAGGTGCCTGTAATCCCAGCTACTCAGGAGGCTGAGGCAGGAGAATCACTTGAACCTGGTAGGTGGAGGTTGCAGTGAGCCAAGATCACGCCACTGCACTCCAGCCTAGGCGACAAAGTTAGACTTCATCTCAAAAAAAAAAAAAAAAACGATGAACCATAACCAAAGGCTGTACATTTATCTTGGATGCTCTGTGCTGCCACATACATCCCCCAACAAATTCAGACACATCTGCCAACTCATCTCTTTTTAAGAAGCCAATCAGGGCTGGGTGCAGGGGCTCATGCCTGCAATCCCAGCACTTTAAGAGGCTGATGTGGGCAGATCACCTGAGGTCAGGAGTTCAAGACCAGCCTGGCCAACATGGTCAAACCCCGTCTCTACAAAAATTAGCCGGGTATCATGGTGGGCACCTGTAATCCCAGCTACTCGGGAGGCTGAGGCGGGAGAATTTCTTGAAACCAGGAGGTGGAGATTGCAGTGACCTGAGATTGCCATTGCACTCCAGCCTGGGCAACAGAGTGTGACTCTGTCTCAAACAAACAAAAACAAAGAAGAAGGAGCCAATCTGGGCTTTCAAAAAGATGCCGACCTTCTATCACTGACTCTCAGCTATGCATGATGCATTCCCAGTGATGCATTCCCATGGTGCAGTCCCAGTAACTGTGGAGAGACTACTGATGTTCATGCAGGATGGAGGTCATAGATGTGAGACACCCTGCCATGTGCAAGAGTTCTGGAAAACAAAGAACTAGCCCAGCCCAAATTGCAGCAATACCCTTCTGGGAGACACTGGTAGAGAAAGGAATCCCCTGAGTTCTTTAGAAATACATTGCACTAGATATCCTTCCCCCAGCACCATCTCCCCATTCCCTATCTTTATTTGGCCCCTTGCCCTCTGATTGTAAGTCTGCAGGTCTGGGGTAAGATCCAGGAATCTGTATGCGTTTATGTTATATTTGTTTGCCTTTACCAGCTTTACTCAGACTTCTGTTAAATGCCCACCACCAAAGTTCCATACATTTTAAATAATTGCTCAATATGTCTTGTAACATCAGCATTCAGCAAGCAAACTTCAACCGAAAAACATCCTGTGGAGCTATGATTTGAGCTACGAAGGCATGCAAGGGTGGATCTGAAGACATGAACGCTAAGCTCAGTGGCCTGGTCTGAAGCTGATTTTGCCATGCATCTGGTAACTTCAGGCAAGCAACTTAACCTCTCCGTGCCTGTTTCCTCATCTATAAAGTGGGAATAAAAATAGTACTTATCTCATAGGGCTTTTCTGAGGATTGAATAAGTTAAAAGACATAAATCACTTAGAATTATGCCTGTCTCATAGTAAGCATAGTCGAAGTGTTAGTTATATTGATCTGAGGTAATTACTAAAGAAATCAGTCAAAAAAATTTTTAACCGAATGTTAAATTAAGTGTTCTTTGCTTTTCAAATCCCCCAAGTCTCTTTAAAAGCCCAAGTTGTGCTTGGAAAAAAATAAGTATTTAGTCCTCATGTCTCCAGTTTCTGTCAACACCACTGATCATCGAGCAGGCAACTTCTTTATAAACAAATACTGGGTGCTATTTTGTAAAAATTATTTCCAAAAATACTTACAGCTAAATAATTCAAGTTGGAGGTTTTCCTTTTAAAATGGAACTGTTAGACTTTTAAAAGATCACAGAAAATATCAGATTTAATTTAATTATACTTATATTGCCAAAATTATTTTCCCAATAAATGGATTTTATTCCATCATGCTCTAGCTTGTAATGGCTGTTGTCTTTGTCCAACTACCCAAAATGCTAACTGAAAAATGAACACGATCTTCAGTACCTTTCCAATTCACAAGTTGGAAATTATAAATCACTATACTTAGCATGTACTATATATTAAGTGCCTCTCTCTGGCCAAAAGAGTGCTGATTAACCCAGGAGATCAATTATGATTTCTATAGATTGCTGCTTTTATAAACCCGTTTTCATGTTAACATTGAAAGATCGTATTAGTCCTACTAGAATGGTAACATTTACATTTGTCACAAAGATATTTTTAAAATCTATTCAATTTTACATCATATAGTTTGCATATTTCTCTTGTGTAGGTTGATATATGCCCTCATACAGAGGCAGAAAAAAAATCTGGCCAAACCCTAATCATCACACACATCAGCTTCACAAATTGTTGACAGAGGAAACATGCCAGTGCCTAGATGGAGTGGGAGGGTGGCTTAGATCATTCACAATACAACATTTGTGGATCTCTGTTGGTGTTGGAGGGGTGGTAAAGGACCACAAGAGAAAGTAGACAGGCTTCTGTACACAAGGAACGTATCATCTTCGGAAAACTGAGGTAGAGCAGCATGAAACTCATCCCAGTCAGAGCCATGAGAGCAGAATGAACACAACCCACTCAGCAAAAGCCCTGGCAAGTTCTCAGAAGCCAGGAAGACAGAAGTGGACCAAGAGCTACCACATGATAGGACCAAATGAAAAGCTTAGGTCATGTGCCTGTGCAAAACCAGGAGCCACCCAGACCAGGTGAAAACCAAGGGGAGTGCCATAGAGAAATACAGAAGCATAGCCCACGTCATAAAGGCAGGCACCCATACGAAATCACTGGAGGCACCAAAACGAACGGACTATATTTTTGCAGTAATATTGGCAAACATTAAAGGAAATACCACTTAATTTCAAAAACATGCTTCTAGGACACATTAGAAATGTGTGTTCATGTCTTCATCTCCAACCCGCATGCCTCAGTAGCTCATTTCTTCTTCTTAGCTTGTTTTAGATTTGCAGGAAAAACTGATCAAACATGTGAGGCATTGTTAAAAATGTATGAACTTATCTACAAAACTGAATTTAATGATGTAAAGTGAAAGAACAAACGTGTCTTTCAGTAAGTGGATGTGGTGTTAAAACTCTGCTCCAGAACTATAATATTTATAACCTATCATGACATTTTTCAGAAAATTTGATAGCAGGTGAGAAGTCAGTTATTACCAACAAAAACAGCATGGCAGGATTTATTATGCCTCCAATTCAGTTTGTTTCAAGAAGTATTGATTGAGCGCTACCTTATGGCAGGCCCTGAGGAAAGCGAGGTGGGAAACACAGCGGTGAAACAGACATGACTAGCATCTTCTGCAGTTACCACGGCATGGGGTACAAAGGTGACAAGAGTTCAGAATAAGGAAAGATCACTTCTCTCTGGGGGACAGGGCATAATTGGAAATGTTTTCATGATGCAATTAACATTCCAATTACATCTGAGATGGCTTATGGAATGTTGAGTCAGAGAAATGAAGAAAAGAGCCATTTAAATGCAGGGTCTGGCCTACAGGAAAGAGGTACGGAGAGTATTTGAGAATTAGCATGGAGTCCAACCTGACTTGAACACAAGATCTGAGTAAAGCCGAAATGAGAAGTAAAACTGGGAAGTTAACAGACAGTTTAAGATTTTAGACTTTCTCTTACTGTCCGTGGAAATCCACTGAAGATTTTTAAATGGGGAGAAGTCAGTATGGACACTGTACTTTGGAAATACCAATATGGTGGTGTGTGTAGACTCAGGGAACTATCATTCCCCAGGGCCTTTGGAATTGTGTTTGGCATTTTTGTTTGTCCCAGTGACTGTGGAGACACTACTGATATTCATGCAGGGTGGAGGTCATGGATGTGAGACACCCTGCCCTGTGCAAGAGTTCTGGAAAACAAAGAACTAGCCCAGCCCAAATTGCAGCAATACCCTTTGGGAGACACTGGTAGAGAAAGGAAAGACTGCAGCCGGTGAGACAATTGCAGTAATCCAAGCAGCGGGTGATCACCTGAGCCAGGGTGGTAGTAGTGGGAATGGAAATGAAGAGTCAAATGTAAGAGATCTTGAAAAGAGGACAGAACCAACGGGTCCTATTTGTGATAGGAAATGTGATGGAGGAAAATGCCGAGGTTTTGAGCCTCAGGGACAGGAGCAATGGCAAGAATTTGGACTCTTACAGAAATTCAAAAATCAAAATCTAAAAAATCAGATCCAAAACCCTGCATCAGCATAACCTCCTATGATTTGCCTCTCCTCACATAGGAGAATCAACCCCCTACCCCATCCTCTCCTGAGGTGCTGCCTCTGGTTCTTCATTGCTTTATGCAGCCCATGCCAAGCAGCTCTCCCTACTCCATGTCATGTTTTATATTCACGCATGGTCCTGGCCCACAAGTGCTCAGTCAATGTTCCTTTAATTATATGGAGCTTTCTGCTCTTTAAAGTGTCTAATACAGCCGGGCGAGGTGGCTCACACCTGCAATCCCAGCACTTTGGGAGGCCAAAAAGGGGGAATCGCCTGAGCTCAGGAGATTGAAACCAGCCTGGGCAACAGGGCAAAACCCTGTCGCTACAAAAAATACAACAATTAGCTGGGCTTGGTGGTGTGCGCCTGTAGTTCCGGCTATTCTGGAGGCTAATGTGGGAGGATCACTTAAACCCAGGAGGTGGAGATTGCAGTGAGCCATGATCTTACCACTGCACTCCAGCCTGGGCAACAGAGTGAGAGTCTGTTTAAAATAAAATAAGATGAATAAGAGATGTAATAGTAAACACACAAAGCTCTAATGGCCCCACACTGCTCAATCTTCCTGGGCTTGTCATATAGCATCTTCATTGTTTTAGAAATGTGATCTGGCTATAACGTCATTGCTTCGACAGTTAATTTATGGAAAGTATTTTAATAAGAAATTCACAAGCTTCAAGCAAAAGAAAAGGATAAAAGAAGTACAGAGCAAGAGAGCGGGGGCATGATGAGCTCGTTGCTTTGGCTGCAGAAATCTCAGGAAACCACCTGGTGGAAGTTGGCTGACAAATATCTGTGAGAAGCGAAGAAATTCCATTCTCATGCCACAAGACACCTGGAATACTTCACTTTTCTCAAGTATGAAAATCTTCATTCCACAGGCCCAAGAAATGCTTCAAAAGAAGTAATAATGATATTTGGAAATGTTTCTGTGCTCCCACTTGGAGTTCTTTTGGCTATTCAGCAGCCTTTGAAAATAAGAACTGAAACTGAAGGCCAGAGAGAATGTTTTAAAGTCAAATTTAAGTGTATAATATTTAATTTCCTAATCAATTTCTCTCTAGGGTTAAACTGTATATAGTGAGAAAATAGTCATTGCTATGGCTGCTGTAAAATAGACAAGTTTACAAACTCACACTAAGAGAAGTCTGGTGGTTTCTCCAAAGCACAGCTACCCTATGACCCAGTAATTCCACTCCTAGGTAGGCACTCAAGAAAAATTAAAACATAAGTCCACACGAAAACCTGTATACAAATGTTCATAGCAGCACGTTTGATAATGGCCAAAAAAATGGAAATAATCCAAATGTCTATCACCCAATGCATGGATCAATAAAATGTGATATATCCACATAATTAATCCCCACAATTAAATATTATTCAAGAATAAAAAGGAATTAAGCACTGATACATGCTACAGCATAGATAAACCTTGAAACATTATGCTAAGTGACAGAAGCCAATCATTAGGAAAAAATATATATATATATAGCCGGGCATGGTAGCTCATGCCTGTAATCCCAACATTTTGGGAAGCTGAGGCAGAAGGATCGCTTGAAGCCAGGAGTTCAAGACCAGCCTGGTCAACATAGCAAGACACCATCTCTACAAAACAAAACTAAAAATTAGCCAGGTGTGGTGGTGCACCCCTTTAGTCCCAGTCACTCGGGAGGCTGAGGCGGGAGGACCTCACGAGCCCAGGAGTTCAAGGTTGTTGTGAGCTATGATTGCGCCACTGCGCCCCAACCTGGGTGATTGAGTGAGAGAGACCGTATCTCTTAAAAAATTAATTAATTAATTATTTTTTAAAAAACAAAAAGCTAACATATTGTATGATTCCATTTACATGAAAATTCCAGAACTGGCAAATCTATAGAAACATAAAGTGGATTAGTGGTTGTCTAAAACCGAACGAATTAAGAGGAAATGATGGATGACTACAGGTGGGAGGTGGGTATAAGATTTCTTTTTTTAGGTGATGGAAATATTCTAAACTTGATTGGGGTGAAGGTTGCACAATTCCATCAATATGCTAAAAATCAATAAAGATGGGTGAATTATGTAGTATGTGAACTGTATCTCAATGTTGGGTCTTTTTAAATCACACTAAAATATTTTCTTCAACATGGGATGAGAGCAGAAAGGGTCACCATGGTTTTTGAGGCATTTTATTTTTGTTTCCATTTTCTGAAAAGGCATGCTGTGCATCTAAATAGCACTTCATCTCTTTGTCTTGGACTAGCATGGGCTCAAACATCAGACAGCATTCATGGATGGATGAATGAATGAATGAATGAATGGAAGAACATCTAACAAAGTCCTGAGAAGGTGCTTTGGGACAGCACAGCAAGGAAGGAATACTCACAGGAAGCCCCCTGGGTCCTCGGGGTCCCACCTCTCCTGGAGGCCCCTGTTGGCCCTGTAATGAGGAAGGAAGGTAGAAAAAAAGTTAACGCATACTGATCACAACAGGTTAGAGCTTGGGGAGAGGTAAAATGGTGTCTTACCGGTTTGCCTGAATTTCCCATCGGACCAGGCTTCCCTGGAGCACCTGTACTACCCTAAGGGTAAAATGCAACATTCAAAGTAACTCATGCTGAAGTAAGCATAATCATCAATCTGCCTTACCCAGACTGGGTATCTCTTACATTTGAATAGCATTAATTCCCTGCTTTCACACTGAGAACCTGGGAATGTACAGAATCTCTTTTCTGTTAGATACATCAAAATTCTTTAGATTCAGGATATTGTCTGTGAGTCTAAGAAATATATTACAGGTCCAATGTCAAACAATCAGCCGTTTTAGCCTTCATTTAAGGGGATCCTCTTCAATTATAGGATTTTTCTTTCTTCACAATAATAATAATATATGTCTTTCCTTTACCATTTCTACCTCCAATATAATTCTTTGACTCTTTTTATCTTACATTAAACTATTGAAATTATTAAGAATCCAACCAACATGGGGAAATAGGATGTGCTGCTGAGAAAGCCCCACCAGCAAGCTTTAGGGAAAGCACATGTCTGGAGACGCCCTCTCCACCATCAATCTCTTGTGCAGCTCAAGATGCTGCAGACCGCTGTGATTGGAGGGTTGCAGCCTGGTACTCTAATAGCGACCAATCTCTACATTATTCACCTTTTATCTCTTTTCTTCTCAAGCAAAGCTGTATTTTATCCCTTAAAATTTTTTCCACCTATTGTTTTTAACTGCTTACATTTTTGTTTTATGTAGGTCAATCAGAATGTGAAAAAAATGCCTAGTATCTTTTTAGTTTAGCTGAATCATCCTAATAATAGTCTCTGACACAAGTTCTGCGGCTTAGTAATATCTTCCTTATTTTAGGTAGTAAGGAACAATAAAATTTTCTGTTTTATACTGGCAAAGGATGACATTTTCATTAAGGAAATCTAATTAGCAGCATTTTATCAAAGTATGCTTTCTGTAGTTAGGAAAAAGATTAGTATTTGAAGCCTTAACACTTTTACTTTTGTATCTCTCCCTAGGGCCAAATATAAAATAAAAGACATGCTGAAAGTATTAAAAATTACAAATATGTTAGTAAATAATAAAGAAATTAAGAAAAATATTAATTTAAATTTTAAAATATTTTACCTTTTCACCAGCAACACCCTTTGCACCAGGAATTCCAGGTACACCCTAAAAGAATACATACACAATGCGAGTTTAATCACTTCCTCTGAGAATCCATGAGATGCCAAGCCCACCGCACACTGCAGGGAGGCTGAGGGAATCATGGCAACCTCAAAGCTTTAATGTGAGGAAGATGCTTCCTAGTTCCCAAATCCTGCACAGTCATTTATAGAACTACCCACAGTTTAGAGGGCATGACTTTACTATATCTGACTTGTTAAAGCTAAATGCCCTTAAAGCAAATCTTGTCTTTAAACTAAAGTTACTTTTCAAGGACAAACTTCCCAAATTAGAATCCAGTACCATTTTCAGGTCAAGAGGAGCTCTAATAGGCAGGACAGAGACTACAGGCTTGTGACATGGTTTCATGTATGGAGTAATAAAATAAGACCTCTCAAAAATGTTGGGCTTTGTAGTAGAAAAACGAAATGGTAGGAAGATGCTGGGTCTAACTCAGATTTGATATTATTGGGAGTGCTAATTTATCTGATTATTTAAAAAGCATTAGGTGTCATAAAAGATAGGGGGCCAGGCTTTGATATTACCAAGTATTCTTTATTAATTAGAAAGATTTGCCTCCAAAGAGCCAAGAATACACGTGGTACAATCCACATGAACTTCCAGACACATTAATGCAAGGAAACACCAATTTGAATGACTAAAAATAGTACATAATCCAAGGGGTCAACTGATCACACTCTCAGCACTCTTGTAGCTTAACCCTACTAAGAAGAACTTTAGAACTGGTTTAAAGTGGAATGAAATATACATAACCCTACAGCTTAGGGTTAGTTAAAAAATATATTTAAAAGACTGAGTAAACTAAAGAGAGAAAAGGAATCCAAACCATAAAATTAAAGCCTATTATTTACAGTTATTACACAAATAGCTATTCAGAGAACAAGTATATAAAATACAAATGTAAATTGTAAAAATGTAAAAGTAAAACATCGTATCTTCCCCAGAACTTATCAAATTAGGTAGCATGTTTCTCCCCAAAATGTATATCTTGAAAACATGTATATAAACCAATTAACATGTAAAGAATCAAATACTTACTGGTAACCCCTGCAATCCTGCATCACCAGGAGGCCCAGGTTTTCCTGGTTCACCCTGCAAAAAAAGCTTTTATCACATGATTGAACCTGTATGAACTGCTGTATCACTTTTAAGAAAGGGAGGAGCACAGACGTTTTAAGTAAAAGGATTGTCCCAACAGCTGACTTTACATGCACTTTTATAAAGTGACTTAATTTAGGGTGAGGGAGTAGGGTGGGAAATAGGACATAATTCAACCAAAACGCACAGTCTCTCTCAACCTACTTTCATCAACAGGGTAATTTTACTGAGTTCCTGAAACCAAGCAAATAATTATACTATTCCAACAAGTATTTCATACTTGACACTTGATTCAAAAATTAAAGGAAGGGAAAAAGCCAAAGCTAGCTAAATAAATCTTTTGGTGATTTAGTAATGGAAATGTTGCGCTCAGTTGGCCAGGGCAGAGGCAGTCCCACTCACTCTTGGACTAAATTACACAGCCTACCTTTGTTCCAGGCATTCCAGGGATCCCATCACGGCCATCCACACCTGGCAAACCCTAAACACACACAAAGCAACATACTGTCTCTTACATACAGTCACATTCTTTTTCCCTTCATTATTTTCTAAAGTTTTATTGCAAGTCTATGATCACTGAAAAATGTGCTTGATGACTACAGCTCAGGACATACCGTGTCTCCTTTGGGCCCAGGGAGACCAGGAATTCCTCTAGCACCTTGAGCCCCCTGCAGGGCGGAAGAGAAAGAATAGATAAAACATGTTCAGTTATCATAATACTTAGACATGTCAAAGAGATCAGCATAATCAGCAGATGACACTAAAAAGCAGGAGGCTTAGAGTGATGAATTTAAACTCACTCTCTCTCCTTTGGGACCTGCTTCTCCTGGAGGTCCTCGCTGTCCTTGATCACCCTGTATGAAAATAAAATTTGTTAATATAAGCAAAAGTTACTTATTAATCAACTTTTAAAAATTAGAAAGCATCATCCATGTCATCCAACTATTGGTCTTCCACCACAGTGGCTTTGCTCTATCAAGGAAGTCTAGATGAAGAAATCTTTCTATAAAAATGGCATTGTCTCAAAAATGGATATTACCATAGAGATAACTAAGACGTGACTGTCTTTCGTTTTCCCCTTAAATGCATTATGCCTCTGTGTTCTTGCGTGTAACATATAATGGCTCCATGCAGTGGATTTCGACATCAGTAACTGCATGTACATATCAGCTAACTTCATTGACTGTTATAGAGGTTTGAGGTTTGGATTAGTTGCCAATCTTTCCCTCATATTATTTAATCCCACAGTCAATATTAGTGATTTATGTCGAAGTGACCTAGCTAATGTTGATATATGCTACAGATGGTAATAGATAAGAGGCTGTGTCTTCCTAAAATACAGTTTTTGTTGAGTTGCTTAACTCTAAAACCTCAAATTGCTCCCTATTGCTACTTGATCTGTTCAAATGGCTCAGGTTGGCATTAAACATTCTCCATGATTTAGTTCTACCTTATCCATCCAATCTCATCTTTTCAACCAAACTTTCAACTCCAGGCAGTGACAGCCCCTATGACAGCACACATATCCCAACACCACCAACGGTGCCACCCCTGTACTTTGCTGCCTTTCCTGCCCACAGGCTTTCAAACCAACCTCCCCCTCAGGTCCTCTTACATGGATGACATCTATCCTATGCTTTAGCATTTGATGTTGTATAGTTTATCATTGAGTTACTTTCTGTCTTTCCCATGGGAACACAGTTGGAAATTCTCTTTGACAGTTGGAAATTCTCTCTTTCTTATATCTTTTCTACTTTTTATGTGGCATATTCAGTTATCAATGGATGGCTTCTTTGTCTATTTCCCTCAAAAAACAGGCTTGAGGAAATCTAAAATAATGACACATGGACATATGGCAATCAAAATGTGGAATAATGAAGTCAGAAACCATAGAAAATGAAAAATATCAAATGGGCAAGAAACTAGAAATGAGATAGTTACTGAGACTCAACGCATCCTGACAACCAAAGAAAAGGAAAACACAGCAAACATAAATACTTAATAATTTGGCTTAATCTGTGAAGAAAAAAAATCATATCACGTCAGAAGAACATTTCTATGTACCCAAGAAAGATACTTGTCTTAATTAAATTTAAATTTAAATATATACATAAAAATTGTCCATTTTTCCACTTTAGTTATTCACATGTAAAGAATACTGCACACATATGCATACATAGCAAAAAAAAAAAATCTATCATTGGGTTTTGTGGAAGGAAAATCACTTACAGGTGCACCAGGAAGACCCTGAGGCCCAGGTTCGCCATCTAAGCCCCGAGCACCCTGCAAAAAAACAAGACAGTGGAAAAAACTGAGATCAGTCGTGTATGTTAAAGGAAGCATCCATCTTTCTAAAGACATTTAGTAGCCAGATGAAAAGGAGGTTTTATGCCTGTAATACAAACAGTGATCCCAGAGGAGTAATTACTCAGGCACCTCAGGTAAAAAAAAACACTTGTTTACATCTACTCAGCATACCAACTGTACTTAAACACAATCTTTGATGCCACCCTGTTTTTTTTTTTTTCTTTGAGACAGAGTTTCGCTCCTGTTGCCCATGCTGGAGTGCAGGGGTGTGATCTCGGCTCACTGTAACCTCCACCTCTCAGGTTCAAGCAATTCTCCTGCTTTAGCATCCTGAGTAGCTGGGACTACAGGCGCATGCCATCACGCCCCAGCTTATTTTTGTATTTTTAGTAGAGACAGGATTTCACCATGTTGGCCAGGATGGTCTCGATCTCTTGACCTCATGATCTGCCTGCCTTGGCCTCCAAAACAGTGCTGTGATTACAGGCGTGAGCTACTGCACCCGGGCAACTCTGTGTGTTTTAAGTTAACACTGCACCAATTCTCAGTTGCTGACATGAGCTAAACACACAGGTGCTTATTAATAGATCGGTAAATCTATTAGAAGAAGTTTGGTAGCTACTCTCAGGGTTCTTAACATTTCTACAGAAATTCATTAACCGCCAGGCGGGCGGATCACATGAGACCAGGAGTTCGAGACAGCCTGACCAACATAGCAAAACCCAGTCTCTATAAAAATACAAAAATTAGCCGGGTCTGTTGGCACATGCCTGTAGTCCCAGCTACTGAGGAGGCTAAGGCAAGAGAATCACTCCTCCCAGAGGAGGAGATTGTATTGAGTGGAGGGAGCACCACTGCACTCCAGCCTGGGAGACAGAGTGGGACCCTGTCTCAAAAGCACACACAAAAAATTTATTAACGGTGAAGGCCATGGAGCCACTCTAAGAGCAACTGCTATACTCTGGTGCTGCCACACTGTGAAAGGGATTTCTGGGATTCTGGATCTCCCACCAAGATCTGGAATAAGAAGTCCAGCCATGTGATTCATGGAAGGAATTACTGGAAGGACCTTAGTATACCCTCTCCCATCCTAGACAGATATTAGGTTCAATTCGCATAAAGTAACCAACCTATTTTCTCAAGAACAGATCCACTTTACCAAGTGATGACATAAGAATGACTCAGAGCTTGATAAATCTAATTATCTTGAAATAATCTCTGATGTGGCTAACGTATTGTACACTATCACCTCTTTATTTTTATCATGAGAATCAAAATGTGATCTTAAGATCTTAAAAAGTGTTTTTAGTGCTATCTGCATGCATGTATGCTATCTGACAAAATATAACCCCTATCTTTCTTTTTCTTATCTACTAAGTGAATAAAAAGGCATAATGAGGCAGCCTTCTAATGAACCAGGTTGAGATGTGAAGATGATAAAATAAATGAAAAACAATCAAGAGTACTGGATAGATGTCAGGCCAAGAAATCAAGTGTCAAATTTGAATCAAGTGTCAAATCAAGGAAGCTAGGTGGACAGCATGTGTAGTAAGAATTAAAAATTAGAAAATCCATGATAGAAGCTTCAGACATAGGTAGAATCAAAGAACTCAACTGAAGCAGAGGTACCAGAGAGCCCTGAAATTCTTTGATCCCTGAAAAGTAGGACAGAGCAAAAGGCATTCTACATTCACCAGAGAAGAAGAGATTTTGAAGACCTGAAAAAGACCTTGAATTTATCATTCACCTTGCATTACAAGAGCAGAACCCAACCTTTGCATTACAGAAATGGCTTTGATGCACTCTCTCTCTCTCTCTCTCTCTCACTGCTGTTCAGCATGAGCTTAGACTCAAACTGCTGTTACTAGGTGACAACTCTATGGGTCTGAGTTCACAAGAAGAGCTTTTTTTTTTCTTTCTTTCTTTTTTTAAAGCAATTTGACAGAACTCAGAGGAAATGAGAAGTTTGAAAAATACCAAACAGAAAAATATCTCAAATGAAGACCATATCAAGAATAGTAACTGGTTTCAAAGTGAGGGGTCACATATTCTAGGGGATGATTTAAATCCAGAAAAAATGAAGGTATCAGCAGCTCGGAAATAAATGGGATCTATTATCTAATAAAAGAAAAAATACACACTGAATGTTACTTAAGGTAACATAAATATAGAAATATGAATGCATCTAATATGTTTTACAAACACAAAGTTTTCAGAAAAGAAATATTGATCGAAAAAATAGATAAGGAAAGCAGGCAGAATGAAAACACCTAGAAGTGACAAAGAGCCTGGAAAGAAAACATTAAATTGACAAAAAAAAATTGATAAATAAGCCTGATCCTTCATTCACCAAGCTGTGCATCTCTTTTTTAAAAAGAAAAATTTAATTTCATTTATTGAGCATGTACAATGTACAATGTATTATTCCTTAACTGTTAATAAAAGGCTCTGTGCTGGTGGTGGAACTCACACCAATTAGCCATAGAGGTTATAAAGAGAATGAGGTCAGGGTCAGAAGTGGTGGTGGGCAAAGATGCTTTTCGTATTTTCTGAAGCCTATAAATTAACTTTCCTAACATTCTTTCCAAGAAGTGGTAACCACTTTCTCAAAATCTGATAGAGAGGCTAACCACACCCCTACACACACACCAAGGAAAACACTTCTGAATGCAGCATGATGATTCTGTGATGATAATCACTGAGCTAAGCATTGCCTGTCCTTCATCCTCCACCAATGGCAATACCTCATCCTTCTAATGCCATCTCCTTCATGGACCCTCTCAGTTTTCCTATTAAGATTAGCCCTGCTTCTGCTGCACTCCATCATACCACTGGCCCTCAGATTCATGTCTCTTTTGCTTACATTGTAGTTAACTATCTACTTATTTGTCTCGCCCAATAAATAACCGACTTGATAAAGGTCTTATTCCCCTTGGAATCTCTCCAGCAGCTTGCAGAGTGCCTTGGTATGGAAGTGCTGGGAGAATCTGGTTTCTGAGACAGGTCTAAGGGCAGGCTAGTGTCCTCCAGCCATAAGTGTATAACCCATGCTAAGGGCAGGGCTCATGGATCAGCTTGCAGGTGGGTCACTGGAGGCCCCAGTGTCTTTGGGGATGTCCTGCCTTGGCTTACCTCTCATTTTCCATCCTCCCTGTCTTTGTCTTGCCTGACCAGAAGCACTCCAGGCACTGTGCCAGTGGTATCAATGCTAACTGCTGATCATGACAATGAGGTAAAATGTAAAAACCTTGTTTACTCCGATTTACTCAATACAATTTAAAATAGATTAATACATGGCAAATATCATGCATACTGCTCATTCCTATTATCTGTGCTTACAACATAATTGCGAAAACCTCATCACACATCTACAAAGCATCATAAAATGTCATGTTGTTAGACTGGGTGCGGTGGCTCATGCCTGTAATCCCAGCACTTTGGAAGGCCAAGCTGGGTGGATTACCTGAGGTCAGGAGTTCAGGACGAACCTCACCAAATGGTGAAACCCCATCCCTACTACAAAACACAAAAATTAGCTGGGTGTGGTGGCGGGCACCTGTAATCCCAGCTACTCTACTCGGGAGGCTGAGACAGGAGAGTTGCTTGAACCCGGGAGGTGGAGGTTGCAGTGAGCCGAGATTGTGCCATTGCACTCCAGCCTGGGCAACAAGAGTGAAACTCCTTCTCAAAAAAAAAAAAAAAAGAAAAAGAAAAAAAGAAAAAAAAAGTTGTTGAATAAAAAGCTTTGTTTAAATAGCCAGAATTTTAAATATTTAACACATTTTGATATTATATTATTGTCATCACCATCTTACTTTTTCCCCTTTGTCTCCAACTATGCCGGTGATGCCTCGCAAACCCTGGGCTCCCTGGAAATGTAAAAAAGAGAAGTGAATTATTTTAGTTGAAGCAAAGCTTTTTAAAATCTCATCACAAAAGCTGATCTAGAAAATGGAGATTATCATAACCAAAGGTAATCCTAAGAAATAGTGACAATATATAGACAAACATGTCTAGTTTAGAAAGTCCAAGGAGAATTCTTCAGATGGTAAACCTTTTCATAAAATTCTGAAGTCTTACACAAAACTGGAGTTGACAAAAAAGTAAATACCAGCATAAGAGAAATTGTGATAATATGTTTGACTTACCTTTTAACTCATATATAGAACTTATACTATTATTCCCACTTCCTTCACGGCATGTAACTTGGTGACATGTAACATGATTTTAAACATTGAAATAATTTTTTCCCACCAGTGGATACCATCAAAAGCAGTAGTTTCCCAGGCTAGCCCACGAAAGCCTATAACCTAGAAAGGAGGTGGAGCCTCCATCAACCCCTTGTAGTCACTATTCATTGCACCATTCTTATGAGGAAAGGCATTCTGAATTCCAACTTGGGGCAATAGGAACCTATCTTAGGCATAAGAGTGGATAATCCTAAAAACGAGGGGCTGAGTGTGATTTCTAGGATCTCTTTCAATACTGAAATGTTACCATTCTGGACTCTCTGGCCCCGTAGTAGGAGGGATCCAGAAATCGATCCTGGAAGGAGTGAGCCTGGGAATACCATTGGAAGCAGAGGAGGGTGGATGTTCCACTAGGAAAGTGGGGGTAGCTACTTCTGGACAACCTGCTAACTGTCCCCATTGGCTTAAGATAAAGGAACTCTAGGCCAGCCATTTCTCTCTTCTTCTCACTTGGAGAAAAGGGGGCAAGTCCATGACCAACTCTTCATTCAGACCAGTCACAGATTCTATGTAGATCTGTCAGGAATGACCTCCAATTCAAATATGCAAGATGATCCAGTTTAGGATATCCATTTAGAATATCAAGTGAGATGTGGCCATATCAGATGAAAGCTGCTCTTTCTCATATAGCTCATTTCCTAGCTCTAAAGTTATTTCTATAAAAAGAATATTTGGGTCAATAGCAGCAACACAAGAATACCACATATTGTCTCTTGAGGTGTCTACTTTGAAGAACAGAGCTTTCTCTAAATATTCCAAGAAGCATATTTTTTAAAGTTGTGCATTACTTTATATTTGTGCATGTACATTTAAAAAGTACATGCTTTTGAAAATTTGGCATACCTATTCCCAAAGAGCAGAAGGTCATCAAGCACTAACAGATATCTCCCAATGGACCACTCGAGCCACGCAGCACCCAACATAGATCCTTAATCCCTGAAAACACTGTTTTAGAATGTTGTTTGCAAAATCCTGTTTTGAGAATCTTTGGGAATGGCTTTTATAAAAAAAAATTTAAATCCCTACCAAATTTTCATCAGATTAAAAAAAAAGCATATGTCACTGACACCATGTATCCCTATCTCCCACCTGCGAAACAAAGTCCAGCTCTTAGTGTCTCATATGGCAAACACTCAGGGGAGGGCAAACTTCTGAAACAAACACGCTGGACACCACAGATTCCCTGAAAGTTCTCATGTGGCTTAAAAGCAGAGACCATTTCTTCCAGATCCTCTGACTTACTTCCTTTAGCTTAATTTCCCTTACACTTTAAATGCCCTTAAACACTAATCTGTGCAGCTCCCTGAACCCTTTTTAAACAGCCAGTCCTGTGGAGAAGAGCAGAGCAGGCAAAGGGTGTTCCTGTGTTTGTCTTCAACTCTTCGGTTTCTAAGAATAGTACCTGAGCTAGTCTTTTACATAGTCTTTGCCCTGGCTAGCTGCAATGTTAAATTAATAGTATTCAATTATTATTTCCAAAATTGTCATTACCCATTTTAACAAGAAAAAGGTATAACAACTCCTTTTTAATGTAATACAAAAGTAATGCAAATTCTGATTTAACAACATCTGAAACTGAAGTTTGATGATGCCCCAAGTCGCCTTACTGTGAATATTATTGCAGAAATCTGCTAAAGCACAAGGGACCAACTTTTTATTAAAAGACATGATATGAGCAATTAAGAATGTTTTAATTAATTATAATGATTACATACTGGAATAAGCTACATTAATCCAATAAATGATATACCTACTGCATATTTAGAATACACAAAATTTTCTCATTATATCTTGTGATAATACGATAGAACATAAAAGATATGTATCATCCTCTTGTGCTTAGTATTTGCTTTTCAATTACTTGGACCTGAAATCTGGTAAATGAATGTATGCAATTATAGGTAGAATTTTTCTGTTAAAAAAGTGCTACAATATATAATGAAGACCCTCTCCTATTTTGAAAAAGTACTTATCCCCCAATGCTGGCGTAGTAGAAAAATAGAGGACACCAAGTTCATGTAATGCTATTCATCCAACTGCTAAATAGAAAATATTCCAACAGTCATGGAAAAAAAAAGAATATTTACATATCCTAGTTAAATATTTTTTAAAAAATACTTTACTGGAGGTCCTTGAGCTCCAACTTCTCCCAGTTCTCCCTGGTCACCTTCTTCACCCTTAAAAAAAAAAAAAAAAAAGCAAAGAAAAGCACATCAAAGGTTATTCTAGCAAATGAACATAGAAATAGGCTTGGTCTAACTCAGTATGTTTTAAGTTCACTTGGTGACTCCTGAATTATTCTACTTTCTTAAATTATTTTATATGGGCAGTCCAAATTAATTGTAGAACATTCAGAAAATACGGAGAAGTATACATATAAAAAGTCACCTGAATACAACCATTTAACTATAAATACCAGTAACATTTAGATGTTATCCTTTCAAAGTTTTTCTAAAGTGGGGAAGGAGGAAGAAAGACAAAGATACCAAGAAAAAGACAGAGAGATAGAGAGAGAAAAGTTACTCATTTATGTTCCAAGTGTGTGTCAAATGGGGGGGATGTATTATTAGAAAAATGTAATTATACTATGAAAACTTTTTCATAAACTACAATATTTTTATTGTGATTTTTATATTAGCTTTTCTTATTATAATTTTTGCACTATATACAATATTTTAATGCAAATCAGCCATTTCTTTTGTGGGTTATACCTTTAATGTCACTCATAGAAAAGCCTTTTCCACTCCAAAAATACACATTTATTTATATTTTTGCTCTAGTAATGTTGTAACTTCTTACGTAGAAATCTCTAATTATCAGTAATTTGTTTTGATGTAAAACAAAACATAGAAATCTTTTCTTTTGCTGGGCGCGGTGGCTCAAGCCTGTAATCCCAGCACTTTGGGAGGCCGAGGCGGGCGGATCACAAGGTCAGGAGATCGAGACCACAGTGAAACCCCGTCTCTACTAAAAATACAAAAAATTAGCCGGGCGCGGTGGCGGGCGCCTGTAGTCCTAGCTACTCAGGAGGCTGAGGCAGGAGAATGGCGTGAACCCAGGAGGCGGAGCTTGCAGTGAGCCGAGATCGCGCCACTGCACTCCAGCCTGGGCAACAGCTTGAGACCCCGTCTCAAAAAAAAAAAAAGAAATCTTTTCTTTTTTCTCTTACTTACTGGCCACTCTTCTAATAATAGATTCTCTCCACACAGGTTTCAAAATTCATCCTTAACATATGCTATATTGTTATTGGCTCTAGACTTTGATTCTGCTCTGCCGATCTATTATATGACGTTGCCAATACCACAACATGTTAATTAGTGAAATTCTATAATACATTTTAATCTTAGGTAAGGAGAATTCCCTTATCTGTATTTTTCATTTATAGTTACTCTTATTTTTTAGATTTCCTAAATGTTTACTCTTCCAAATCAATTTTAGAATCATTGGGCAGATCTTTACAGAGTCTACTTGCTTTGTACTAGGACTGCATTAAATTAAGAGAGTAATATGGCAAGAGTTAAAATCTTGACAATATTGAAATCATTTATCTTGATTTTTTAAACAAATTATGAGAGTCATACATATTGGTTTTAGCCTCATAATTATATTCAGATTATATTTCACTAGAATCTATAACTGACAGTGGGAAGAGGCAGTCCCAAGGGGAAAGCCAGAGAATTACCTTGTTCTTGGCATGGATAATCATCACATGTGCCTAATTAAATGCTACTTCTATTTCCCTACAAAAATATAAAACTAGATACAAAACAGCAGTGATTGATATGTCCACTGCAATTTTTCCATAACTAGGTACAGGATATTTTCCATAGATTCTCCATAAACTTTGGAGTCATATATTTGAATTATTTCACCTACAAGTGAAAACCACACAACTAATCCATAATCTGGAAGTTAAATGACAAATTTAGGAGTAGCAATTTATTATCATTTCACTATGATTTTTGCATGAGTATTGACCTTCTGTATAATGTTACTAATACCACATTTTAATTATTGAAATTTTACTATTCATTCCTATATTCATAAACAGTTTTTAAGATCTTCATTAACTAATTTGTAGGGTAAAATTCAAGACAAATTTGTGAATTTGAATCCAAACTTCAGGCCTCCAAGCTCTTACCATTCTGTTTTCAGTTTCAGTTCAGTCTATCTGCTCACCCTTTCAAGGTTCATTCTGCAATGAGCTATGGCCATCCTATTGATTTTCAAAGACATCACTTACACTTTCAAGTGACACTAAAATGTAAAATAAAGAAATTTTCAACAACTTTCTAAGTAAATTTTGGCCGATTACTTGACATGCCAAAAAAAATTGTAGGTTTTCCACTGAACACCAAACCAAATTTGAGAATCTAGATAATTAACCTGTTTAAATATTAAAAAGACCAGTTTCATGTGAAAAGTGGAAAGGCATCTGGATTAACAGCTCCATCTCCAAATCCTGTGGGATGGGGAAGTGAAAGTTCTCCAAAGGAAAGCATCACCAAAAGAAGGAGAAAAGGATACAAACATCAAAAATAACAGAAGTCTACTACATCAGCTTTACTGCATAGAATACCTCATGAATATCTTTTGATGTAATTTAATATTTGTACACACTTGTTTTTTGTAGTTAACCAATACTCTATTATTATATTATATGGCTATGACATATTTAATTTAGTCCCCTGTGCTTGGACTTTTTTTTTTTGGTTTCCATGCCCCCAGTGCTCAGAATAACCATAGTACATAGCAGGTACTTTATATTTGTTAAAACTTTTAATGACAATTTTTAAGATTCAGTGGAAGAATGATCACACAGAGAAATTTCCAAAGCATTCGGGTTTTTTTCCTATTTTCTCCAATTTGATTGGGAACCCAGCTGTTATATTTCAGATAAATAAAATGCCTTAACTATCACAGCCTATGTAATAAAAGACTTTAAAAATAAATGTCCAAACTGTAATAGGGTACAGAAAATTGGTCTATTTATCCTGATTATTTGAGGCTATTTAACAGACTGATTTTTAGCTAAGAAGTTCAAGCATATTAATGCCTGAAGACATTGATAAATTGCCCCTTCAGTTCTTGACTTCCGAAGAAAAGACTAGTCTTCTGTCACTACCCAATAAAAGGGTAGAAGGACATCGTCAACAAAGTCAAGAGGACCTGCATTAATAAGAACTACTTGACTTTGTAAAATATTATCAAATTTACCGAGACAAAACGTACTATGCAGGAAGTCAAATTCTTAGATACTTAAAGATGACTTACACTAGTAGTTGAAAAAAAGGGCAAATAGGTGACCTTGCTTTAAATCTCAGCCTTGGTTTTTCTGCAGGGCATGCCAGCTGCAATGCAAATTGTGCTGTGGATTCTATTTCTATCCAAATAATAACATAAGTTATTACTAACCTCCTACTTACTCAAAATCTAGGTTATATTGAAATGAGGTCAGAAATAAATAGATAAATTGTTTCAGAACTTGAGATGAGAAGCTCTAAGCCAATTACCAACTTCTCTGTTTGCTAGTCTCAGCAACACTTGTCATAAAATTTTACAAATGTCATAAAATTTTGTCTGGTGAAGTGGAACAACTATCTGAATAATGTTGGACTATCATAGCATCAAGGAAAAAAGCTGAGTGTGATGGATTTGAAAAGAAAAGAAAAGGTAGTGACACAGGAAAAAAATGAAAATGTCTGGTGCCTTATTTGTAAGTGTTTTTTGTAAATAAACAACTTTAGAATATGATGTTTAGTCAAATATTGATGCATCTGCTTAGAACTTATCAACCATTATTTGAAAAAGAAGGGCAAAATATCATGGTTCATTATTTACTATAATTCCTAATTTCTTATAATGAAAGTGACCAATAACTCCTAATCACAATTTATCCACTAAATACCCATTCTCCTTACCTTGTGTCCTTGTCTTCCTGGTTCACCAATTTCTCCTTTGGCCCCTTTATGACCCTAACAAATGCAAAATAAATAATTGTCCTGAGTTTGGTACAGAAAGTGATCAGAAGGCTCATAAAGTGATCCTGCTTCCCTAAATCAGTGCCAATGTATTACTAAGAAATGGTTATGTCACAAAGAAAATCAGTGCCTTGAATGACCTTAACAGCACCATGACTGCCATATATAATTAATATCAGTTTTACTTAATAGAAAAACACTGCTCTAGAATAACAGACTCTTCATTACCTAGTTCATTGATACCTGCCTGTTATTTCCTAGTCCCTGTTTCTCCAACTTCCTCACACAGGTTAGGAGCATTAAGTCTTCTCTAGTTCTGGGAACTTAACCTTTCAGAAGTGACAGCCTTGACCAAGCTCAGCTGGCTATCCCCTGCCCTCTGAAGGCTGCTCTGAAAACCTTTCGGCCTCCTCCATTCCCACCCCCTTCCTGGTGGTGGAGGAAGGGCTGATATAAGTGGACTTTCTCTGATACACAACCTTCTGCTTCTTTCTGTGTACTGTTTGTTTGTTTGTTTGTTTGTTTGTTTGATATGGAGCTTCGCTCTTGTTGCCCAGGCTGGAGTGCAATGGCATGACCTCTGCTCACCGCAACCTCTCCTCCTGGGTTCAAGCAATTCTCCTGCCTCAGCCCCCCCAGTAGTTGGATTACAGGTGTGTGCCCCTATGCCTGGCTAATTTTGTATTTTTAGTAGAGACAGGGTTTCTCCATGTTGGTCAGGCTGGCCTTGAACTCCCAACCTCAGGTGATCCACCCGCCTCAGCCTCCTAAAGTGCTGGGATTACAGGCGTGAGCCACCGCGCCCAGCCTACTGTGTACAATGTTTAAGTGCAAAGGGAAAGCAATAAAGGGCAGTGGGTGAAAGCTGCATTGCATGAAAAGAAGATCCCTGTCTTTTCTTGTCAGGCCACCTGTCCTAAGCATGTGTGTGCTTTGGGTAGTAACAGGAGACAAAACTGTGAGACAAGCATCCCAAAATGAAAACTGTCGGAACTTTCACCCCTCAAAGAAGTCTTTTTGCAAAATAGGACACCTGTCCAGGCCTGAATCTTCTGCAGTTGAGGGAACCCACCAAAACTACCCTTAGAAAAACCCTAATGGAAAATCAGTGCCTTGGGGCCTTTCAGTTCACAGCAGAGCTCCATTGGTCTGGAATGTCTCAAAATCACTTTAGACTCAGAGACTAGAGAGAGAGAAAGCCATTTATCCCCAGAATGTGGTATGTATTTGTTTGTATGGAAAATTTTCAAGTAATTATGATGGCAGACAGAGAAAAATACTTTTGGAAAGTCTCTTTTCCTGACTATTTTGGGCAGTTTTTCAAATTTTTTTTAACTAAAAGTTTTCAAATACATTATGTACACAATCCCCTCCAACTGCCCCACCACTCACTATCTCCCTTAATAGGAAGCACTTTTTTTTTTTTTTTTTTTTTTTTTTGAGACAAGGTCTCATTCCACCACCCAGGCTGGAGTGTAGTGGCATAATCACAGCTCATTGCAACCTTGACTTCTCGAGCTCAAGTGATCCTCCCACCTCAGCCTCCTGAGTAGCCAGGACCACAAGTGCACGCCACCATGCCTAGCTAATTTTTTATTTTCTGTAGAGACAGGAGTCTCCCGCTGTTGTCCCGGCTGGTCTCAAACTCCCGGGTTTAAGCAATCCTCCCACCTTGGCCTCCCAAAGTTCTAGGATTACAGGCATGAGCCACTACACTCAGCCAGGAAGCAAACGTCTGAATCTTAATTTGGTGTTCTAAAGTCTCTCAGTCCAATGCATTTTATTGGTATTTCTCCCTGAACTAGAAAGCCATCCTATGACTAAACATCCATGTCTTGGTAGGAATACATGTCAAGAGCAGCTGGAATTGCTAGGATTGAATAAGCACTACTTGCCTGATCCATCCAAGTGAGGTCTCTGCACCAGGAAGGTTAATGCTTAAAGTAAAGGCTCCATTTTATCTGTGGATAATACTCTTAAAATACTGGAAGTTTTTCTCTTACCCTCATGCCTGGTAGGCCTGGATATCCTGAGCGACCTGGTGGACAGGCATTGGGACACTGCCAGGGAGAGAGAGAACAAAGAGAAAGAAAGACAGGTAGAGTGCATAAACTAGGACTCCTGCTTTGTGACAAAGTCTTTTTTTAAGGGATTCCAGTTACAGAACTCCATTGCAATAATATTCATTAAATAATTTTAACACCCCTTTCCTTCTTCTTATTATTATTTCACATTTAAAGCCAGAAATATTTCTAACTAACAGAAAAGTATAAAGAATATAATACCCTCCCCCATGAATCTATCATCCAGATTTAACAAATGTTAATATTTTGCAATATTTATTTCAAATCTAATTTATTAAAGAAAATATGTTTACAGATAACCTATTGTACCATGACAGGATTCATTTCCCCTTCCCATTCCACTAGACTAGCCACATCCTGAGGTTCACGTCTCCCATCAAAGAGGCCAACATTGCATGTAGTGCACATTACCACCATCATTGGACTGTTACTCTATGAGCAAAACAAATCCTAGAGGAAGTTATTTGAATTCTATCTCTTTAAAACCTGGATGCTGTAGTGAAAAGCATGTCTTAGTCATAAAGTAAAAAGATTATAGAAGAACAAAGATACATCTATAATGAAAAATTATTAGTCTGAATAGATGCAAGCCAGTAGCCCACTAGTGTTACAAACTGCTCTGCCATCTGAGTGAAAGGAAAACACAGACACATAGTATATTCCAGGGAGGTCTTTTAAAGAAAACTCATCTGCAGACTATATGGCCTTTGAATTAAAACTATATTTTGTTCAAAGGAAAGCATCTTACCAATGGATCTCCATCATGAAAGCCAATTGTTCCCTAAAGTAAATAAAATATTAAGGTTCAAAATACAATTAAATAATGAATTCAAACATACTAATAATACAAACTCATCAGGCAAGAATATAAAATATATTTGTTTAATAAAATACAAGAAACAAATAGGAGCAGATAATTTGCTAATATTCTAAAATCCTGACTCATGGGCATGTTCTCTTTGGAGAGTCATGAATTGCAGTAGATTATTTTGGGAAGGCATTGAAGGGAAATGAAATAAGAGGCGAAATAGAAAATGTGGGGAACTTTGAATTACAAATAAAAATATGAATTATCTTCTATTTAAACTCCTATTTATATTTTTCTTACTATGAAAACCTTTTTTAAAACTAGTTCATTTGAAAATGCTTCCTTTATGTATCTAAGTTTTGAGCATTTGAGACATCACAACTGTCAAAAGACTTCAAAAGTAATGAGTAAGATATGCCCTGTAAAAACCACCTTTTAAATTATTGTGATTCCTCTACTTCTTGCCCTAAAAATAACCATGCCCTGAGTACAGGAAAAATTTGATAGCCATTTTGGAAATTTGGGGCAATGACTCAATTAATAGGAACTTCCATTTTGGGTTCTTAGATTTTTTTCCAACCCTGACTCTCAGACACAAAGAGAAATTCAAGTTGCAAATAACTTACACGGGGTCCTGGGGGGCCAGGGGGGCCAGGTCGTCCTCTTCTCCCAGGGTCACCCTAAGTTATTTGAAAATTGTGACACAGTGGTTATACATGTGTCAAAACACAGTACATAAAAACAGTGAGGCATGAGAGAATGGTATTACTGGAAACCCCCACCGAGCTCAGCCATGCGTAGACCTGCCACCAAAATCGATGGGTGGCCCATAATCCAATTAGTACTACAAAATGAGAATAATAAAAGCATTCCAGTCTCACCGAGGTAATAAAACAAGTCAGAGAGAGGCTAGGGGAAAAAGCAAAGCCAATTCTTCTCTATAGGACGAACATTTTATCTACTCTGAAAACAAATTGGAAACACTACTTATTTTTCTAGTTGATTTACAGAGGACCCAGAGCAACCTATACGGCTAGTGCCATCCTGCTAACCAGTGCAAAAGAAGGCTTGCACTCAGTCTGAAGCTGCGAAATGGAAGTTAATCGCTGCAGTGCCTGACTCTTGCTAGTGCTGCTCACCCACAATCTATAACTTGGTCCGTCGCTGCACCTCTTGCAATGGGTCAAAAAATCAAAGAAAGCTACATCGAAGTAAACCGTTTAGATGAAAATGGGTTCCAATTACTCTTAACATCCAATGTTTACTCTTGGCACATTTTCCTTCTTGATGTTCTGCCATAAAAAGTCGGAAGTACCTCACAATTATTTTAACTTTACAATCATTTCATATTCATTCATTTCTTCACTAAATAAATTTGCAAACAGTGAGCACATGTAGAGGAACAAACAAGGTATATGATACATGGCCCCTTCCCACAGTGAGTTTACAATTACCCACCTTCACATAACATCACTATGTCAACGTTTTTGAAATGTTTACTTAATATCAATATGAAGCATTTTATATGAGACATTTTTTATGAAGTCCAGCTCTTTAATGTTAAAAGTTAAATTTTGTTGGCTGAATTATAACTTAATGATCCTAACATAAATATACATGGTAATAATTTTAGGCTATTCACTTTTATTTCATGCAGAGAGCCTAATACAAAAGCCTCTAGACTCCAGTCCTGGCTGAGAGTCTGTAAAATGAGGACGACACTCTCTTACTTGACAATCTGGAAGTTGGGAAGAAGAGTTTAGCTGAAAAATTTAGGAAAAAATTAAAATCACTCTGCAAAAAATATTATTATTCCTGGTCCACACCGATATTATAAACTGGAATGAAATTCATCTGCCATGTTTTGGTTCGCAAGTGGAAATGTACAGTTAGGGTAATTTGCTTTCCCAGGTAACATCTTCTATTAAATCAGCAAAGGTCTATCAAAGTGCACGGTGGTACTCACAACAGGTCCCACACGGCCAAGCTCTCCAGGGAGTCCTGCTGTCCCAGGAGGACCCTGAAGGCAACAAATCAAAGCAAATGGTCATTTATGAATATTTTTACAATCTATCATACATGATATCAAATATGATAAATAATAGAATTACATTTCTGTATTAGCTTTGGTTTCCAGTGACACAATCACTCATTTGACCAAACTTCAATTATTTAAGACAAAGCAGAAATTTCCTAAATTAATAAACGTTTTGTTTAGCAGAATAAGGGTGTTATCCTTAGTAACCACCCAAGATCTTGTAGGTAGAACACTATAAACACCACTGAGTAGACTGTTAGTAGGAGAATAAGGTGGGGATTTGAGAAATAGGACATTTTTATAGACTGTGTAAAAATAAATGATGAAGTGATACTTACAGGGGGTCCAGGAATACCACGGCCCTAAAAGAGTACAATAAAAATGTTTACAGCATGATGTTTATACTTAGTATAAATATGAATGTAGACATAACTCAGCTAAAATAAACCATAAACTCTATTACTAAAAATGATGCTCATTCTAAAGAAAGTACTGAATAAAGAAAAGCAAACACGGCTCTGCTTCTAAAGGAAGCAGAAGCTTATTTGAGCTCCTCAAACATTCCTTTGATGTCTACGCTAACTGGGATTTTTCCAAATTTTTTTTTTAAGGAAATCAAAGTAAAGAAGCCTTCCATGCCTGCCCTCAGGAGAACTTACCGTAACTCACAAAGAGGTGCATCACAACGGGAGAGTTTACAGATTTTATTCATTTGTAGCGTTTTATAGGAAACCTACATTAAAAGCATTCTAGTTCTACAATCTACAAGAAATTATGTTTAGAATTTCCCCAAACAAACTTTCAGCACAGAGAGGCAGGGACAAAAAAGGGTCAGAAACACACCTCCCTTTCGAAAGGTTAGGCTATATTTTCAGACACTAAATCCAGTAGATATTGAAAATAAAATGGTGTCACTCCTGAAGTAACCTACAATGGGATGCTAATTTAATATGTTATATTTGATTTTTAAGCTAGTCATTCTATTCTATTATTCACATTTATATCTCTTTAGCAACACCAAACTTTATACAACCAAGGATTGAACCACATCTTATTCATCTTCCTAGCCCCAACTCCTAGCACAGGGCCTAGCATATAACAAAATCTAATAATATGCTTGTTGAAATTAAAACTGAATATCAGCCGCCTAGATCTCTATTCTCTCTCTTTAATTTCCAAGTTCAATTTTTTCCCCTTGGGATTTCTCATTATTCTTTTCTCTCCTACTTGGGCTAGAATAGCTTTTATTCACAGCTGTCTGTGATATGATATTCATGTTAGCTTTTCATTCCAGACTTGCTTTTCTAAAATATGCGTATACCAAGCATCCCATGGAATCAATGCACTGATAAGGATATTATTATTTCTAATTAGTTGGGCAGGCAAAACAAGCAAGAACTTCACATGGCCAGTATGTTTTAATAATCGGTGGGATTTTAAAAGGCATTGCTGGAAAAATGACTCCAGTTTGAACACTTTAATACATAGGCCAATTCAGGAAATAAGTGTTATGCTTGAAAACACCAAAGTCATCAATAAGTTATTTCATTATCAGAAACCTAGATGTTCAACAAATTACACTAAACAAAAAAGGCATCTCTGTAAGATGTTGAGATTAAGAGCTGAGTTGAAAAATATGGGCGAAAGGCCAACAAGCTGTTCACTTCTGAAAATAGGCTTATAACAGAAAAGATGACATGCTGAAATATGGTAAAGAAAATAGCACAAATAGGAAAACAGAAGAAAAAATACAGATTAATGACAAGAGTAAAAGTGGAACAAAGAGCACAGTAGATAGGAAAAGCAGCCTAAGAACCTAGTCCTCTTATATATACAAATAACACAAACCTGCCACACTGTGCAAATATAGAAAAAGACTAGTCAAAGAATCAGGCAAGTGATAATATCTGTTTAGTTGATATTTCCTTAGAGATAAAACCAGCTGTGAAGAATGTGGTGTGATACCATGGTCTAAACATTGAATACTTAGATTTGCTCTTGTTATGCAAGAAGTGTTTTCTATCATTGCAGGTAAAGAGGGAATTGTCTACTGGAAAATACCACCTACAAATAGAATAGATATTTTCTACTGTACATTCAAACTTCTCTAAAATTTTTCCACTCACAGTAGGAATGCTTACCATACCAGATGTCATCAACTTATTTGTCATGTATATTATGCAGAAAACTACACCTAAAGATTTCACAATGGCAGAATTTTACCTAAAGATAAGACATTTTCAATTCTGTAGCTTTACTTCTACTTACTGGAAATCCACGAGATCCAGGCACACCAGGTTCTCCCTAAAAATAAAAATAGTTTCATTGTACTGACCTTTCATAACATGAATATGTAATCATGAAGACTGCATAAATATTGAAAGCATTAAAACACCCCATTATGGTGTTTTTATTTTTTTTTAATTTCCAACTTTTATTTTATGTTCAGGGGTACATGTACAGGATATGCAGCTTTGTTACTTAGGTAAACAGGTACCATGGTGGTTTGCTGCACAGATCAACCCCATCACCCAGGTATTAAGCCTAGCATCCACTGGCTAGTCTTCCTGATGCTCTCCCTCCACCCACCCTCTATTTTCTGACAGGTCCCTGTGTGTGTTGTTCCCCTCCATGTGTCCACGTGTTCTTTTTATTCAGTTCCCCCTTATAAGTGAGAACATGCAGTATTTGGTTTGCTGTTCTGCATTAGTTTGCTGAAAATAATGGCTTCCAGCTCCATCCATGTCCCTGCAAAGGACATGATCTTATTCCTTTTTATGGCTGCATAGTATTCCATATCATAGTGTTTTTAAACACAATTTTAGTTGAACAAGTGCATTTTAGATGCTTCATAACTTAATGTTAGTTGGCTTGCAAACACTACAATAAAAATATACTTCCGCATTTTCATACTAGCAATTAATACCAGATGGCTAACTTACTTTTTGTCCCTTTGGCCCAACGGAGCCAGGGGATCCATCAGGTCCTGTTAATCCCTAACAGAGCAAGACGATGATGTTAGAATTATCATAACATCCTTAGGCAAACCACTAAGTAGAAAACTTTCATTTTATTTCTTAATCATCTACAAGATGGTTACATATGTATGATGCAAATATTTATAACAAAATAACCTTACTATAGTCTTACTCAAAAGTAAAGATTAACACAAGGTCTACGTGTTGTGGTTATTTCTTATTGATAAGTTGTATCATATTCCTAACTTCTTGCTAATTGCATTGTTTATCACAGGGTTCAATAATTTAGTGTTTTTTGTCTCTGCTTTGAAAAAAAATGCAACATAGCAATTACAATGCTGTAACAGCTAAGACTGGTAGGTCTTGGTTCTGTCATTTACTCAGGTTTATTTACCTCCTTTACTTCATTTATGAAACAAAAATACTATGTATCTCTCTACAGGACAAAAATCTGTGTCTACATTATGACAATGTCTTGGAAGTCAATAAAATATTTCCTCAATGGGAATTAAACAGAAACAATTTCATTATTGCCTTATAGCCACTAACAGGCAATGACAATTGCTTATCAAAGAATATTAATTCTTAAAGTAGAAACATTTGAAAGCATACATGTTTCTACATTATTTTTCTTAGTAAAAATAGCTATAATTAAGTATATACGTTCATGTATGCCACTCGGTATGTAAAATTTAAGCCTATTATTATAAATCACATTTATAATTATCATATTTAATACTAAAGCAGTTATTAAATACATATTCTAAATATTCTCATTTTCCCTACTAGTACTTACTTTATCATCATCCTCAACATAAAACATGTATTAAAGAATGATAATATCACGTGTATACAAGAATTTCCACATTTGGTAAAGATACATTTCTACTTTTAATTTTTTTCTTTGCTCTTTGACACTTTTGGATGCTGTCATTTACAATGTAATCTTGAAATTATACCTTCCTAAAGATAAACATGATATATATGTGTGTACATATACATACATGCCTATATAAGTATCTTATAAACCCTTTCTATTATCAAGATTTTGAAGAAGACCCAAACAATATTAATTGAGAGAGGGATCTCTTGAAAAATATGAAAGTTGTACTTAAAAATGGATGACCAAAATTCATATTTAGTCTGTCATGGTCCGAATAAACATCCATAAAATTTCTTCACATAATTCATATAGAAAACTAGTTCACTGGCTACCATTTTTACGTTTCTCTACATCAATTAATTTTCCTAACAATGTCACAGAGTGAATCAAAGCAAGTAGAAAAAAAAGAGTTGAAAATGTTAATTACTGGAAATTTACCAAAGAAGAAAAATATTAAACACACACAAAAGAACTTCTGACAGACTGCCTTTGATTTTCAATAGCCCTAGTCTAATTACAACACTGTAATTTGGGAACAAACCTCAACATTATTAATTGCTAAGCACCTATGGTAATGAAATATTTGCTTTGGCATTTCACAAACAAACCATACATCCAGGAGCACTCTCTGGACGCACATATGGCATGTAAATTTTATAAACCTCTGGGCATATTTAACAAATTGAACCTCTGACTCTCATTTACTGCATTAAACCCTCCAAAGACCAATTCTGGTCAACTTTCATACACACAATCAACTAACACTCTTCAACCTGTGACTGGAATAACTGACAAGATTGGAGGACAGTTACTATTAAGCAGAACCAAGTAAATAGTGGGATAACCTGGAAGCTGTCTTCAGGTTATTTCATATTAAAAACATCCTCCATAAGACATGCTAAACTATGTCAATCACTGGAAAGTTCTCTGAACTAAGTTGAAAATGGATTCTGGTGTCAGATGTTACAGTGACACATGTTATGAAATAACTATGCAGAAAACCATAAGCTCCATGAGGACAAGAATCACATGTGCATTACAGTTCTAACATGTTGCCCTGGCGTCTAACCACTCACGACATGATTACCGCATACAATAAGTTTAAGGAGGCCTTCCAAGTGGAAGGATATTACACTTGTTCCTCCACATCGTCTTTGTATTCAGCTCAAATCCTGATCCTACCACTTGGCAGCTGTGGAATCATGGGCAAGGTCCCTAACTGCACAGTGTTCTAGACGCTGTTCCTCATGGAGAAAAAGTCCTGCAAACAAACAAACCAAAATCTAGGTATTAACCACAGCACTGTATTTCTTGTCCTCATCACATTTCTTCAATGACTGAATATTTGCACCTACACTGATCTTTCAGAATAATTTCTTAATAACTCACAATTCTAGTTATAAAGTATTTGCCACAGATAATAGTTGCATACATTCAGAGAATACAAAAGACCTGTAACCTCTGCCTGTAAAAATTATCATGGTTTAGCTATAATTCTTATACTTTATTCTAATTCCTCTTCTGCTTATCTCAAATAGGTGGTATAAGAAAGAATAAAATACTGTTCTTAAAGGTCTCTCTGAGCATGTCACAACAAATAGTACATATAAAAATATCTCTATTTGGCCGGGCGTGGTGGCTCATGCCTGTAATCCCCGCACTTTGGGAGGCCAAATGAGGTCAGGAGATGGAGACCGTCCTGGCTAACACGGGGAAATCCCGTCTCTACTAAAAATATGAACAAAAAAAATTAGCCGGGCGTGGTGGCTGGCACCTGTAGTCCCAACTACTTGTGAGCTGAGGCAGGAGAATGGCGTGAATCCGGGAGGCGGAAGTTGCAGTGAGCCGAGATCGCGCCACTGCACTCCAGCCTGGGCGACAGAGCGAGACTCCATCTCAATCAATCAATCAATCAATCAATCAATCAAATCTCTATTAATATAATTGCTGACAACAGCACAGTTGTCCTAAGGTTAGAACCAAGTTCTGTCTTATCTAATTTTATCTGTCCATAAGCCCCCCCCCCCAAAAAAATCAACTTAACCTGAAAAAAGGGCAGATTTGAGTTGAAATACACAGACCATACACATAACACATACATAATTTTCAAAATCCAGTTTGCAATAAAACCTCCTAATTCTTATTTCAAAGAAATAAAAGAAGAAAACATTACCAGTAGCAGAAAAAAGTGCCTTCATATGAATGTTCATACAGACAAACTTCTATATATGATAATATTGAAGCTGACTGTGTTCTGAACTTCATGTTACTGTTTGGCAGAGAATACCAGTCCTCAATGGAGATTTCCTTCCAGCATTCTGACAGCTCAGCTGGTAGGACTCAAGGCATACTTCTACAAGCATGACTGCTATGACTCATTTACATTTTCTGCCAAAAATCCATTCAACATAGGATAATGAACACTGAACAGGGTTCCTTTCTGATCCTTTCAACCATCATCCAATTAACCATTTTTTAACATTATCAAAAAATAAGCCTTGTAATGACCCAAAGAGCAGAAGACGAAATGATTCAAGGTTTAAAGTCCTACCAGCACACTCAGGTTCATTTACCAAGAAAGGACTGTTGAAGGTCTCCTACTTACTTAGCTCCCCTATGGCCAAGGAAAATCAAACAGCAAATTCTGATCAAATTACTGAGTTTCATTACTCTCAAAGATGTCCATTCTCAATTTAGAATAAAATATTTTTTTAATGTCAAATGAGTCAAAGAGTGGAATAAGAAAACTTTTCACTTCCAGATGTCTCATGTGGCTTCAATTCAAAAGTCAGGGAATATAAAACATGCCAATATTTATAAATAATTATAAAATATCAATTACAAATGGCTGTTATTATCCATATCATTATTCTTGATTGGTGACTTAGGTACTAAAATTTCACTATCACTTTTTCTCTCTATTCTTGCTATTCTCTCTCATCTATTTGCATGAGGCAGAATTGCCTGAGGAGTCTAAAAATCAAGACATCTGGACTATTTTGCTATCTTAGCTACTAAATAACTCTAGTTCTCTGAGGAAGCCACTTGTTTTCATAATTATTCAGTTTCTTTATCTATGGAAAGTAATATTAGACCAATCTACTTTCCAGGTTATTGTGGGTTAAGAGAAATATTTGTGGCAGTGCTTGAGGAAAAAGTTCTATGTAAATGCAAATAGTATAGTTAATTTTTCCCTGAGATCTAGAAAATGCCTAAAATACTGGCACATACATGGATTTCCTTTTTCCTCCCTTTTCCTCTCTTTCTCTTTTGCTTTCTTCTCCTGTCTCAGCAGACTAAATGGGCTCATCATTTTCTCCCTGAGGTCAAAGTTCAATAATTTAAGACAGCTTATTCTTTTATGTCTTTTAATATTTGAAATCTAGTTTATGCTGCACTGTGGGTCTGCAAATACAGACAAAGAAAAAGTTACTTGAAATTGTTTTCTATGTTGTACTTCTAAAAATTTCACAGCACTTTCATTTGTTTATCCAAAATTTCTGTTAGAGTGGGGAAATTACTTTATAAGCAAAACCAAGGATTGTCTTTATGACACCATGGTATAAGGTAAAGAGAAGAATTTGTTGAGCAAGCTACAAAACCATGACTGAATTGGGGGACAGGTAAGTCTAACTTTCTGTCTGACACTATATTGCAGCTTAATAGCAAGACAAGCATTCAGATGACCCATTTACACTTCAATTACCAAAATAAATTTTTGAAATACAAAATAAATATTTTATTTACCAAAATAATATTTTTAATTTAGTCAGAAATTTTCTTTTCATCCAAGACTAAAGGCTGATTGAAATTTCGAAGGAATATAGAAATAAATTCAAGCTACATTAGGCTACCAGCTTGTTCAGTAGCCTTGCATTTATCAGACTCTTTTTATTATGGTATGACAATTTCAAGTAATTATCAATGTTCTAAAGAGTTTGACTGCCAACAAGTTATATTATTTCAGTTCATATTACATTATACAAACACTCTTTTGAGATTTAGGTTTTACTATCCAAATATTAGTCCTTGGGTGCCTCCTGTACTGCTAATTTGCATACACAGAAAGTTCAAACTAGGGGCTTTGAAATGTAAACCAAGATCCATTTCCTAAAATACTATGTGGTGAAACCCTGTCTCTACTAAAAATACAAAAATTAGCTGGGCATGGTGGAGGGCACCTGTAATCCCAGCTACTCAGGAGGCTGGAGGCTGAGGCAGGAGAATCGCTTGAACCCGGGAGGCAGAGGTTGCAGTGAGTCGAGATGGCGCCATTGCACTCCAGCTTGGGCGACAAGAGCAAAACTTCGTCTCAAAAAAAAAAAAAAAAAAAAAAAACAAAAAAAAAAAAACAAAAAAAAAACCCACTAAATAGTATAGACACAGTATAAACAGACACCTTCATTATGGGAATCCTGACAAAGAAAGCACACCTTAATAACAGTAAAAATCCGATTATTTATTTTTCTTTCAAAATGAAGGATCTGTCTTAAACTGTAGTCAAAAATTCTTGGAAATCATAATTATAGGTTTTCAGGTGCTTTCTTTCATTTGGAAAAGTCCTTAGTTTTTGGAAAACACATAAAGTGGTAACTTGGAGAATAACTTGAGTGATGCACCATGGTGCTCTCTAAGAACAGACGCCATTTCTTACTTCACTTTGTATTCCAGGGACAAAGTCAAGGACTGGTCTGTAGTGGGTCCTCATTACACATCGTTAGAATGCATGGAAAGAGGCTGAGAATCCTGAAGTCATTTGACTGTGAAGAAGTATTATTTAGTGTTAGGTTTACCGTATAACTCAGCATTTGATGGAGATGTGGATAAACTGGAGAAAGCTTGCTAGTTCCATGCAATCCTAGCCAGCTCATTTCTGCCAGTAATGCCAGCCAGGAAAACTCCATGGAAAGACGAAAAGCTAGTTTTGAATTTCTAAATTCAAAACTAGTTGTTTTTTTTGTTTTTTGTTTGTTTTTTTTTTAGTTTCTTATCTGATGATACGTGTTTTCTTGCCCGCCCCATCCCCCCGCACATCCCCACTCACTTCAAGTGCATCTTTCTCTTTCACATTCCTTCGGATTTAGGGGTGCTCCGGCCCTTTGCCTACCTGCAGGCTCTTTTCCTAAATTAATGCAGGGAGTGCCAATGAAAGAGCAAGGGCGAAGGCTGGCTTCCAGGAGCCTGCCACTGGACTCACAGCAGGTAAGCCGACGCCAGTACAATCTACTGCCATCGTACCGCTCTGCCCGCAGTGGGGCTGAGAGTTCACAATGTGCACTGTGAGGTCACGGTTAGAGACAGGAAGCCGGTATCCGCTGCTGTTTTCTAAGACGAGGAAATGCCAACGCCTCCTAGAGAGAGGTATCCTCACCTTCACAAGTGCTTTTGCAAAAGCTGCCAGCTCCTCCATCAGTCAGGCGCTAGCAGGAGGCCAAGTTTAGAGCCACAGCGCATTCTCTCTCTCTTTCTCTCGCTCTCTCTCTCTCTCTCACACACACACACACACACACACTTATGCATACCCACCACACATCCCAGGCTGGGCGCCCTCCCAGCACTCGCCTACTCACATCAGCGCCAGGTGTGCCAGGCTTGCCTGGAGCTCCTGGCTTTCCCGGTTCACCTGCAGGACCCTGAGCAGGGGGAGAGGGGTGCGGGGGCAGGAGAGAAAAAAGGTGCAAAGTTGAGACCCTTCAGACACAGGAAGCTGCAAAACACGTCTAAAGGAAGGAAGTGGAGCGCCATTTGCTCCAATCAACTTACCGGGGGACCCGGGGGACCCTTAGGACCTCGGTCACCCTGGAAGGGTAAGAGAAAAAGAGAGAGCTGTCTATGAGCGGGATAGGCTGGGGACCCCACTGGGACAATCCCAGGAGAGCTCACTAGACGGATGGGGATGGTGTAAGGGTCAAACGTGGAGGTTCATGACCAACAGGGACACCTCTCCCTCCAAAAATCCCCGGGCTCCTAGGATTCAACCCCCAACTCTCACCCATGTCCGATCCTGCCTTTAAGTGGGGTGGCAGGAAGGGGAGACCCTGGTCCTCTCTAAAAACCCACAGGAGCCCTGGGAAAAGAATAGGAAAGGGCAGGACCGGGGAACAGAGGTGGCCTGGAGATAGAAACTTACGTCGATGCCGTCTATGCCCGGAACTCCAGGGGGGCCCGGAGGCCCTGGAGGACCCTGCTCGCCGGGGGGACCTCTCTGGCAAAAATAGCAGACATAGGTTAGTGGAGCACATCAGGCAACAGGGAGCAACTGAGCGCGGTGCCCTGAAGCCCCCGCCTCCCTCGGGTAAAAGACACCTTCCAGAGGAGGCCGGGTTTTTGAAATCCAACACAAAAATGTCTCAGACCTCCAAGCAAGCGCAGCTTTGGTCTCCGCCATACTCTAATGAGCTAAACTGTGGAGCTAGAGCAGGATTGACGCCCTCAAAGTTGGGGGAGGCTTCACTGGATCTCACCTCTGCAGAGTGCATGAAACCCAGGAGGAGTTGTGGAAAAGGGAGGGTCTAACGCCTTTTTATCCTGAAAAGGATTCAAAAATGAAAATGGGGCTCATTCGATACCTCGATTTATCAGTCATTGCAGGTCAGTGTTTTGGCCAGAATGGAGCAGCCAAGAACAGAGACTCCACACCAGGATCTTTGTCCAGTAGAATGGGGAGGTGGGGGGTATGCTTGAGGAAAAGATTTGGGAGGATTAGGGCAGGGCAGCCTTGAGACCAGTGCCTGGTCTCATTTCAGTTTTACCTGCAGTGACACCCCCTCAGTTCCTTGAATTAGGTCTTTGCATCTCGCTTCAAAATTACACCAAATTTCAGACTGACTCTAGGACGTGACCCCTTTTATCGCTTGCAAACAGCTACGTTTCGATGGTGCTAGAAGGTATACCGACGTCTGAAATAGCATAAACGTGTTGCTTGGGGAATGTGGGGCTTTTTTTTTTTTTTTTTTAACCCTTCTGAATTAAAAAAAGAAAAAGAAGAAAGACTCTTTCATCAAGGTAAACTTTGTTTTTCTAAACTCCAACGACCAAACAGGTTACAATGGAGTCTTTGTAAGTGAAACCTCAAACCTCAGCTGGGCTTATGCGCCCCCGCCGGGTCCTCCCCCGCGCAGGAGGCGGGAGGCGCTGCAGGCTTTTGGAAACTGCTGAAATGCTGATGGGAGCCAGGGCCACCCGGTTCCATGCTGGAGCCGCCTGCACCGCTAGCAGGACTCGGGGTTTAGCGCAGCTACCGTGGGCTGGAGGAGCGGGAGAGGGAGTCTGCCTGGATTCCCGCCTTTTCCAGCAAGGCCTGCTCTTGACAGTGACCAGGAGGTGGGGCGGGGTGGGGGGGGGCGGGATGAGGTGGGGGAAGTAAGAAGTAATAACAGGCTAAGAATTAAACCTCGGTCTCGAGTCACCTATTCAGCGCCAGAACCTGCAGAGGGGAGGATCCAGGTGGGGGAGGAGCCCCCTTCCTAGACCAGGGGTCATCTAGGGCTCTGGACTTCGATAGGACTCCAGCAGGTGCTCAAGGCTGGAGGAAGCGCGGGTCTAAGAGCCCTGAGGATGCTCCGCGCCTTCCTCATAGCTCCCCCGACCGCTGCGCCCCCACCTGTCCTCGTGTGCGCTTGAAAAATGCAAACACTTCCCCTCCCCAGCTTACCTCGTCGGTGGTCTGGCTGGGCTGGAGAAGAAAAGATGGGGAGAAAGTGAGAAAAGCACCCCTCAAACTCGCTCGCAACTTACTTGAGCCGCGCACAAGCAGAGCCCTGACAGCAGCAGCCCCAGGGCCCCGCGGTCCCGCGCAGTCCTGGCCATGCCCGCCGCCCTCCGCTAATCCCTTGGCCCGGCTCTGCAGCCTGCTTCCCCTCTAGGTTTCCAGACCCGCCACTAGCATAGGTGGCACTTCGTCTCTGCAGAAAAAGCACCCCCGGGAGTAGCGGTTGCCTAGGTGTCCAGGCCCGGGAGGCGCACGTTCCCCCTGTTTATGAATGGCCCCGAAGAGGGTCCTGGGATTGGAGGAGAGCTAGGGGGCAGGGGAGGACGGATAGAATGACAACAGTCGCCCTTAACCCCTTCCCTGCCGCCGCACAGGCAAGGCCTGAACACGCAGCTCTGCCTCCATCCCATCTACCCCAGTGCAGCTTCTGGCTGTCCTCGGAGCCTTCCCGGGTGGCCTATGCCAGTGTTGGCCAGTAGACCTCAAGTGGTCTTGGATATGTTTGAGAGTGAGGGAGGAGGGTCCGTAAGCCGCCAAAGGGAGAACCACACACCCGCAGGTGGTTTCTACCTGCCAGGCTGCAGGTGGTTTCTATTCACCAGGTCGAAAGTATGACCTGTGCTTCCCTAATATTTCTCTAGTCAGTACAGCAAAGCACAGGCTCTCTCAGGGAAAGAGAGTGGGGAGGAGGGGTCCTGGGGAGGTGGCAAGATGGGAAAGTGGTGAGGTGGAGAGGGTTGAGCTGGGTAGACGTGGCCTTTGCAGGTAGTCAGGGGACTCACCGTTATTCTGGCTGGCAGTTCATGGCAAGTTTCTCTCCTGGGCCGCAGGGGGTCACAATGGATCAGCATCCATTGAAGTTCAAACTGGAGAAAGGTAGTAGACAGTCAGGTAAGGTTTTCTGGACGACTGAAGCTGGTCATTCAAGAGAGAGATAAGTTTATACCTGTGGTCTAATTGTTAAATAATTGGAAATCAACTGGAACTGGTTGAGCACACTGGACCAGGACTCTTGCTTTTCCTTGAATACGAGTTTTCTAATGAAAATGGGTTGGAAGCCTTTCACAAGTTTCTCTGATTATTAGGTATAGATGTCTTTAGCTTTGAATTATTTCAGCATACCCCTAGCCTGGAAATAGACCACCAGCACTGACTTTCTATTTCTGTTCTGATGACAATCTCAAGAAGTAGATCCTATTAAAATGAGATTCAGAGAGAACAGAAACTGTTCAAGTCACAAACCAATAAATGTCAGAGTCTGGGTTGAAACCCAGGGCTATTGAACTCTACAGGGAATATATGCTCTAAGATTTTAGACAGGAGCTTAGAGACAGACAGAAAAAAAAAAGTGGCAATCAGAAGGACAAGTAGAAGAAAAAAGATCTAGTCTTGGAAAAAATTTGCACACTGGAGAAGATATTCTCCATGGAGTGGTCACAGCTTAAAATGGAAATTTAAGGACTGAAGATGAAGGTAGTGAGAAGGAAATATAAGACTCAGGAGAAAAAGATTTAAAATATTTAATTTTATATAATCTTATTCATTGGTTGAAATAGATGTAACTTTCTAGACACTTGAAATCCAAATGTGTCCTGACAACTTCTTACATTGTTAGCAGGTGTTACAGGATAAAAAAGAGGGTAACAGGAAACAGAGCTAGGAAAGTGTTGCCAGGTCTGAATCTGAAAAGATCCTCAGGTAACAAGGCAAAAAAATTAAAATGTCATATCCCATAGGAAGCCTATAGCCATGCACCATGCTGGTATCTCTTAATTAAGGAGCTTTCTGGCTAGGCATTTCAAATTGGATCCATATTTCTTTGTCATTGATGTTATCAAATGTCTGGGTAACCGTCCAGGTCCTAGATCTAAGCATTACTTCTTTTCTTTCGTGCAATAGAGATTTCCATGTCACCCCGCCTGCCAAATGGATTCTAGAGCTCCTAAATCTAGAGTGAAATTACGTGTTTTTTGTTCACTGTTTTGGAATCATCCAGAGTTGAGATCACTGGACAGAAGATCAAAATTGGAGAGACAATGAAGAATGAAGTCTTTCCTTCCTATCAACAGAGGAAGGGAAAGATTAACAAAAGGAAGTTTTGGCTAACCAGAAAACCTATACCTTTTGTTTAGATAGTTCATTAAAGCAAATGTGAAGTAATTCATTAAACTGTTTTCTCAAATATGTAATTCTCTCTGGATAAACTGGTATACCTGTTTAAATATGCGAGTTGCAATTGTGGCACAGGATAATGAGGAAATGAAATTTAATTCATCTGTGTATACAGGCTGGGTTGTTCAGAGTGCCACATAGATCAAGAGTTTCTGAACGCATCTGCACATCCACATAAACACCACCTACGCACTAATAATCGTCTATACAACAACCATTTTTTGGCATGAAATATGAATTCCAATTTGCATGCTAATTATTTTGAAGGAAGATTGGCAGAGTGCCTTGGTAAAAGTCACTTTCGTTATACATGTAAAATGCTGATTTTCACACATTTCTCATTTTCGTACCTGGAATCATTCTTCTCTTTGAACACTCACTGACAAAATATATGTGAAAAATAATTTAGTCCTTTTGGCTCGTGTGAGTGCAGTGGTGTTTACAACTAATTTAGTCCTTTAGTCAACATTTGTGATGTCCCAATAGAAGTCAAACACCAAGGAAACATTCTAGTGAAACCAAATATATTCCCCTCTCCACAGTGGGTTTATAATTTGCAAGACAAGAAAAATACAAGTAAATAAATAAATAAGTTTGTTTTAAATCTACTAAACAGAACATAAAATGCCCTAGCAAAAGCCATCCTTCTCAACATAAAATGTTATTCCATTGTTTTCTTTTCTTTTTTTTTTTAAGACAAAGTTTTGCTCTGTCACCAGGTTGGAGTGCAGTGGCGCAATCTTGGCTCACCACAACCTCCACCTGCTGGGTTCAGGCGATTCTTCTGCCTCAGCCTCCTGAGTAGCTGGGACTACAGGCGCGTGCCACCACATCCAGCTAATTTTTGTATTTTTAGTAGAGACAGGATTTCACTATGTTGGCCAGGATGGACTCGATCTCTTGACATCTTGATCCACCCGCCGTGGCCTCCCAAAGTGCTGGGATTATAGGTGTGAGCCACCACATCTGGCCTATTCAATTATTTTCTATAGGACAATGTAAAGGTATAATTCAATCCTCAAGGTTACAATAATGGTCAGCTGACAACACATTTAAGCAAGGAATTTTGGCCCCAACTCTCTGTTCTTTTACCAAGGTTAATGATTTCTACTTATTTTGCCAGGTTGTTAAGAAAGATTAATAAGGTATTTAAGCCCTTCATAAGAACTAAACAAAAACTAACTGCAGACAACTATCTTTTCCTCCTGAGAGAAAATGTTAACGACTATGAAACTTGGCTCATTGTTAATGAGATTGGCACAAGGTTTGATTTTTGCAAACTGAATTATGATTAAATTTTACAACTATAAAACACCAAAAAAACTAGCTCTTTAATAGGACAGATGTTTCATTAAGCTTTTGTCTTCAGTGACAACAAAGATTTAAAGGAACACTTGTATTCTCAGATCTCATCTTTCCTTTCAGTTTATGACCAAATGTTTGTTAATATCATCATAAAAGACCTCCTCCAAATGAAGCTTCCTGATTACTGAGCAGGAGGCTCTCAGCTGCCTCAAAATTAGAAAATTTTCCTAATTCTATGTAGACTAAACCATGCTGTTCCAGACATAGTGCTAGGGATGTAGGCAGCACTCATATTTAACTCAACACTGGATCATACCAAAGACTACAGCAGAATCGTGAAAGGAGAAAGCAGTAGACTTGGAGTTAGCAGACCTGAGGCATGCTTATTTATTTATTCAACATATTTTCATATAACACATTCATGTGCTTTGCGATAGACACCATGAAAGACACAAAAATGTCTAGCATGTAAGGCAGTAGCTAAGCATAAAATGTTTTGATGATAAATACTATAGCAGTGGAGATGACAGAAGTATTTTTCTGGCTCAGGTCATCAAAGAAGGGATCATATAACATGTGCATATATGTGCATGCACATACATGAGTGGGGCCCTGAAGCCCTACTTCTGTTACTACAAGCAGAAACACAGAGGGTAAAGATCAGGGTTTACATAGAGGGGTTACAACAAGTCCCAAGGGTAGGAAGTGGTATATAGAGAAGAGACCAAATTTGCTGGGGTAGAGTAGACATCAGATTTTTTTTTCACCTTGACTTCAGGGCTAAGGAATTTAAATATTATTTGGTAGATTATTATTAAATTGTCATTAAAACATTTTTTGTGCAAAAGATAGGGATAGGGAGAGCTTTCTTGATTTAGAAGGGTGTTTTGAGGAAATTCATTTGGTCATCAATGCCTAATCCTTTGAGGCAGAAGGAGGCTACTGCAATAAAGCAACAAGAAGTGTTACACTCTGAGCTATGATGAGGCATCCTGAGTTATCTGTCAGATAAAAAAAAAAAAATCCTCCCCACATTTTACATACCCCTTCAGCTGCCATCCTCAGTTCCTCTTTATGCAAAATTCAAAAGAGATGTCTATAACTATTGTCTCCAATTCTTCTCATTTTCTCTTGAATACATTCCAATTGGGCTTTCACTCCCAACACTCCAATGGGTCTTTTCTCAAGATCACTCTCTTCGATTTCTAAATCCAATGGTCAACTATTTGACCTATCTACAGCATATGAGTCAGTTTCTTATTCTATCGTTTTTGAAATACTATTTTCCCTTGACTTTCAGGGCACCAAAATCTTCTGGTCCTCTTGTATATTACTGATTGCTTCTTCTTAATCTCTTTTGACAAATGTCCCTCATCTCAGCAATCTCTAAATGTTTTCATTTAGAGATATTTCAGGACTCAGTTCTTGGACTTCTCTGTTACACTTGTCTCTTGGTGATTTCCTGACTTTAAATACCATACGTATGTTGACAATTCCCAGAGTTCTATTCCCAAATGAACCTATGTGTTGAACTTCGAAAGCACACATCTGCCTACTTACCAACTTCATCTAGATGTCTAGTAATGATCAAACTAACTCCAATATCCAAACTGACTCCTGATATTCTCCCTGACACCTGCTCTTCTCACAGCCTTTCTCATGACAGTAAATGGCACGTCTATACTTCCAATTACTCATGCCGAAAGTATTGGTGTCATCCTTGATTCCTCTTTCTCTCTCATACCCCAAATCCTGTTTTCTTTACTTCAAAATATATTAGGTTTGTATCACTTTGCATCATTTCCACCTCTACCACCCTGGTCTAAACCAAGGCTGTCTCTGCCTGAATTATTGCAGTGGCTCTTAAGTAGCCCTTTCTCCTACACACTTATGTCCTTCTCTCCCTTCTCCTACAGTATATTATCAAACTAGCAGCCAAGGAGATCCTTTTAAAAGATGAGAACATGTTGCTTATCTATTCAAAACCAGCTGGTAGCCACCCATCTCACACAGTGTGAAAGCCAAAGTACTAACACAATTTCTCAACCACATCTCCATTATGTTACCTCTCCAGCCTCAATACCTCCTTTCTCAGTCTCATTCCAGCCACACTGACTGCCAGGGAGTTCTCAGACATCATACACCTACACCAGACCCTTTTCCACTCACTGTTCTCTTTTCCTGGAATCCTCCTCCCCCAGATATCTGGATGCTAATTCTCTCAACTCCTTCAGGTTTCTGCCAAAATATTTTCCTCTCAATGAGGCCCTTCACTCAAGGCACTCCAATATCCTGCTTCATTTTTCCCCGTAGCATTTATGACCACCTGGCATACTCTACATATACTCATGTATTTATAGTGTCTGTCTCCTCTCCCCAGAATGTAAGCGACATTGGAGCATTAATTTCATCTGCTTTCACCACCACCGAAAATAAGGCCTATAACTTAGCAGATGTTTAATAAATAGTTACTGAATATTAATGAATGAGTACATAGAGATGGATAAGAAATATAGTGAAGAAACAATTGATAGTATTTGCCTTTCTGGTTTGATCATGATTTGTGGCAGTTCCCTTCCCCTGTCTGGGTTCCAGTTTCTTCATGATAAACTGAGAGGTTGGGATTAGATAGATGCAAAGTTTCCTCCAGCTCTGAAAGCCCATGATTCTACTGACACCACGTTGTAACCAAAGAAATTAAGCAAGCAGAGATTAACATGAACAAAGATTTCTTTATGGTCTTAGCCCATGTACATTTTTTATAGAAATAAAAAAACTAATAGCACACTGATTTTTTTTATTGCAACACTATGGGCACAGCTGAGGTCAATAAAAAAAATTCAGTGTTTTTAGTTTTCTGTTAAAAGCAAGTTTGATCATTATTCAGTTTTTATTCTAGCTATCCACAGCCCCTACTTCCAATCATGGCTTCTACTGTGTCACCAGCTCTCAGTTCTGTGCTTCCTCATTTCATTGCCACCTAGTGGAAAACTGAGCTGAGGTTGTTAATATGGTCTACAATGCAGCAGGCTGAGTTTCATCTCCAAAATATAAAATAAAATTGTTTTGACAGCACTCAAAAACGTTTTAATCAAATCAAAGTTGTATAAAAATATTTCCTATCGATATGTATAGAAAGTATTGCCATTTTTTCTTTTTAATTTAATTTTTACTTCCAACTGAAAGAGTATTTGTAAAAGATGTACTCGTCAAAAACAACTTAATAAGCAAACTCAATAGTTTTATGCATAATAGATAGCATGCATTTCCTAAATTACTAAAAACACAACTTTCCAATAGTATTTCTCAAATATCAGAAATAATATTAATCACAACCTCACAATTTATTTTTCCCATGTTATAATTCATGAAACTTATATTGTTTTTACATGTGGTAGTTAGTGTGATTCAATTCTGTGGATGGAGAAAAGTATATATAGCTTTTCCCACAACAGTTTTGCCAGCTCTCCTCTGAATCTAGTGAAAATAAACACAGAGCCATGCATTTGATAATATACTTTTTAAAGCAGTAAGTCTGTCCGATTAATCACGTTCCATGTTGGCTTCTTTGGAATATGCACAGGTAAAAAAAAATGGTTTGAGCCATATGTTTGTTAAGCCACATAAACTTTTATCCTCCCTCAAACAAGCCCAGACTCCCAGCATATATCTCTGAAAAGGGAGAAAGGCCAACTTTGTTTTCTAATAGAGCTGTACCAAATAATTCTCCTAGGCTATCATGCTGACAACAAAAAATAAAGAACCTGTCATAAAATAACATGTTTTTATGGTAGACTGCCAGGAAACCAAGCTTTGCAGTGGGATAAATGGCACCATCCTAAAATATTGGCACAAAGGAGAATAAAATATATGGGATTTATTGTTTTAAAATCAAACTAACAATGTATTACAGCAGTGCATTGGGAAAAAATATAAAATGCTCCGAGCCCACTAAATAACCATGAATGATGAGAAGATGTTTGAGATGTAGACCACGTGAACAGCTATATCACAAGCTTATGAAAACCTTTTGAAATTGGCTTTCTTTTTCAACTTACAAAAGAAGGGGACAAAAGATAGGATAGGCAGGTGGAAAATAGCAAACAAGTACCATATAAGTGACTCTTTTAGCATCAGTGATCTATCAAATGTTGTTTTCAATTGCATTTTTTATTATGAAGTTCCTTGGGCTACTTTTTGACATCTGATAATCCCTTTAGAAGGAATATTTTGCTTTTGATTTATTTACTAAAGAAAAGCAAGGGTTGACTCTGAAAAAATTCCTCAATTAATGTAGAGTGTCAAAGATTAGAATGAATTCAATTCCATAAAGGAAAATGTAAAACTACACTTTTTCTTATTGTTTTTATGGTATTTTTGTGCTATTTCATTTTAATTTAAAATTTCTAACACAGTAATATTGAATATTTGCATCTCCAAATTGAGAGAATGGTGACCTATCAGTACAGTTCTTCTACCTCTCAGAATATGTACATACCACTATCCATCACTCTCTAAGTCCTCCAAGGGACAGGTAGTCATTGTTCATCTTCAGCAACTGTCAGCAGCTTCAGATTTCAACCAAATTGGTGAGAAGTCTAAGAAAATAGGCCATAAAATTAAAACAAGGGGCTAAGGACAACTCATGGACACACAGGCTTTGTCTGTGGGCTTCTATGAGTGTTTGACTACCTTCAGTTTTGAAAAATAAAGAATATGGGAACACTAACAAAGCTTGAAAATGGAAGAACTGATACACGTGGGAATTTCCAAACGAGTGCCCGTCTGTCTGGAGCATTGTACCTTGTCTTCTCCTGGATGATGTTTTCACCACCAGGACTCCTTTCAGACATCAAATCCCTTAAGAAACATCCCTGGCCCCCACTGTCATGCCTCCCTGCTCTTATCTGAGTGAGGAGATATTTTTTCTGTGTGTTTCTTGGCACGCAGCACTAGCCACTATCATGGTACTTATCATGCTATATTGTGATGATCCTTTACTTGTCTCAACTCCTTATTCTCAATAGACTGAAGAAAAAGTCTGTGATTTATTTCTCTTTGTATACCCAATATTTACACATTCAATGAAAGTTTACTAGGTAAATAAGCAAGTTGGATTAATGTCTGAGGACATGTTTCATACTGTACAAACTTCCCACTTTTAAAAAATTTATTTGGTTTTTCCTGCAAAGTAAATTCTAAAGGCAAATCACAAATGCCTTTCAAAGTAAGAATAATGAGATTCTTTATAAGGAAAAACATGTGGTTGCATGCATTTTTCTTTATCCCAAAGGAAAGCTAGTTGGCATAGCAGAAGATAAGGTAGATTAGAAATGTTGTGCCTAACACTATTTCTTACAAGTTAATAGATCTGTGTGAGTTCACTTCCTCAGCTGAGAAATGGAGATAATGCTATCTGTACTTTCTATCTTACAAGATTGTTGCAAGAATCAAATAAGTTAATGGGAATAAAAGCATTTCGAAAACTTGAATTGGTATATTAAGCATATTAAGATGATGTTTTAAAAAAGTGTAAGTTGGCTTTTCTTACATAGTGTTCTAATTCCTTATCTTATATAAAATGAAGTTTGAGAAATACATTTTGGTGAGAAGCCAATCATGAGCTTCACATTGTCACTTCCAGTTGTTAAATGTGGACAGGATTGTTTTGGCTTATAACCTTGATCCAGTTTAGCTGCCATTGTCACTGTCACACTTCCACCATCATCAGCCAGTATGGAATGTTAATGGGCTGTTAGGCTCAAGTCTTTTTTGTGTTTCCTGATAAGGGAGTCAGAATTCAGTCTGAAGGAAGATACTTGTACATGCCTACTTCAAATATTTTTTAACATTGGCTATGGTATACTGATTTAGAAAAGCTTCTTGGTGGACCAGAAGCACAATGTAAAGCCAGCTGCGAGGTTTCTGGTTGCACTCCTGCATGTGGTAGAATAAAATAGAAAGTAATTGGTACTAACTTGTCTCCATTGTGATGAGCGAATAGAGTTGGCAGAAAAATCTACAATCAGCTCTGACATTATTGGCAAGGCTATAGGATAATGAAGTAATAGTAAAACTTCAGTTTACTGCTCTGGCAATAAGACAATTTAATAGCATCTTAGCTCACGGAATTTAGTGTTATAAAGACTTAAGTTTTTTTAATCCCATGAATAAATAAATAAATGTTTAAAATACTTGATTGATGTTTGTAATAGTGAGGAGGTAACCTAAAGTATCTTCCCCTTCACCCATGGCCCGGAAATGAATAGCTACTTGCAGAAATTCAGTATTGTCTGAGAACCTTTCCAGTGTCATTGCAAAGATCTTGCTGCCCAGAATTTCAAGATGGCACAACAGTAGTCCAATCGGGTTTCTCACCCAGCCACTTGAGGTGTGATAACTCATTAAATGAAGAAATACTTTCTCAAGAGTCTACAAGTCAGAGAAGTAATATGGCAGTTACAAATTGCTTCCTGTCCATCACAGAATATAGAAATTTCACACTACCCTTCACACTAATCACAATTCTTCCCTTGAAAACAAGTTATTTGAACAATTCCATTACTGATAACCTTTTATTCTTTGGAGACGTGCACAGAAACAATTTGAAATCATTGTATCACCCTGCTACACTCCATGATACGGGTTTTGTGACTAGAATTTAACAGCTCCAAGCTAGTATGAGAGAAAGAGAGGTTGGCATCAATGGTTTATGTATTGAGCTCTAAATTCCTTTGTTTCCTTCAAAAGAACACTTGTCCTCTAAGATGCATTTTCTAAATTCCTATCATAATATTATAAAACATCCTTTTAAAGCATTGCTCAGTTAAAGTATAACAATTCAAAATGATAGAACTATCTGGTACTAGTTGGCACAATTATTGTGTCAACATATAATTCCTTACATTAATATCTGGGGATCTCTGCAGCAAAATCATGAACAGAGCTCTAAAATCCTTCACTTCTACCACACATCATGCAAGACCTACTTCTAAATAAATCCATATCATGCATCTATATAACTTTAATTCTTGTTGACCAGACATCTTATGGCTTTCTACCCTCATCTCTCACCACTCTGAAGATAGTATCTCACCCTCCTCTCTCTCTCCCTCTCTCTCTCTCTCTCTCTCTCACACACACACACACACACACACACTTTTTCATACATACATATCATCCAAATCAGTGAGTCCCTAGGCCTTTGAATGTGGTCTACTTATTCTCTTTTTCCCTTAATGGTGTTTCCCTCAGCTAGAATGTACTTTCTCCTCCCTTTTTGCCAATCCAAATCCTTTCATTTCAAAGTTCATTGCTTCCAAGAAGCATAGGATTCTTGACTAACTGAATCTGTCACCCACCTCAACCTTACTTTGAAGATTCTCATTAGTTATGTGTACACAATATGTGCCACATTAGTATGGCTTTCTTTCTAAGTTGCCTCAGAAAGACTCTGGGTGTGCTAGATGGGCATGTAACACTTTCCAGCTTTAAGCTCCTCAAGACCAGAAGCTATCTACCTAAATTCCTCTGATTCCAAATTCCATCCAGAACAGGCTACACTCAGCTGATTATCAAAGATGCTTGAGATATTCATTTTTACCAATCTAGTTTTGCTTTAATGTGCCATAGTGTGTGGTTTTATACTTACTGGAACAGAAACTTGAGGATTATCTGCAAGTTTTCCCAGCACAGCAAAGCCATCGGTGTCAATTGGGCCTCTTGGCTTTATAGGTAAAGATTCAATCCTGTTGCAGTCAACAAAAAGAGTAGCACTACTCCTCTCCACGCCAATCATGATCTTATGCCACTGGGAATCAAACAAGGAGGGCAAATTCGAAAAGGCTGCCGTTTGGAGACTTCCATCCAGTCCCTTGTATGAAAATGCAACAGATTGTGTTTGGCCATTAATCTTTATGCCAACTTGTTCCTTCCCAGAGGAATCCTGAATCTGCCAAATGTTCCAGTTCTTTTTGAGTGTGCTTCCAGTCATTCGAAACGTCGTCAAGAAGGAGTATTCTTCAGGCAGTCCACTGGGATATAAATTCCTGAGTAAAATTTTTAAATAGTAAATATGAATCTTGTTTCCTGTACCCATATGTATTTACCATATTCCCTTTTGAGGCTATTTCAGATGCCAGACCTACCGAAAGGCTGCAGTGTAAAAAACTATGTACCGTTTGTTCTTTCATGACTGTTCATAAAGACCTTTACAGAAGTTCAATCGTTCGTGTGCATTCATGGTCCATCTTAAAATACACATTTTAAAAACACTCTCCCTCATGGCTAAGGAAGGTTCCCAATGCCACATAATCCCAACAATATTACTATTTATACTACCCAAAGAGCTACTGTTCAGCAATTTCATCTCAGCCAAAAAATACATTCTTGCAAAGTTCTTGGCAACATTTCATCCACAAGTGAGAGAGGAGATCATTAGGAATGTAAATCAGCAGTACTAGCTTATGAAACGATTTAATTAAAGCAGCTAGCAGCTTCTAATTTTTTTTATTTTAAAGTAACATGTTAAGATTATTTGTTATTTCCATAATTGCTTGGATTTTCACTCCACAATTATATCCCAGACCCATATAAGTATTTTGAGAATCAGTAACTGAGGACTTCAGGAGCATCTTCACACTGAGCATGTTTGTCTTTTTTTAGGGAGTTCAAATTATGATGTTAAAGTAGCAGTTTGTCACACTGGATGTGTGACAAGGGAAAAGTGACCAATTCTTACTTCTCTACTGCAACTCAATTGTTGCTTTTTTTTTTTTTTTTTTTTTTTTTTTTTTTTTTTTAGATGGAGTCTCACTTTGTTGCCCAGGCTGGAGTGCAATGGCGCCATCTGAGCTCACTGCAACCTCCACCTTCCAAGTTCAAGCAATTCTCCTGCCTCCGCCTCCCAACTAGTTAGGATTACAGGTGCCCACCACCATGCCTGGCTTATTTTTTGTATTTTTAGTAGAGACGGGGTCTCACCATGTTGGTCAGGCTGGTCTCAAACTCTTGACCTCAAGTGATCTGCCTGCCTCAGCCTCCCAAAGTGCTGGGATTACAGGTCTGAGCCACTGCATCCGGCCCAGTTGTTCCTTAATCTGCCAACAAAGTCTGTATCATTGCTAACTCCTTTCCTGCTTTAAATGGCAGAATAAAACCAGTAGTATCCCTGAGGTATCTCTACCCTATACAGAGACTGTGGTCTGGACCTGCACCAGCTACCTGGATATTCTTCTGCTGAAGCCAAGCTGCTAAAAGCTGAAGACTGAACTGTAAAAATCAGCATGTTAAATGTAAGCATCGTCTTTCAAGGACTTAAACATTATGTCTTTTTACATTTCCCCTTCTAAGCATAGAAAAATACGTAAGCAAGGAAGAAATGTTAGGCAAACTAAATGCTAATGAATTTTCTGTGCTAAACAATAAAAATTTTATATTTTTGAGAACAGTTATGGACCAGGACCCAGAATCCCAAATAACCTTCCTTCAAGTCAAATTCTTGTTATGTAGCCCTCTTTAATTTGCTAAGATCTTCTATCTTTACTATGATTTTAATTATAAAACTTTATTATGTCTTATAACAACATAAACAAATCTTCAACTTCTTTCTATGCAAGTATTTTTATAAGCCTTCAATAAAATGGGTCATCTATCTCAACAAATTTTATTGCTTTGTTAGTTTTCTAAAGATAACAAAAAGGTTAAACTTTTCATCTGAATACTCTTTCATCATAAAAGTATTTTTTTAACCATTACTTTGTAATATGACTGGTTTGTATTTAGGGTGCGGGATGAATTATTTTATCCATACACATTTTTTTCACTGGTGATGTGTATTATTCATATTGCAAAGTTTTCAGTTACTGCCTATGTTTTATAACCATCAAGTGTACATTTTAAAATATGCAATACGGAGCTAAAGAAAAAATTATACGAGAACCATTTACTGACTTTTTTTCCCCATATGAAACTGTCTACTACATCACTCCAGATATTTGTTTTTAATATATTTCCTGTTTATCTATCAGTTTGTCACATTTTCTTTGACTTTATATTTTTCAGAATTATATCTATTCCAGAATAACCTCTAGAAAAGAAGCTAAGATTCACTATTCACAAAAAATGCACTGAGTATTGTATAATTATAAAACCTTATGGAAGTTTGTACATCTTACCTAACTTACCTCAATAAATTTGGAGCTGGGAGATAGTTTTCAAGTTTCACTCAATTGTGAAATTGGGCAAGTGTCTATTTAAATTATAAATAGATTATTTTGATTATTATTTTTAATTAATGATTGGGATTTAACCAGATGCTTAAATAATTTATTTTCTTATTTTTGTCCAAGATAGTTATTGTTGAAGCATGAGGTTTTTTAAAAGGACAATAAAATCTAATGCTTCTTCTTCTCTTCCTTAAGCATTATTTTTCCAGGCTTCAAAAATAACCTAATCTGTGTTATCTATACATCTGTCTATAGATATACCGAACAAAACTGTAGAATAGAATCAGTTCCCTTAAAAAATCTATTTTGTTTCAATTCTGGAAGTCCCAGTAATGTGTTCAGGTGACTCTTGTGAAAATACATCCTGGGGTTAACTGAGGGAGTTCTCCCAATTTGTGTTTCATTCAATCTTTCCCACTCAATGAAGAGATTATGTTAAAGGTATGAAAGGACATAATGTCTTAATATATCTCTGACTTGGTGTATGTAATGCCAAAAACTAAAAAAAGAAAATAATTAATTTAAAATGATGGAGGGTAGGTTTGAGATGGCTAAATGAATACCTCATTTTTATAGCTACGTTGTTAAACTAATGGTATCTGTCTCTTTCTCTCCATATATATGAAGATAATATATGTGTGTGAATATGTGTAGAAATAATCTAGATTATCTTGTTATTGATCTTTGATCTTTTAAACTAGGCTAGTATAGTATGCCAATATGGTAAGAAGAGAAAATTCATTTTGGTATTTATACTAATAAAACATATATGTATTTGTGTATACCTAAGACCACTTAAAAGTCTCACAAGTTTAATTTATGGAACAGTCAGTCCCATTGTCTTTCCTTGGAATACCTGAAATTCTGTTCTTGCAAACATGCTATGCACATCAGTAAGTAAACTTGACAGCATGCATAATTTAAAATAAGCTGTACCTATAAATGATTTATTTCATTATATTACAGCCTTCAAAGAGTACCTTAAATGAAGAATCATAAGGGTTTGAATGAAAGATTAAATAGTCTTTGGACCTTGAAACATTTATTTGTGACCTTAATCCAAGACTGTGTTTTTAAGGAAAATAAAGATAACACGTTTGTTAGTGGGAGTTGAGAGTGTAAAACTATTATGCCTAAAATAAGGAATAAAAAGCAGCAAAAAAAAAAGTATGTGTCTCTTAAGTCTTTCAAAAAATAGAAAAGATAAATAAGGATAAATTGTGACTCTTTCCCATCAGTTCCATATACCGTAATATTTTCCTCCTACAAAGATCCTGCTAATAGTTTCTTTCACTGTCTGGGAGCCTATGTTCTCCAGCACAGAAAGTCCCTTTATACCAACATTGTCTATACCCTGCATGGCCGAGAGCAATTCCCATCCCTAGTCTCCTTGTCACCTGGCTTTTGAATTAGCAGGACTCGGAGGGCAGATTGTAAAGAAAGGATCCTCTAAGGAGAAAAGACTTTCATATGCGTGCATTCTCTCCGTCTAGTGCTCTTCACCACTAATAATAAACACTTACCCAATACCAGCGTGGACTGGGTTCTTCAAGCACTCTCCAGTTATGAACACCTACTCTGCATAGCAACCTTATGACATAGTTATTATTCCTAATTTTAAATTGAGGGAACTGAAGTAAAGATAGTCTAAGTACTTTCCCAAGAATAAACTTTACTTGGAATTCCACACGTCTCAGTCCTCTAACTTTCCTCCTTCTCTTTTTATTCTCTACTTTCTTTTCCTAATTTCTTCCTCCTTCTTTCCTTATCTTGTAATAAGGCTTGACAGTAAAACAAGATTTTTCAGTCTTTATGGGAGCAGGGAGTCAAGGGTAGCAAATGTGAGGCATTAGATATAGCCTGGGTACACTATTTAGTGATAGCTCTAGGCATTTCGAGAAAAGCAACAACGAAGTTGAGCAGGAGGTAAGGAAGCCACGTGGCAGCACATTGATCAATCTCTGAACTTAAGATTTAATGACAGTACCTCAAATCTTAGAAGAGAAAATCAGGTCAGCACTGAGGACCTAATGTTTTGCTTAATTATTTGAGAAAGAAAAAACTGAATTTTTAAAGCTTATTTAGCAACACAACTGGCACTTCCATACATGAAAAGAAATTATGAGGAAAAAAAACAGTGAGTGTCACTGTTATCACGTCCTTAATCTTTCCAGATGTGAATGGTTTTCCAGAGTCAGTATGGAGTAGTGGTTAGAAGTACAACCTTTGCAACCATTCTGCCTGGGATTCAGTCTTTCCAGCACGTTCCAACCCACTCACCTTATGCAAGTAAATTAAACTTTTGGGGATCCCTGATTTAAGAAAAAAAAGGTTAATAATGCCCCTATATCACAGGATTGTGATGAGAATGAGATTATTGTTAATTAGTAAATTTATAGAAAGAGTTCATATAATGTACTATTATTGTATTATACAATAATATATAGTATGTTCAAAACATGAATTTCTAGCTGTAATCTGGTACTATTACATCAGATTGTTCTAATTTGTTCAAAATTTTTTTTATATACATTGAGTTTCTATATACATTGAGTTTCTATATTATTTTATTGATCTAATTAATCATTATTTACCTTTACACCTTAATTTCTATCGAAGTCCTAATTGTCTTATTTATCTACTAAAGGAATCTTAATTCTAACTTTTTTACATTGTGCTAAAGCATATAATAATTATCATAATCATAAATAAGGTATTTAGGTGATATCAAAACTAAATTGCTGAGATTCATTCACAATGATGACAGGACTCAACACATACACTAAAGTACCTTAGTTACAAATAAAGAGCAAAAGGCTTAGTTCCAGAGAAAGAAATCAGTGAAGTGCAGGATTTGATGTTGTTAGTATTACTATCATTGTTTCTATTATAATTATTTTAGTTTTGCTTTGGTTTGATGTCTGCCAGGAGCCAAGCAGTGGACGTGTGGCTCTATTTCAGCACCAGGACACTTGAACAGCACCATTGTGAGTCTTCTAACCACTCTGTGGCTCCTGGTTAAATTTATGCTTACCCTCTGGCACTTTTCACAGAGGGTCCTTTCAGTCAAAACCAGACAAATTATAGAAAAACAGAAAGCAAGGTAATAAGAACATGTCCTGAATCAATGTATAATAGTCTCAGTGATGCTTTTTCCTGGAATGGAAAGTAAATTACATACTGAAAACATGAAATGCAGTATTCAGGCACTGAAGACAGGCAGGTAAATAAATTTCTTCATCTTTAAATACAATTATAATCCAAGAAACATTGATCATAAGAAAACCCTAACATTGGATAGCTATCCATTTTAATGCATTTGAGTCAGATAATTAGATTAAAATATTTTTGATAGATTACCTAGTTGGAATCCTGAAGTCTACATTATTTCCCAACTTGTAAGCCACCTGCAATGTAGCTGATCCCACTACTCTCTGGATAGCTCTTCTAGTTGCTGCTTTATCTACCTGGAACTGAGAGATCAGATCAAACCCTACAGAATGGGAATACAAAATGAAAAGTCTAAAATGAGATTGGTTTTATTCCTTTCCGCAACTTTCCCAAATAAAAAATATATATATCAGGTTTATAGAAAGCCTGCATTTTCAATAGGCTACATTGCTACTCACCTGGTAAGTCATCTTGGCCAATCCTGATCTTAGGACAGAGTTCATTTTCACCATTAGAATTGGAATTGGCAGGGAATCCTGCAAAAGAGATAGCATGTCATTCTACTTCATCCACTCTAAAGATTTCAGGATGCATCAATAATAATAACTATTTAAAATTCAATATTATACCAGCTTGCTTAGAGGTAGCATGTTTGGCTTTACCTCCATGCATCTATGATTATAATCCATCCACCTGCAACTCATCCTAGAAGGAGTGGATGCAAGGCACAAAGTTTCTCTAATAATCTGTGCTGGAAAATGTTCGTTTTGGAGAGGTTAGGCATTTGTTCCTTTTGAAACCAAAGGTGAATGGTGTCCTGAATGGCACAGGGTCAGAAGTCTGTTTGGAAAATTTCTGGTAGTTCGGGCTAGAAAATATTCCTTAAACACCACAAATTTTAGGATTCCAATGAGATTCCAGAGCCAATCTTGGTCCAGTTCAGAGGGGCTTCTGGAGAGTAGAGTTCTTAGGAATCTTTGTCAGATATAGGGGCCTGGGGAAGTCTTGAGATTCACTAATCCTAAATAAAATATAGAGGATGCATTTGATTTCATAAATTCATTCTAAGAGATCAAATAAAGGTCCCTACTAAATTACTCCTAACATCTTAGAACTGGGAAGAGTAAAAAGAAGAAGAAAATAATCATGAGAAGGATTAAATCCTCAATTTGATAAGAAATCATAGAACGGAAATTGTGTTCTCCTTACACAAATGGAAGGTCAAGGGAAGAGAGTTTTTCACCACCACGGAAGGCTTCTTGGAAATATCCAACCCCAGTGCCTTGCTAAGATTCATCTGACAACAGAGACGCTCTAGACTTCAGAAAAAGTATTATTCACTTGCAAAGCATGGGCCTGGTGCCATGGCTCACGCCTGTAATCCTAGCACTTTGGGAGGCTGAGGCAGGCGGATCACCTGAGGTCCGAAGTTCAAGACCAGCCTGACCAACATGGTGAAAGCCAGTCTCTACTAAAAATATAAAAAATTAGCCAGGCATGGTGGCACATGCCTGCAGTCCCAGCTACTAGGGAGGCTGAGGTAGAAGAATCACTTGAACCTGGGAGGCAGAGGTTGCAGTGAGCCGAGATCATGTCACTGCATTCCAGCCTAGGTGACAGAGTGAGACTTTATCTCAAAAAAATAAAAATAAAAATGCAAAAAGCATGGGCCTAACCATCATGGTACATCAAACATGCTCCTTATACTGTCCTCACCCCAAATTGTTGAGGTCCATTCATCCATCAATCTATTTATTTATTCATCCATGTATTCACCCAACATTTACCAGTCACCATCTGTCCTAGGCACTGCACTAGGCACTGCAGCACACAGATTAGCCTTCCTGCCAACTGTGATTACTGGCAGGACTTACTTTCCATACCCAGCATTGACCATGGAAAACCAGCCAGTAGGGTATCCCCATGCCCCAAAGGTGGATTGAAGAGTGAGGGTGTGAAGGACCATGGATGCCTCACTCAGTCTTCAGTCAGCCACAACCCTATCTGATCATTTCTGGGAATAAGTAATCTTTGAAAGTCTAGGAACTATGGCCCTTACTGGGGCGACGCTTGACAGCTGCAGATGCCCAGGGCTCCAGGAAACTGCACACAAAGAAGAAAACTGGAATTTTCCTGAAGAAGAGAGAAGAAAAGTGACTCAAACAGGAGTCCCTGCAGATGGGAACTACTTCCATATTTTCAAACCTGGTAAACCTAATTAATATAAGGTGATCAAATCCCAGTATAGTTTATTTTTTTCTTTTCTTTTTCTTTTTCTTTTTTTTTTTTTTTTTTGAGACGGAGTCTCACTCTGTCGCCCACACTGGAGTGCCATGGCACGATCTTGGCTCACTGCAACCTCCAACTCCCGGGTTCAACCGATTCTCCTGCTTCAACCTCCTGAATAACTGGGATTACAGGCATGTGCCACCACGCCCATCTACTTTTTCTATTTTTAATAGAGACAGGGTTTCACCATTGTGGTCAGTCTGCTCTTGAACTCCTGACCTCGTGATTCGCCCACCTCGGCCTCCCAAAGTGCTGGGATTATAGGCGTAAGCCACCGCGCCTGGCCTTCATTTTTACTTTGAAACCCTACTGAGAGATGTAAGGAACTCATGTTTCCAGCCCCCACTGTCCCTGTTGTTTTGTTGATCTCACTTTCTCGATATTTACCTATCTCACTGTTTTGGTACCTATTTCTTTGTCTCTGGTTTCTTTCATCTTTGATTTCCTTTCTCTCCTTTTCTGTGACTATCACTTTCTCTCCCTTTCTCTGTCTCTCTTTTTTTGTGTCTCTCTTTGGTTTCTCACGCTTGCCCTCTTGTCTTACTCTCTCATCAGTCTCTCTTTCTGTCTCTCACCTTGCGGCTCACCTACTCTCATCCTACCACTGCTGCAAAAATACAGACCCTTGGTTCTGAGGACCCCCAGCCCCGTCTCCCCACCACTCTTTCCAGGGTTATTGTCTTACCAGCAAGTCTTCATTTTCCCAGTTGATTTTCTTTGTTTGCCAACAGTCCCTATGAAGAAGGGGTTGGAAGGGAGTCACTGTCCCCTCCCTAACCCTTCACTGTCACCCTAGGACTATGAGTTCTGGGCCCAGCCTTGGTCCCTCCTGCCCCGGTGAGGGCTAAAAGCAAAGGGAGAGAACCAGAGGAATCTCGTGACGCTTTAAACTGAGGCAAAGGGAAGGGGTGGAGAGAAGCAGTGCTGTAAGCCCAGGCCTAGGGGTGTGTCCTCAAAGCTAACAAGGTTACACTGAAGGAGGGATTTACAGGGGAAAGTTTGTTGAAAAGAAAAAAATAAAATCAGGATGTGGAGAAATTCACCAGAAAGATCCAGGCAAGGTGCTATAGGAACACAGTAGATGCTCTTAGATCTGCTATAGGAGTACAATGGCAGCTTTCAGAACTGCTATAGGAATACAGTGGAAGCTTTCAGAGGGCTGGGGTTCCAGTAAAAATGTGCCCACGGGGAGGCGGAGTGCCCAATCAAACTAGGTTTCAATCCCTGTTTATTCTGAAGCTTACTAGTTGTGTGTCCTTGAGAGAGTTAGTTCACCTTTCTGTAACTAGATGCCTTAATTGTAAAACAGATTGAAAATACTTACATTAAAACAATGGTTTTGAGAATTAAATGAGGTCTCAAAGGCAGAGGGTCTAACACCCAACAATCATTATTTGTCATCGTCCTCATAGCTAACACTTCATTATGTGCCTCCCTCTGTTGAAAATGCTTAAGGCCTAATGCCACTTAATTCTCACAACAACATTATAAAGTAAGGCTGAAGTTACCCTTATTCTCCAAATAAGAAAGTTGAGGAACCAGAAAATGAAGTAACTTTTTCAAAGTGCCATGCCTATTACTAAATATGCATTCTCTCTCTCTACCTCAGGCTGGTAATCCTGATAAAATGTAATATTAAGCCCCCTAGTTGTTGTTTCTTCTTAAACTCTGAGATTACCAGAGTTGAGCAGAGGACACTGTATCTGGAAAGAAGCAACATATTATCCTCCGTTAACAAGGTGAGAGCAAGTTACAAGGAGCACAAACCTAGAGAGGTACGTGTTATCAGCATTGCTATCACACATACCATGCCCTCTCTCCAGAACCTGAACATCTCAAGAGAATTCCCAAGAGCCCCCACATCACCCACCTTCCCACCCACTCAGCATGGCCCACCTCTGGCGTTGTCTTGAGGGACATGGGTAGTTACTCCAAAACCAAAGACTCTAAAGGTCAGAAGATCCAACGATCTCAAAAATCACAATGCAAGCAAAGTAATTTTTAGGTGAACTTTTTTTTTTTTTAAAGAGACAGGGTTTCAGGTCTTGCTCTGTTCGCCAAACTGGAGTGTAATAGCATAATCATAGCTCACTACAGTCTTGAACTTCTGGGCTCAGCGGATTCTCCCACTTCAGCCTCCTGAGTAACTGGGATGATAGTCATACACCACCGCACCCGGCTTCTTGAAATTTTTAAATTTAGTTTTCTAATTGATTTAATTTTTATTTAATTACAAAACAATAGTGTTGCTTCTTATTTTTCATTTGTTTATTTCTTTTCCAAAAAACTCCTTTCATCTTCTGCCTCCCTCAGCTCACTGATGAACTGTGAATCAGGCAAACTTAATATCCATGCTCTTGCCCTTTTATTTTCTACTCATAGCCCACCTGTTGGAGTCCTGTCTCTCTTTCCTAGAGGGACACCCATTTCTTCATGCTATTTAGGGCTTTCTACAAGTCCCCGTTATTTGCCTTCTGTCTATCAAAATTCCCATTCCCTAGTGCAGCCATCCTGGCTCCGTGACAGAACTACAAATGACCAGATCCTAGCTTATTTGTTTAAGTCAGTCAGGGCTCATGTGAAAGAAGCGCTCTATTAACCTCCGAGGAGAAGCTGTGCAGCTGGGGACCTTCCTGACATCCTGAAGTCACAGGAGGTAAGCCAGCCTGAGATTCACAGGGGAAAAGGCATTTTCCAAAGGGACTGTCCATTAAAGCTATTTATTTGCATGATTGATCCTCTCATATTACTTACTCTGGTAAGAAAGGAGAGAGGGATTTTTCATTATAAAGAAGTGTTTGGGAAATCCTTTCATTGCTTTAGAGATCTCAATTCCGCATTTGCCCCTTTCCTTCCCACTGTAATGAATCCTCTTCAAATAGAATTTGAAATCAAGTGAGGGTGCCTTTTAATTAAAAATGAAAGGATAGAGAGAAAAATAGGTTTGCTTACAAGTGGTTTGGCTTTTTTCTAGCTTGGCAGTTTTATTTAAGATGGCAGAAGCAAGCAAGAGCTATTTTAAGGAAGAAAGTAGGCTGATGGCAGTGGCTCACGCCTATAATCCCAGCACTTTGGGAGGCCGCGATGAGATCACCTGAGGTCAGGAGTTCGAGACCAGCCTGGCCAACATGGCGAAACCCCATCTCTATTAAAAATACAAAAATTAGCCAGGCCTGGTGGCACATGCCTGTAGTCCCAGCTACTCGGGAGGCTGAGACAGGAGAATCATTTGAAGCCAGGAGGCAGAAGTTGCAGTGAGCCGAGATCATGCCACTGCACTCCAGCCTGGGTGACAGAGTGAGACTCCATCTCAAAAATAATAATAATAATAAAAAGAAAGAAAGTAAATCCAGGCCAGGCAGGGTGGCTTATGCCTGTGGTCCCAGCACTTTGGGAGGACAAGGCAGGCGGACGGCTTGCACTCAGGAATTGGAGACCGGCTTGGGCAAAATGGTGAAACCCCATCTCTACAAAAAATACAAAAATTAGCCGGGCACAGTGGCACATACCTCCAGTCCCAGCTACTCAACAGGCTGAGGCAGGAGGATCTCTTGGGTCTACGGAGCTTGAGGCTGTAGTGAGCGGTGATTGCACTACTGCCTAGGCAACAGAGTGAGGCCCTATGTCAAAAAAAAAAAAAGAAAAAAGAAAGAACGAAAAAGAAAGTCGATCCAGAGAAAGAAAAGATATATACAATCTTATTTAAGGAAACTTTTTTCCTCCCTCCACTCCTATTTTCTATTAATTTTGTTTCCTAACATGACATTAGAATCTCACAGACAGCAGTGCAAAGGCCACACTATTCTGGTCTGGGCCAGTTGCACCCTAAGGTCATAGACGTGTAAGCTTTTTCACCCTTAGCATTGTTTCCTCACCTTACCTAACAGTTCGGTTCTGAAAAACCATGTAGAAATGAAATGTGGTCAATCACATCAGATTGTAAATGAACTAAGACAGCTTGATATTTAAAATGATCCATTTTATAAATAGAAGTGTTTTGTATAGAACAATTATACTTTTCTTTGTACTTCCTCTCATCCCTCCACTACATACTTTTTACAGAATGTACACACACTAATCTCCTTCTTCTTATAAATCAAGAATATGATTTACTTAAAGCTTAAATCGGGAACATCATCACAAATAATCATCTTTCTTGATCATCCACTTTCTTTTGTTTATTCAGTCATGTATTGAATAACTATATACAGTAGTATACGAGGTAAAAAGTGTGACTAAACATGGCCTTGCCCTGAGGAAGCTGATAGTCCAGCAGGGAGGACCAATATGAAAATGACCACAATTCAGAGAGTAAGAAGGCTGTAGTGTCACTGAGAACAACACTATTCTGGTCTGGGTCAGTTGCACCCTAAGGTCATAGACGCACAGTCTATGGCACAGTCCAAGGGCATCGGGAAATTTTTAATACAAGAGATAAAATCTTAAAGGATACTAAGGCTACCAAGAGAATAAGTGGGTGCAGTACGTTTTAGACAGAGAAAACAGAAGATACTATAACAAAAAGGTAAAAGAGGACATTTGGGAAGCCAGAAGTCTAGTTCAAGAATCCTTTCATTTGGTAAATATCTTTTTTTGCCTCTTCTACATGCTCCCCGACTGACCTTAACACCAGAGAGACAACCAGAGAAAGATCAGGTCCCTGGCCCTATGCAGCTTACACACTGGTGGGAAGAGAGGTACTAAACACATTTACAAGAATAGACAAAATAATTTCAGGTGGAAACATTATGAAAAATACAAAAGAAGACAATGTGTTATAGAGACTGTAGAAGGTTTAGAGGCTGGTGTAGGTTGAGGGGTTAGGGAAGGCTGCTTTGAAGTCGTCAATTTTTACTCAGACCAGATGAGAACAAAGAGATAACATTGGTGAGTAGGTTGGAAAAGAGGTGGGGGACAGAAAAACTACCTGGTTTTGAGCTTGAGCAACTGAGTAGATGGTGATGTCATTTTCTGAAATCACAAGTAGCAGGACCGTGGGAGAGGAGTTGGATAAAGGATCTTCAATGACATCAAAAGAAAGCATAGACATTATGCTGGCTGTTATGGGAACTGAGAGAAGAGTTTGAGGCCAAGAATGACTTTTTCGGATGTGCCTTTAGAAAGACAGTTCTGCTGTTGCTTGGAGGATGGATTGAATGGGTTTTATCAGTATGTATACATATACACAACCAGAACAAAACTTTCAGAAAACAATAGTTACTCATATAAATGTAATAGATTCTATTTTCTGTTTTATTATATTTCATTTTTGAGTGATGATAACTGAATCAGTGAGTAGATTTCAGGACCAACTGATGGGTTACAACTCACAGCTTAAAAAACATTCGATTAGAAAAGAGTAGACACGGCCGGACGCAGTGGCTCACGCCTGTAATCCCAGCACTTTGGGAGGCCGAGGCGGGTGGATCATGAGGTCAGGAGATTGAGACCATCCTGGCTAATGTGGTGAAACCCCGTCTCTACTTAAAAAATACAAAAAATTTGCCAGGTGTGGTGGCGGGCGCCTGTAGTCTCAGCTACTTGGGAGGCTGAGGCAGGAGAATCGCTTGAACCTGAGAGGTGGAGGTTGCAGTGAGCCAAGATTGCGCCACTGCACTCCAGCCTGGGCGACAAAGATTCCATCTCAAAAAAAAAAAAAAAAAAAAAGAGTAAACACTAGAAGTGCCAAAAGATCTCTTTCCCCTTGCTTCCTAGTATGGACACAACAGATGGGATGCCCCATGAAACTCACAGAACAGTAGGGCAAGTTTCTTAGTTTTAACATGACTATATATGTTTTAAAACATTATTTTGAAGTAAAGTAGCTGTAAAATGAGAGTTTTAATTAAACA